TTAGAGTATGGCCTGGGATAGGAAATATAGCTAAGTCAGAATACTGCCTGGAAGAGGAAATATAACTTAGAGTATGGCCTGGGATAGGAAATATAGCTAAGTCAGAATACTGCCTGGAAGAGGAAATATAACTTAGAGTATGGCCTGGGATAGGAAATATAGCTAAGTCAGAATACTGCCTGGAAGAGGAAATATAACTTAGAGTATGGCCTGGGATAGGAAATATAGCTAAGTCAGAATACTGCCTGGAAGAGGAAATATAACTTAGAGTATGGCCTGGGATAGGAAATATAGCTAAGTCAGAATACTGCCTGGAAGAGGAAATATAACTTAGAGTATGGCCTGGGATAGGAAATATAGCTAAGTCAGAATACTGCCTGGAAGAGGAAATATAACTTAGAGTATGGCCTGGGATAGGAAATATAGCTAAGTCAGAATACTGCCTGGAATGAGAAATATAACTTAGAGTATGGCCTGGGATAGGAAATATAGCTAAGTCAGAGTACTGCCTGGGAGAGGCATAATGTATATCTTACAAAATGAAATTGTCACTGTCCAGTTTACTGCGATATTTGGGCTTAAAAAGAAGTAATATATGTAATATCATAAAACACGACAAAAAGATTAGGATCTAATATCCAGATTCTATGAAAGGTATCCAGCAAGTTACAAAAGTTTCTTTAAATGTAGATTTTCAAGGTAAAATTATATATATATATATATATATAAAGAACCAGGTGAAAGTTTTGTATGACACATGACACGAGATTAAATTCTACCCACCCCTGCGGGCATTCTGTGGCACACTCTCCTCCCACCAGATGGCGTCCCTGAATACACGAGGTACAGTCTGTGGCATGGCTGCCATTGCATGACTTGCAGTTTACGTGGCACTTCCTGCACTCCCTGAACTCAGAGCCATCCTCATCATGGCTGACAAAGGGGTAGTATCCCTGGGAACATTCCACCACACATTCTCCTTCACTCAAATACCTGGAAAACACAAAAAAATCTTCTATCTCATCCACTTCAATCAGTATTCCCAGAAAAGCTATATCTGCATCGAAATGAGTTTCTCATTTTTTACCATGGGCCATTTTTCATATGCAAGCATGAAACCAGTTTGTGTTGAGTTCTAGGTGAAATTAGAATCATAATGCCAGATCGTCATATAATAATTATATATATCATTAATCTATAATATATATAATATATAACCTCCTTACCTGTTCTCCATACAGGTCAAGCACTGATAGTCCTCCTGCCCTGAGCAAGTGAGACATGTAGGATCACAGCTGCTGCAGCCATCTTGGTTTTTGTACTGACCTGTAACATTAAATGTTTACTAAAGGCACTTGATGATGCCGCAAAGTCATATGATACACATCCTGCAATGCTACTTATATTTCCAAATTCAGACCTTAAAAACTATTTAATAAAAAAAAAACTCAAATAAAAGTACATATGCTGATATTTCCTTCTAAAAATGTATTAGGAGGCATGGCCATCTATAAGTGACTGGCAAAAGATAAAGAAGTAAATTATCTAATTAAAAATGGTATAAACCATATAATCCAAGTTCAAAGATAGGTTGATTTGTGAATAGGAGAAAACTGCTTTCTTTTCAAAGAAAATTCTAGATAGGATATCTTAAACAAAGGTATTTGAGATGATTTTTTGAGGACATTTGTTTCCTCTTTTCCCAGAGCTAAAGCTAAATTCAAGACATCATACACTGTATAATACAAATTCAGTTAAAGGGATAATAACTCCTCGTATGAGATCTATATTTCACAATAAAAACATTGTGAATAACTCATAGAAATACAATATATTCTGTTTTACCACAAAAACGGCAGTTATAGCTATTATTCTGATATCTGAGCTCAGTCTTTAGACCACGTGACCTCCATTGATGGCTATACTCTGTTAAAATCTCTTAAGAGGTTTTAACAAAAAACCAAACTTTTCAGAAAAAAAACCAGCGAATAACTTTGAATGTAACAATGGATTCATTAACCATTGGTAAGTATGGGAAAATTGTTGTTTACTCCAGGAAAATTAATTTTTTGGCTGAAATGAAGAGTTATTATCCTTTTAAATATTTATAATTTGCACCAAATTATAATTTTTTATCCAACACAAATCTTTTGTTCATGGCTATAAATGTAGACGTGTGTATCAGATGCTATAACATACTGGTACCAGTTCCCAGTCTTACCTGGAGCACATGTGACCATCTCTGCTGTCTTGGGGACACACCTGTCATCCTGGAGTTGTAGTTCACCTGAGCACTGTGTACACTGGTCATCACGAGGACCACTACACTTAGAACAACTACTGTGACACCTGCAATAATACAGTTTATATGCAATAATATAGTTTAGCTAACATTGGTTATGATGGGCAGTTGCACTGAGAAAGGGTGGCAAAGCACAGAAAAATACAAAAACTAATCAAGCTGGTTTCACATTGATGGTCTAAAAATTAGACTTAACCTGGTTTAAGCATGGTTCAAAAACCTATTTTTTGCAAAATCTAGGTCAAACTGGTACATGGTGAAAAGGAAAAAGTCACCAAGATTGCTGGACATATATCACAATATATCAAATTCTGCAAAATTTAACACTCCTAAATTTCAAATTCCACACAATATTGCCATTTCTCACACTGACTTGCAAAAGTTACAGCATCAAATCATCTAGAACTTTTCCTTTTCTAACAAAAACACAAGGAACATACCTCAAACACTGTCTCTGTTGCCCACTGTCATCCTCATAGAACCCAGTTCCACAATGGCTGACACATGTCCCATTTTGGTAGTAGTAGAAATGACTGCAGGTGATACAGTCTGTCACGTACGGCCCTGCACAACTATAACAGTCCGGGTGACAGCGCTGACACCTAGATAGAGAGGGAGGCAGTTACTTTATGAACAGACAAAAAAGGAGTGAAAACTTTTTTCATTTATACATAACAAACATGCAGTGACTGTAACTGACTGAATAAATCAAGTTATTCCCTTTCCTCAACATTGCTCTTTGAGATCTTCACATTTAATTTAACATTAGTGTGCCAGTGTCATTTTGTAGAATTTCACATTCATAATATACAAGCATGGCCTTCTTTTCTCATCCCCATAATTATGTTAGTTAAACATCTAATACTCAACTTACTTTTTCTCCTCATCCCTATATTCATCACTAAGACAAGAGGCTGTGCAGGTGGCATCTATGAGTTCCATTTTGTCCTTACAAGAAGTACAGTTATCATGGCTGCCCTCACAGGTGGCACAGATATCATCACACAGCTTACAAGATTTAACAGTTTCATCTGAAATGAAAAGTGAGCACTACTTTAGTACTTGTACTAACAATAACAAAAAAATAATTAAAATGAATAATAAAATAAGCAAAATTATATTCAAAATGTTAACAAATAAAAAGAAATATTTTGAGTTTATTTCAACCTGTTACTGATCTATTTTTGTGCCGATGATTTAGTTTTGTTTGTGGATATGGTATGACCTCTGACCTACATCACGTGGCTTATTACATCATTACATCACAGTGGAGAGTGCCTCAGGCCTTCAGTATAGTTTAAAATACTTAGAAGAATACAATGGAGCTTGTTAATCTAAAGAAGACTAAAGATGTAATTTTCTTGGAAGTATAGTAAAAAATACATGGTCAAACTGTTTGAAATAAAGAAAAAAAATGTCCATAACCAGTTGGTACCAAAAGCAGGTAGCCACATATAACTAGCTCTCCTCTTCACAAGATCATGAGACTAGCCCCTGCTTAACAACATTTACATGAGCACAAAAAGCCTTCTTCAGTTTCAAATGCAAATTCCTCTAGCCAGTACCATTCCCACCTCAAAACTTTATGACACAATGATTTTCCCAGTTGCTGCATATGGAGCAGAGGGATGAGGTGTTTTAGTGTTAGACTTGGAGACAGTAGTATACAACTTTGGTATGGTAAGGTATCACAAGAAAATCTCAAGCTGAGCACATATAAAACTTTTAAACTTATTTCTGATAAATAAAAATACCTTGATATAATTGTAGATAAAGAAAAAAGTCAAATCTTAACCAGATTAAGAATCAGAACTCACAATTTGCACATTGAAACAGGTCACCATGTCAAGAGTAACCCACACCAGTTGAAAGAAAAAAGTACCAAAATTGCCACTCTAGAGTTATAGAGGATGAAGAGCACTTTTTAATTACTTCCCCCTATACACTGCATACATAAAGGAACTCTTTCCAAGTAGTACAAAGCAGAAACTCATATTTTACATATCTAAACAACAATGACAAATTTTCCTTCATAATGAATAGCCCAATTGAGACACTGACAGTGATAATATTTTTGGCCAAATACCTTAACCTTGCTTTTGAGAAAAAGAACAGTGCTGCATCTTCCACTTAGTAGTTCTATAATTATAAGTAATAACTCTAAATATTAGGATCCATTTCATGTACAAGAAAACTGCACAATGTGTACATCTATCTATCAGTATAAAATGTATTGTTGTTATTATTATTATTTCTGCATTATCATTATTAATTTATTATTATTTATTTCTGTACATTTTCACCAGCTCAGTCTGATGTAAAAAATATAAATAAAGAATATACATATTTCCCCTCAGGTGTTATCAGGGTTACCACATTCACACAATAAAATTTATTAAGACATTTACAATGTAATATTGATCATCCAAATCAATCAATAGATAAAAGCACAGTCAGCTATGGCATTGATAACCGGCTATCTCAGCTACTATTTATTTGTCTAACCAAATACTGACACCTTACCTGTAAAATAACCATCAGAGCATTGGCTTACACAGGTTCCATCATGTTCGCTGAAGTATTCCCCGGTCTCACAGCTCAGACAGTCTGTCTCCTTGGGACCACGACATGTTTTACAGTACATACTGCAGGGGTGGCAGATCTTATCACTGGCGTAGTACTGACCATCTTTACAGCTGGCGACACAAGGGCTGCAAGTAAACAAAATAATAAATAGGATACTTTCTACAGACCTGTGGGCAGAAATTTGAAATGGGTGCTCTTTTTTTCTGAAAATGTGGACCCTTTTAACCCTTAGTTGACCCAACTTAAAAATGACACAGGACCTTGATCAAANGTCATTTTGTAGAATTTCACATTCATAATATACAAGCATGGCCTTCTTTTCTCATCCCCATAATTATGTTAGTTAAAAATCTAATACTCAACTTACTTTTTCTCCTCATCCCTATATTCATCACTAAGACAAGAGGCTGTGCAGGTGGCATCTATGAGTTCCATTTTGTCCTTACATGAAGTACAGTTATCATGGCTGCCCTCACAGGTGGCACAGATATCATCACACAGCTTACAAGATTTAACAGTTTCATCTGAAATGAAAAGTGAGCACTACTTTAGTACTTGTACTAACAATAACAAAAAAAAAAAAAATTAAAATGAATAATAAAATAAGCAAAATTATATTCAAAATGTTAACAAATAAAAAGAAATATTTTGAGTTTATTTCAACCTGTTACTGATCTATTTTTTGTGCCGATGATTTAGTTTTGTTTGTGGAGAGTGCCTCAGGCCTTCAGTATAGTTTAAAATACTTAGAAGAATACAATGGAGCTTATCTGTTAATCTAAAGAAGACTAAAGATGTAATTTTCTTGGAAGTATAGTAAAAAATACATGGTCAAACTGTTTGAAATAAAGAAAAAAAATGTCCATAACCAGTTGGTACCAAGAGCAGGTAGCCACATATAACTAGCTCTCCTCTTCACAAGATCATGAGACTAGCCCCTGCTTAACAACGTTTACATGAGCACAAAAAGCCTTCTTCAGTCTCAAATGCAAATTCCTCTAGCCAGTACCATTCCCACCTCAAAACTTTATGACACAATGATTTTCCCAGTTGCTGCATATGGAGCAGAGGGATGAGGTGTTTTAGTGTTAGACTTAGAGACAGTAGTATACAACTTTGGTATGGTAAGGTATCACAAGAAAATCTCAAGCTGAGCACATATAAAACTTTTAAACTTATTTCTGATAAAGAAAAATACCTTGATATAATTGTAGATAAAGAAAAAAGTCAAATCTTAACCAGATTAAGAATCAGAACTCACAATTTGCACATTGAAACAGGTCACCATGTCAAGAGTAACTCACACCAGTTGAAAGAAAAAAGTACCAAAATTGCCACTCTAGAGTTATAGAGGATGAAGAGCACTTTTTAATTACTTCCCCCTATACACTGCATACATAAAGGAACTCTTTCCAAGTAGTACAAAGCAGAAACTCATATTTTACATATCTAAACAACAATGACAAATTTTCCTTCATAATGAATAGCCCAATTGAGACACTGACAGTGATAATATTTTTGGCCAAATACCTTAACCTTGCTTTTGAGAAAAAGAACTGTGCTGCATCTTCCACTTAGTAGTTCTATAATTATAAGTAATAACTCTAAATATTAGGATCCATTTCATATACAAGAAAACTGCACAATGTGTACATCTATCTATCAGTATAAAATGTATTGTTATTATTATTATTTCTGCATTATCATTATTAATTTATTATTATTTATTTCTGTACATTTTCACCAGCTCAGTCTGATGTAAAAAATATAAATAAAGAATATACATATTTCCCCTCAGGTGTTATCAGGGTTACCACATTCACACAATAAAATTTATTAAGACATTTACAATGTAATATTGATCATCCAAATCAATCAATAGATAAAAGCACAGTCAGCTATGGCATTGATAACCGGCTATCTCAGCTACTATTTATTTGTCTAACCAAATACTGACACCTTACCTGTAAAATAACCATCAGAGCAGTGGCTTACACAGGTTCCATCATGTTCACTGAAGTATTCCCCGGTCTCACAGCTCAGACAGTCTGTCTCCTTGGGACCACGACATGTTTTACAGTACATACTGCAGGGGTGGCAGATCTTATCACTGGCGTAGTACTGACCATCTTTACAGCTGGCGACACAAGGGCTGCAAGTAAACAAAATAATAAATAGGATACTTTCTACAGACCTGTGGGCAGAAATTTGAAATGGGTGCTCTTTTTTTCTGAAAATGTGGACCCTTTTAACCCTTAGTTGACCCAACTTAAAAATGACACAGGACCTTGATCAAATTTTGATTCAGAGCAGATATTTTCCCTCTAAAAGGGTGGTTCCTTCTAACCCCCTTTGCTTAAGGGCCTGATCTGAAGAAAATAATATGTGGACTCTTTGTTCACAAAGGCAGTAAATGAAATCTATTTTGGTTTTTAAATATATGTTCACAGTCACAGCAACTAAATATTAGTTATTTTTCTTTTTATGAGAAATGTCAATCTCCCAGATCTCATTTCCTCTGAATCAGAATCTGTCCTGCTAACTAACCAACTTATCAATTTTCTCCAGTCTTATTTTCAGTGCTTGAAGGATCTATTTATTCCTTTTCTCTTACTCTCATAGTCTCCTCCTGTCACTTACCCGTCCTGTCCATCTCTGTAGTGTTTACACTCCAGGCAGTCTCTAGGGTCTGACCCTGTACAGTCACCAAGACACTCCACATCACAGTCTTCTGCTGGAGCCTGATAAATACATTACAATACAATCTGTTACAGAGAACAAAGAAACACACACGCACGCACAGTATAAATTATACCAAAGAATGAACAAAAGTGGGATTAACACTACAAATTCTTTTACAAAATACAATTACCAAGAAAAGCCAGGTTTGAAAAAACTGATTTCACTATTATTATTATTATTATTATTATTATTATAATTATTATTATTATTATCTTATCATCATCTTACTGTTTTGGTGCCAGAACCGGGTCTCTCTGTCTTGCTGCCAAACATCCACTCATATATCCCCCCCTCACTGCTGCCAGATGCCCCCTCCTTGTTCTTATCAAGGACATCATTGAAATGACTGGATTCATCATGATGGCCTTTTTTGGGAGAGGAGTCAGCATGCCCCCTATGTTTGGCTTCAGGCTCTGCTGTTGGTTTGGGTTTGAGCTGAATTGGTTGTTTGTCTGTGCCATACACCACTAACTCCCAATCTGTTAACACTCCTGCAACATGATTATTTATAAAATAATACCCCGTTCACACTACAGTTGCCAAAATGCGCATTTCTATAATTCGGATTTTTCGTAAAGAATCCAATTCGGTATTGNTGACGACAAATGCAACTCAAAAGACATTCCAGCATTCTTGAGAAGTATAAGGTGGCAAAATAAGTTTGTTTCCTCATGTTGTAGTGAGTGGTGACCGCCAAATACGTTTGGTGCAATCGCTAAAGTAATAAACCAGCGTTCATAGATACCCGCACTTATCTGCACACATGCGCAGTAAGATCTGGACAGGTGTCGATTCCGGTAAGTTATCCGGATCGCGCTTAGAAATCCACCTCGCTTGCAGGATTTTGAAAATGCGCATTTTCAAAATCCTCTTGCGTTCACACTACTGCATTTATTCGAATTGTGACCTAATTCGCAACTTATCCAGATAACTGAGCGTAGTGTGAACGGGGTATATAATTCAAAATTTTCTGAAAATTTATTTTGTTTCGTTTGCATTGGTCTCTATCTCTTTCTCTCTAATAAATGTTCACTATCACATACACAACAATGCAATGTCCAACCATCCCATTAGTGATGTAAATACTCAATACAATCAACAATATTACAACAAACACAATCAAATATATCAAACCCATCACAATCTGCAGAGTGACAGGTCACACAGTTTACCTTTATTTTCCTTGGACCCATGGTTTTCTATCTCCAGTATCCACTTTCCCTTGGGGTTCTCTCCCCAGAAGTGAACAGACATGAAGGGCCACTCGCTGAATCCTCCATTCACTCCATCCATGTCTCGTTTTGGCAGTAAAAGCGACCGCGTACCATTAGGTGATGTGAGGTGTATCACGACATCCCCGCGCCTGGAGTACGTCAGTGAGATCTTGGCTTGCACATGTTCTGCATGTACCACGTGTTGATCTTTCGTGCCTTCACATGCATACATGTGCATCTCCACCTTCAATCCATCTCCACCAATATTACTGGAATACACAGAGCCCTCATTAAATAATATTATTTTATAAACAAAAAATCATCAATTGTAACATCATTATTATACTCAACTGGCCCTTAAATTCTTATCCTTATATGTAGTTAAAAAAAGTTTAAAATCATCAAACCTGCCAAAGCAAGAATCTTCAACAAAAACGACTATAATTACGTTTTCCTGTCATCTCTCTCCGAGTGGCAGACATGCTGTGGAGGCACTTTGGTCCAGCGTTCAGCATATTCTACCATAGCAGCAGCATCCATCAGACCATAACCATAGCGACTACTCACTGCAACATACATTCACAAATATCACTTACTGTATCCTTTCACTGCATTTCACCACTGATTTTTTTTTTTCTTTTGACTAATTATATAAGCATTTGTTATTCTTTCCCCGGGTTTCAATTTTTAATCATCACAATTTAACAAACATTTATAAATTATGAACAATGTCATATCAATGATATGTGAAAACAAGAGAGAATATCACTTAAAGCCATTAGTTAGCAACCTGTTATAAAGTCTACACAGTTATTTTCATACTATGACAATAATTTACTACTTTCACTTTTCAATGAAATTTTTGCAATCACCCACCTTTCCTCCCCATGCCGTTGACCACCCACTTGTTATGTGGATCTTTGATGATGTCCGGCCTGGCCGCCAGCAACGTGATGTACTGCATGTCACGCCATGTTAAACTGGGACTAGAGGGGAGGATACAGTGACATGGTAGACATGATCATGAAAAAATTTANTTTGGATTCAGAGCAGATATTTTCCCTCTAAAAGGGTAGTTCCTTCTAAACCCCTTTGCTTAAGGGCCTGATCTGAAGAAAATAATATGTGGACTCTTTGTTCACAAAGGCAGTAAATGAAATCTATTTTGGTTTTTAAATATATGTTCACAGTCACAGCAACTAAATATTAGTTATTTTTCTTTTTATGAGAAATGTCAATCTCCCAGTTCTAATTTCCTCTGAATCAGAATCTGTCCTGCTAACTAACCAACTTATCAATTTTCTCCAGTCTTATTTTCAGTTCTTGAAGGATCTATTTATTCCTTTTCTCTTACTGTCCTCTCATAGTCTCCTCCTGTCACTTACCCATCCTGTCCATCTCTGTAGTGTTTACACTCCAGGCAGTCTCTGGGGTCTGACCCTGTACAGTCACCAAGACACTCCACATCACAGTCTTCTGCTGGAGCCTGATAAATATATTATAGTACAATGTTACAGAAAACACACACACACACACACACACACACACACACACACACACACACACACACACACACACACACACACACACACACAGTATAAATTATACCAAAGAATGAACAAAAGTGGGATTAACACTACAAATTCTTTTACAAAATACAATTACCAAGAAAAGCCAGGTTTGAAAAAACTGATTTCACTATTATTATTATAATTATTATTATTATTATTATTATTATCTTATCATCATCTTACTGTTTTGGTGCCAGAACCGGGTCTCTCTGTCTTGCTACCAAACATCCACTCATATATCCCCCCCTCACTGCTGCCAGATGCCCCCTCCTTGTTCTTATCAAGGACATCATTGAAATGACTGGATTCATCATGATGGCCTTTTTTGGGAGAGGAGTCAGCATGCCCCCTATGTTTGGCTTCAGGCTCTGCTGTTGGTTTGGGTTTGAGTTGAACTGGTTGTTTGTCTGTGCCATACACCACTAACTCCCAATCTGTTAACACTCCTGCAACATGATTATTTATAAAATATAATTCAAAATTTTCTGAAAATTTATTTTGTTTCGTTTGCATTGGTCTCTATCTTTTTCTCTCTAATAAATGTTCACTATCACATACACAACAATGCAATGTCCAACCATCCCATTAGTGATGTAAATACTCAACACAATCAACAATATTACAACAAACACAATCAAATATATCAAACCCATCACAATCTGCAGAGTGACAGGTCACACAGTTTACCTTTATTTTCCTTGGACCCATGGTTTTCTATCTCCAGTATCCACTTTCCCTTGGGGTTCTCTCCCCAGAAGTGAACAGACATGAAGGGCCACTCGCTGAATCCTCCATTCACTCCATCCATGTCTCGTTTTGGCAGTAAAAGCGACCGCGTACCATTAGGTGATGTGAGGTGTATCACGACATCCCCGCGCCTGGAGTACGTCAGTGAGATCTTGGCTTGCACATGTTCTGCATGCACCACGTGTTGATCTTTCGTGCCTTCACATGCATACATGTGCATCTCCACCTTCAATCCGTCTCCACCAATATTACTGGAATACACAAAGCCCTCGTTAAATAATATTATTTTATAAACAAAAAATCATCAATTGTAACATCATTATTATACTCAACTGGCCCTTAAATTCTTATCCTAATATGTAGATAAAAAAAGTTTAAAATCATCAAACCTGCCAAAGCAAGAATCTTCAACAAAAACGACTATAATTACGTTTTCCTGTCATCTCTCTCCGAGTGGCAGACATGTTGTGGAGGCACTTTGGTCCAGCGTTCAGCATATTCTACCATAGCAGCAGCATCCATCAGACCATAACCATAGCGACTACTCACTGCAACATACATTTACAAATATCATTTACTGTATCCTTTCACTGCATTTCACCACAGATTTTTTTTTTTTTTGACTAATTATATAAGCATTTGTTATTCTTTCCCTGGGTTTCAATTTTTAATCATCACAATTTAACAAACATTTATAAATTATGAACAATGTCATATCAATGATATGTGAAAACAAGAGAGAATATCACTTAAAGCCATAAGTTAGCAACCTGTTATAAAGTCTTCACAGTTACTTTCATACTATGACAATAATTTACTACTTTCACTTTTCAATGAAATTTTTGCAATCACCCACCTTTCCTCCCCATACCGTTGACCACCCACTTGTTATGTGGATCTTTGATGATGTCCGGCCTGGCCGCCAGCAACGTGATGTACTGCATGTCACGCCATGTTAAACTGGGACTAGAGGGGAGGATACATTGACATAGTAGACATGATCATGAAAAAATTAANTTGACAAAAATAAAGCCCCCATAAAGCTGAGAAATTGTTTTACTCTCTCTCTCTCTCTCTCTCTCTCTCTCTCTCTCTCTCTCTCTCTCTCTCTCTCACACACACACACACACACACACACACACACACACACACACACACACACACACACACACACACACACACACACACACACACACGCACGCATGCATACACGCAAGCAAGCCTGCACATACATAAGCACACAAAACACAAAATTCTCCTAGTTATGCACTTTTTTGATAATTCAAATGAATGTTGAAATGAATGCCTGTGGTGTTAATGTCTGTTGTATTTCAGAACCATACTTACTTGGCTTCCAGAGCCAAGGCAGCAATCCCTGCAGCCAGAGGTGCTGATGCGGAGGTACCAGTGTGAGTGTTTGTACATCTGTTATGAAGATCTGTGGTCACCTAAGTGTTAGGTAAGAAAACATTAGTATTAGTATTACTGACTTATCAATTTGAAATACATTAAATAGACTGATGACAAATGAACAGTTTTATCAAAAGATCTGACACACTTCATACAGAAATAATTTGAATGGTATAAATACTAACAGAACAATGGCTTTAGTATGCAATAAAATCAGCATCATCAAACACTAAAAGCAATAATAATTCGAAATTGAAAATTATCAAAAAAAATTTAAAAAAAGCATAATTACAATTTGCCTATCATTGTATCCTCCACTGCTGAAGGTGCTGGCCAGAGTAGAGGAGCACTCCTCTAGATACCACGGCTCCAGCTCCTTCTCCGTCACACTGCTTATGGACAGGGTGTAGATACTGTTGGTGTAGCCATCACAGTTACAGGAGTCCTTATTGTTCCCACCATTCCCAGAAGCCCAAATAAAGATGGAGCCCTTGCCCCCTCTGCCCTGGAAGACATTGTAAAGACTTTGGCATTATACTCCAAATAGTGAATATTTTACAAACTGCCTGAGCATTTATCTCTTTATTGATCAATTTAGAAATATTTAATCAATTAAGACATGTGTCTCAAACAATTTTCTTCTGTCCATATAGTAGCAACTCAGATTTCAACCCAGGAGAGCCTGACCTTATCTCCCTGTAGTATACTCTGCAGTTATCATTTAAGTTCTGGACATCAATTCTACTCCCAGAGTGAAGCGTTGATGTAAAAGTAATCACCCTCACCTTGGTTACTCCGTCCACAAATGCCTTCTTGGCCATAAAAGACGGCCCGTCCACCACCTTCCCATTGTCATCAGGTCCCCAGCTGGCAGAGTAGATGTCTATATGTTGAGGGTTCAGAGACAGTGACTTGGCCTCCACGGCGTCTGTCACATCTCCGTCTAACATACGCACACCTAGAAACAGATAACATTCACTAAAAGTGACATCATAATCAATTACATCTACATTTACACAATATATGCATGTATACAATAATTAACCCAGTACTTATTTGCTATTTATTATTTTATTTACTTATTTATTTATTTATTTATCTTTCATCATATTTCCATATCTTACTTCTATTGTAAAAATTCATACACAGACATAGCATATCATTGAGACAAATAAAACACAGAATCATATTTGCAGCACTTTTGAACTTAAAACTAACTCATAGTTCGGTGACATTTTACACAAACTCTCTTTGCTAACAGATTACATAATAAACTGTGTTTCTATCATATTACAGTATACGCAATTTCATAAAGGTCTGAATATGCATGGAGAATCCATTACAATTCCCCAAAGACTCTTGTCCATCTTGTAGATTCAAATGCTACAGCAAACCCCATGTATTCTATCATAACATGAAGGCATCAATAACATCAAAGCCATTCCAATCATAAAGAGAATGCTAACACATTGACCAGTTTGGTGTTAGCAAATAAAACACACACAGCAATGCAAGATCCTTTGTCTGTGTGTCATCAGGTATGTTATTAACAGAGAAACGCTGTAATTTTTTCTAAGAAAATCACCTCGGCGTCTCCTCATTACTTTAATATCTGATGTGTTTAACTTGGGGTTAAATATGGTGAAGACATGCAATTTGCTCTGAGAGTTATCATCATAACAGCAACTGCAGGCTTCTGCCCAGCAGGGAGGACTGTGAATTCTCAGAAATCAATCTTTTTTCACGTTGACTAGGTAAATGATCGGAAATACACATAGAATCAGATGAATAAGTCAACAATCTGAAATATCCGTCCCTCAGTTTTGGTGCCATTTTGAACACTTATGTAGCAATTGATTTAGTAGACTGTATGCCCATTATTAGTAATATGTCGGTTTAATTAAGTTTCACGATTTAGCAGCTTATTTTACCTCCAATTCTTGCTTTGTATGCAATTCCAACCCCACATTTTGTGTTGTTAGCAGCAGCAGCCACCTCACCTGCACATCTTGTACCATGCCTGGTAACGATAACATTATTGGAACTGTTACAATGACAACATTTGTACAATGACAACATTTTATGTATTATGTCATTGTGATATATTACACTTAGTTTTCAATTCTGTGTGTTTGTGTGTGTGTTTGTATGTGTGTGTGTGTGTGTGTGTGAGAGAGAGAGAGAGAGAGAGAGAGAGAGAGAGAGAGAGAGAGAGAGAGAGAGAATGGGTGTGATTACTTTTTGTCTGGTACATACCTGTTTTCATCTGAAAAATTATATCTAGGCATTGGATCGTCATCATTGGAATTAAAGTCATGACTAGCTTCCTTGTCCTGTAATAAAAGTCAAAAAGTTATTAGGTTTTATGTGTTTCTTGGTGTTTCACCCTTGCATATTGATAAAAAGAGATATTGGAAATGACACTGTAAAATGAAAATCCCTTCTTACTGCAGTGTGTAATGTAATATCCAGTGACAGCCTTTTCTGCCACATAATATCATCGCTATCTTTATATTTAGTTTTTTCTTTTAAAACCTGGGCCCATTATGATGGACTATAATTCATGTGAATGATTTAACGTAATCGTCTACAGATGTTCTGGTAAAGATACGGCTATGTAGTATTTGATTGCTTTTTTCATGTTATTCATAAGTGAAATAACCCATTCACTCTGCTGCCATTGTGATGCCATACTAAATGAGTGTGGGCTGCCAGTGATGGCTGATCACTGCCATGGGAGGTCTCTAATTGACTAAATGATGATAAGTAATAACGAAATGCCCAGTGTGGCGGTCATTAGTGTCCACAGCAATACCTACCAACATCACAACCCACAAATACTGGGAAATTATCCGAAACATAGAAGAGTTTTGAGACCCGAGGTCAATCTTTGTTCATTAGTTAATTTATAGATAACAAACGCTACAGCAAACACCATGTATTTTCTCTTAACATGGAGACATCAATATCATCAAAGCCATTCCAATCATAAAGAGAAGGAATCACACATTGACCAGTTTGAAGTTAGCAAATTAAACACACGCAGCAACACTAGACAAAATAAATCAATATCTAAAATATAACTTTAAACACCACTTCTATACCATTTTTGTTGTAAGAATCCAGTGACTTGCAAAAAAAAAAAAAAAAAAAAAAAAAGATTGTGAAATGGCTTTGTGATCAGATATGACAATGCATGAAAACCAGACCACCTAATGTTTTCCCAATGCAGTTAACAAAGCATTACCAGCAAACTGACTTCTGGTCAGATTGAACCAAAATACCCTTTAAAATGCTATCATTTTATATGAAATGTCTTTATCAAATGAAAAAAAGATCTGAAAGAATCAAGCTAAGCTGTCATTTGCCTTAATGGAGGCCCTAATAGTTTTAAGACTAGATATTCTGGTATTATGAGTGATATTTCAGCATTCTGAGCTACACAACAAGTTGCTAGCTGCCTTATGACATCTGGTTTCAAACCTCTGTTGCAAAGTGGAAAAGCAAAAAAAAAAAAAAAAAAGGAAGAATCATACTGATATAAAAGCAAGAGCGCAGCATGAACTTAACTTACTGTAGACTTTTTATACAAAGACATCCACTTTCAGCATAGTTTTGGACCAAACAAGCAACTGACCCATCCCTTGACTCATTATACCACTTTACCTACCTCATACAATGTATACCTGTGGAGTATCCCTGACATCAACATACCAAATATATCTTATATAACATGTATCTTATATAACATGTATGCTATATTTTTACTGCCAAACTGTTCCTTGGTAAGGCTAAACACTTGCAAAATAATGACCTCCCTTGTCACACCAATAGTGTTGCCACTTCTACCACAATTTTATCCCCGACACACTGAATAACTGACACTATGTGCCTTACCTCACATACAATGTGTTAAGTGCAGCATTGTGTTAGATGAGATACTCAAACCTCACACAAAATGTGTTAAGTGCAGCATTGTGTTAGATGAGACATCCAATGCATTACTATTGCCTCACACACAGTGTGTTGGATACAGCATTGTGTTGGATGAGACTATCAATACGGTGCCCACACACACACACACTGTCTACTTACATAGTTGGGCTGTATATCGGTATGTGTTGTTTCTAGTCCATCATCGAGTATAGTAACGACCACATTTCTGCCAGCATATCCCTTTTGCCAGGCTGGTAACACATTCATATCATACCCATCCTTGGAGCCTGCATGCTGCAAATATATGAATCAGAATTGGCAATATTCATATATTCCAATCAACAAAATATGTGCATTGACACTGACAAATATTATATTAATAGCATTCTACCACATAAATCAATTAACTCCAACTTCTGCGTAAGTGCCATTATGATCCTATTTAAGATCGATATTGTTAATTATTGTCATATTATCATTTTTTAATAAAGATCAATCTCCTAAGTGCTTTTTTTTCTAATTGCACAGTTGTAAAATCAAATGAACATTTTTTTATCTTCATTTTGTATCCAAAGTTTTTAATTTGGCTACTTGACGATTTAATCCAAGAAATATAATTCATCATCAATGCCTACCAAAGGATTAGACTATCTTACAGAAGTTGAAATATTGGGATAAAAGAAGTATTTTAGAGGTTAATGTTGTGAAAAAATTCTCTGAAGTGAATTGCCAACCTTGCTCGACATTATTTTTCAAAGAGTTTTAAGTTTAAAATCCAATTGAGAATGCTTAATTATAGAGACTGAATATGCTAGTTATTGAAAAAAATTTGAAGATCTATCTCAGGACTAGTCATAACTGAGGTTAGAAAATAACAGACTGAAATCACTGGCAACCATAACCAGTCTGAAAACAAGGTGAAGAGACTGAAAAAGTGGTTTGAGCATATACAATTACTGCAGAGTGCCTCATCATGACAGCAGCTCACAAATGGTAATGTTGCAGGGAAAGCAATGCTTTTATGCAAAATATGAAACACTGTATACCTATTATATCACATGCACTGCTTATAAATAATCCCTAGTGCCACACGAAACACCATCAATTGACTTATTTTTCATGAAAATGCCTCTGCTCTTTGTGTAGTTCACTGTTCTATGAACAATGTTGCTGTCACTGCAGGGGAGGGCATCTGATCCTTGGGCATCTGATACCCCCCCCCCCCCCCATCCTTCCCTCTCTCCACCTGACTTGGCATTGAGTTTGTTCTTGTTTTTTAAATTTGGTTTTCTTTGAATTCATATAATCCTGTATAAGATACCTCTGATTCAAGATATTATGATCATAATAAGGAGATCATTATCTGGAGAAGTTAGCCTTTGAGTATCAAAATGCTGACTCCTCTATGCTGGATCAACTTGTTATGCAGACTCAATCATTCAATCAAAGATTCAATCTTCAAATCAACATCTGAAATAACTGCTTTTTAATACTTCCAAACTAAATTACTTGAGGTAGGCAAATCATGGGTAATTCAATAAAGATGAAATTATCAATGAATTTAGCAAAGGGAAGTTGACATTCTGATACAAATAGACTGGCTTCAATAGATTAGTTGCTGCTGCCTGCCTCCAAAAGTTCGATAAAAAACAAGATTCTTTTTTTTTTTTTTAAGGTTTTCAATTTTCAAGATTTCAAAGAAAATCAATATGCTTTGTCAGAGTTACAACTATATCTTCTTTAATGTCCCAATCCAACTGAAGATTACTATAATTACTTTGGACTATGAAACTAATTTTTATGTTTGAGAAGATTAAATGACAAAATTATTGACACTGTTATACTGTTTTTCTCTTATCAGTCCTATAGGTAAGATCCTTCTGTATATATGACATCAATAAAACATTACTCTGTCATAGAAAAATAACAAGTATGACTCAACATGTGCTGACAACATAATATTTACATAGCAATCCCAACAAATTATGGAGAAGATAATCTTTAACGATAATACAATACGTCACTACCAGGGAAGAAAATAGCTTTCTTACGTATCTAGTTTTTTTATTAACTTACTTAGCATCAGTAGACATGCATGGGTCATAAAAAAACTTGTCATTAGTTGTGGTTTATGTCTTTTTTCTGTTCTAATAACAATATGAAATGACTTGTAATGAATGTGAACAATTCCCAAGTCATGTATGGAAAATGAATTTATGAATATTAATGTGAAGAAAATATTACAAACCATACTAATTTTCTGACCTTTTTTTTTTTTTTTTTTTTGATGAAGCCAAGTATATACATGCTGCTACAGGAATGAAAGTAGAGACAATTATGTATTAATTAAATGAGACAGTAACAAAATATGCAAACCAGTTTAGCAAAATTAAGTTAGCCTCCTTCGGAAAGCTAGATTATATTTCAATACAGCTCAAGAGCAGAATTCAAAAATGAAGATAATTCTAACGATTTTTGCCACATTTATGTCTACAATTATCAAATCACAGAAGGTTGCAGCAATAATGCACTGCATGTTTTTCAATAAAACACTTAAAACAATATCACTAAAGACCTTTTCTCTCCAGGTTGAATGCCCTTCAAATCAATAACCAAGTTATTGAAGTCCATTAGTGGAATGTTGAAAATACATAGTGCTGTGCTGTCTATGTGTATCCAAAGTAACATGTAGACAGAAACCAGTCCCTTGTGCTGAGATTATAGCTGTGTTCACATTGGGACCATATAAAATGGGTTCTGGGGTTCATGAAATCACAACATTTTTTTAGTTAACAGCCCAGCAGTAATCCACCTAAGGACGTAAAGTAGAGCTGCCTACAGGTGGACCAGTTAAGAGGTGGCAACTGTTCAAACTTTCTTATTATCATGACCTTAGAAAAAGAACTATAAAAGCCAAGGTGCAGGTGAAGCAATTACCACCTAGCCAGCGTTAGGGCATTTTTGCTCTCGTGAATGCTTCAACCCACTCGCTTGCTTGATTTTGGCCTATTCTTGAGAGGGCCTGTGGTAAAGAAATTAGAGCCTCAACCAAAATTTTTTTTAAACCCTGACATTTTATTTTTGCTCGTGTTAACACACTTCATACACTTAACAACCAACGAGCTCTGAGGTTTGCCTTGAACTCTCTCAGAGTCTACAAAATCACATCACTCCACTTCCATATCTGTCTTGTACTTGACTATACAAACTGAGCTATCTGATGTGATAATGTGAATACATAAATCTCTAATGCATCCTCCGTTGGTCTCTACATACTGACTGTGCTGGGCTGGGACAACTGCTGAAGTCCACACTGATAAAATACCAGCTCAGGTCAGCAACAGGACTAGTAGTATCATTATTATTACACTACTAACATGATCAAACTCATGAAAACACTTCTGTATGGTACATCTTAGTAGAGTGGCACAAAACATTTACAATCGATTATGGTAATTTTGACTCTCTGAAATTCATATCACTTTTGATAATTTTCTCAATAACGTCTTTTATATGCATGTATAAATATGTAACAATTTCTAAATCCATAAATGGTAGAATGTTCCTGAATATCTTAACTAGGCAAAATTCTATTACAATGTTATAAAATCAGGGTTTTCCCCAGTATTTGGGATACACGTAGTCAAAGATGTGAATCTGTAATTTTGTCACCAATTTACAGGGAGACCAACTGACTTGTCCTTTCTAAAAAAATTCCCTGTAAGCAGTCCAGTCGTCTTGAAAAATATAGCCAATGGCCATCCAAATGATGACTGGGCAGCTCTCTGGGGAAAGCCTTGAATGTCATTCAACCAATCATCCAAGTGAATTAATCAGAATAAATTGCTGTGTAAGTAATACTTCTAGCAAAACTTGAAGAAAGGACATGTAAAACCTTTAAGATAATGAATGGTGAATTGGTGACAGATAATTTGATCATTTTTAAAAAATTAAAACAAAATCTATAAAATATTGCTTAGTCACTAAACTGTACGTACCAGGTACCACTGATCTTTATACAGTGGGTCTCTAAAGTGAGGATTATACTTTAGTAAATCTCTTTTCACCCTCTTCTTCACATATTGTTGCTCTACCCAAAGAACCTGAAATAGAGAAAATAATGCACTTATGGATTTCTCCTTTTTTTTAAATTTTACTATTTTTTTTAAATATCCAAATATCATATGTCCACAGCTGATCATTAATTAAAAATTAATAAACAATATAAAAATAACATTTGACCACAACTTGCATAATGATAAATAAATTCTGGTTGTTATAACATCCTACTAAAATTTCCGTTGTAGAAATACCACATCTTTCATCTTGTTTATTCCTTTCACTGCACATAATGTGTGTGTCATAGAGTCAATGACACTATTATTAAGACACATATATCATTTCTGCCACACAAACAGTCACATATTATATACAAAATCCCACATTCTACTGTGATGAATACAAATTACATTCATAAATCAACAAAAAACTGCTCCTTTTTTGTAATTTATTTACTTCCTCCTTCATCTGGCATTCCACCATCAGTAAAATAATAGCTACTGCCAGGAAAAAGAAAATAGCTACTGTTATGCTCTTCCTAAGGTCAAGAGCTAAGGGGGAAAATAAAAAGTACAAAGGACATGTTTGTTCTTTCCTCTTCTTGTTGCTATTCATGCTATGGTATCTTCTTTTTAAGAAGAAGAAAAAAAAGGAAATAACATACAGTTCAAATACATTTCAACCCAAAAGGAATTCATTGCAACCAAGCCTACTGTAAATTATGGGGTAAAAAGAAACATGTTTTATATTTTCTGGGACTTCTATTACTTCCTACCAGCCAAGACAAAAAGAATCTATAGCTATCCTGATGAAATCACATCTATTGTGTGGGTTGGCTCTGTGGACATAAATCTTTCAAATGAGAACCTATATTTTCTTAAAAGAGTCCAAATGTTATTCATTTCCTCCTTTGCTTCTAGGTATCCCATTTATAAAACGTTTCAGTTAGCAAGTCAAAAGAGCTCAAAACATGGCATCTTTGCCATCCTGTGCCTGATAAGTTACGGAAATACAATCTCTACACTTGTTACGCTTAAATAAATTCACATTCATGACTGGGTAATGAGTTGCATATGAAGGTTGTTTACAGAAATTCAAGTAAACTTGATTTTCTACAATCCAGTCTGAAGTCCATGATGGCTAAGGCCAGTGAGGTGAACATCGTTTGGTGCAATGATTACTCAAAGTTTTCAATGGGGGAAATTGTGAATTTTACAGATACTGTATTTTTTAAGTCATAATTCCTTAAAATAAGAACATTCCTCTTAAGTGGCAGCAACAAAAGTAAAAAGCAGGCTATTGTTTTATTCCATTCTATGCATTTNACACACCCATCAATAGCAATAGTCGTTTTATTCTGTGCTGCTTCCCAGTAATCATTCCATAAGTATTGTATAGATCTGTATAATTTGTTGCTAAGTTGTTATGACTAGTGTAGAGAGCCTGTAAAATGTAATATGTATGCATTTTAGTGCTCAATAAAGATTATTATAAAACACCACAATGCTAAATAGAATTAGAAATATAATTTTGTGATTATGAAAGTGTGATAATTTTGCCCATTGAAAAGATTTGAGTCACTGACATATAACATGACTGGCTTTGACTCTACCAGTGTACTGACTGTTCATGATTCTATTCAAACTCCCATCTTAAAACAATCCAATGCTGTTAAAGTGCTTTACGTAATAAATTAATCAATCAAAACCACATACTATAACAAGATACAATTACAAAATGGAATTTGCGATAAATGCTTCAACAGTTTTCTAATGATGGCACTTTGCCAGACTTGCTTCTAAGTGTCTTGCTTTCTTTTTACTTACTAGTAAGGATAGATGGATTTAAAAAAATCTAATCAAGCAGGTGCTTACAAGTGAATATATCCATTGCCTCTACCACAGGCTACACTTCATAGTTTTTAAAAGTGTTATGTCTGCAGACATATAAATATATATTTATATGTGTGCAGAAATATATATTAATAAATATAAGAAGCTAAAATAAAGCATACTGGCTGATTCGTAAATGGAGATTGCATGTCTCCAATTAAGTTCAAGCTCAACACATATTACAGGGTAGAAAGACTGCATGCAAACAGTCGCAGTAACAGAGAAAGCCGCAGTGTCTCATTCCTGACACGATGAATTGATTGTAATGAGAACTGTGACTGTAAATCAAGCAATCCTGTTTCCAATCACATATTGCTCTTCTGGGAGCTGTTACAACCAGCATGGTCCGCTGATCTGGAAAGTGCATGACAGTGCAGTCTACTGGGGTATATACAGAGATAGCCATGGGTATAGCTTAGGGCCAAAAACCAGCTGTGGTGTACCAAGAACTCTAACAAATACAGTGAATACCACTGAGACATAAAGTAGCATAGGAAGAACCTATAGACTATAGCTCATTTTCGAACTAAGTAATGCGCTGCTCACAAGCCTGATATACACCAGAGCCAGCTGTGGTGAACCAATAACTAGAACTAAAACAGTTTATGTCACTCAGACAAAACCCAGCAGATCATATGAGCTTCTGCTTAGGAAGAAGCATGGATGATGGCTCAATTTAAAACAACACCCAACAACCCCAGTCTGCTTTGGTAAAATGTGCCATGTTAGACAGAGTTACTGTCATCTTCTATGCAGACTTTACTTGTACAGATTTCTGTTTGATATCCCAGATAACATCATAATTAAGATGTCTACATGTAATTATGGTTATGATGGTGTTTATCATGTGCATATATGCTGTTTGGTTAACCATAATTCCGCCTGACTAGATCATTTAACAAATCCCTTAATATCTTTGAAGTTTCAGCTAAATTAAACTATATAAACAAGACTGCAACAAGATTGCAATTTTACACCATCACATAATTCACATTGTATGGCTGCATATTAAATGGCATCAAACAGCAATAACCTCTTCCCTACCAATAAGTGGTCACAGAGTTCATCCAGTTAAATGCCTTGTTTCTTAGCCCTTACACTTGATGAACAGAGACAGGTGTCTCCTTATTTGATATATGTATCAACACAGACTAAGCACTAGGGGGGATCTTTTTTATGAAATCTATAGGAATTATACCCTTGGAAATCATTTGATAACAAACAACATTAAATATAAAAATATATATATATATACAAAATATAATTACAACATGGAAAATCACCACTGTATCTACTCTACTCATACACTACTCATACTCAGTTTTATACACTACTCATACACTACTAAACTGATAATCCTCTAAAAATTATCATTACAAAAAATTGTGTGAAAATACTATGTCATGTTATATAAGTTATCACTTAGGGTGTATTAACAAGAACACATCACACTGTCACACTCCAAAGTGTCCCTGCCATTAAACTGGCACTCATTGCAATATAAAACAACATTTTGTGACTAACAGGTACGTAATCACATCTAGCACACAACAATAACAATCACTATATTACTTTACAAAGTATCATGTTGTGGTATAACATGTCACAACTAACACACTGTCACAACTAACACACTGTCACAATTATAACACTGCCCTGCCCAGCTCATTATCACACCTAACACACTGTCACAATTAACGCACTCTCACAATAACAACACTGCCATGCCTAGCTCATTATCACACCTAGCACACTGTCACCCACTACATTATGTCAAAGATAGTTTATTGCCACTCTTGACACCTGTTCTCTCCATTTCTGTACAACCCAAAGGATCAGAAATAACAGTGATGCACTTACCTCAGGTTCTCTTTTTAATCTTACATGGTGTAAACTTTTTCGTAAGGACCTTTTTAATATATTGGGATGTTCAAATAAATAAAACCCATCAAATATCTGAAAAAAAAAAATTAGAAAATTTTCAATTAAAAACGTTAAAACAAAATACTGTTAATAACAAATGAATAAGTATCGGTTCAAAAATAACCGCAATTGCCCTTTTTATAACCACAATAATTTGTATTTAATTTAACTGCATCTCTAAAATCACTCTAATAACTTACGAAATTGCTCAGTAATGCTTTATTTTCCAAACAAAGATATACAAGCAAGACATAAACTGCAATCAAATTCCCAACCTGTAACATGGTATAAATAAAACCTAATCTACCATCAGCCGTTCACATCTCTCTATCCACCCTCAATTACGTGTTATCAGCCTCTTTTCAAGTGCTTTCTCCCCAGTATCTCAGCACTGTGGTTATACTGAATACTTCGAGAAGTGGCCATGTATAAAACTAATAAGAATTTATTGGCATACTGACATGTTTTTAATAACTATTAAAGAAAATATAGTACCTCGTAAAACACTCAATTTCAGTAAGTCTAAGAGGTTCAAAGATAATGTATGTTCTTTACTGGCTTTCGATTTAAAGATATTCTGATACATATTAAGTACTTATTAGTACTGCAATTTTCAAGAAAGCCCCCCTAAGCTACAATCAGTGCCTATCTAAAGACATGCAAACCCTTGGTTTCAACCCTAATTGCCGTTATTATATACCTACAGGGAGTTGTGAAAGTGGATAGCTTCAGTAGGAGTTTTAATTGATCTACTGTTAATATCTAGAAGGCATAAAAAACAGTATGTTATTAAACACTGTTTTATGCACTCGTTAATAAATGTGCTTTACTGGCTTGGTTCTCATTGGCTTGATTTCTCCATTTTGTGCTTCTTTTGTTTATCAATTTTCTTCATCACTGTTGAAAATCTGCTTCTTTAATAAACTTAAAGTATCCACCCAATATTACTGAATCGCCTGTTTCTTTCCCATAAGTAAAGTAAACACTGATGGGCGTACTTGCTTATCTTACTGAGAATTATTACAAACACCCTCCTAATATCCAGCACTGGCTTGATACACAATTAATGATTTGCTCAATAACACTGATATATCTTTATCCTTTAAATTAATGGATCTGACAAATAACTTTGAACTGCTGCTATCTGCCAATGGCATTTCTAGTCTTATATACAAAAGTAAACATTTGGACTGAACAAAGTTAACACAATTTACTTTAAAAGTTTATTTTATTTTAATAGTTTTATTTTGTAATTTAGTTGCTGGTAAGATTAAATAAGACTTTACAAGGTGTCAATCAATCATTTTTTTCTCATAAAGTTTTTGCCAGTTCATTTGTAGTTCTTAAAATGTTCATATGATTCTTTCTCTTAGAGACTGGCATACAGTCCAAACAATACTAAAAATGGCTGAAAAAAATGCTTGCTGTAATAAAAGTGCCTTTTTGGGAAATGTTCATATTTATAGACAATTGACCTGAGAGAAGAGGTCCTTTAAATTTTAAATGTACAACAAATATTCCTGTTTGGAGATCCATATGTCAAGCAAACAAGGTTAATTATGCTGAAGTCTGAGATTTGTTGACCTATACAATCTCTACACCACCTGATACTATGCAAATCCATGGCCAGGAAGTAGACTTTGAGCTCTTTGATTTTTTTTTTTTTTTAATCACAAATTTAAAATAGCTTTCAAAATATATTACTATATAAACTTCAAAAAACAAAATTCTGTCTGGATTTTTTTTTTTAAGTTTCCAACGTGTTTTTAAACAATTTGATAAGGTTATCAAAGTACAAGGTTAATCTTTCTTTCAATGACAATAGAATACGAGCACTGAACACTGAACCACCACAGAGTAAATAAAGCCCTTATGGACAATGGACTGAAAAGAATCTTAAGTGGTGAACAAATGAACAATTATTATCTCACACCTGTACACAAAGACCTTCATTCTTATACCTTGGGCTGTAATAACTAGTACCAATTACGTAACAGCTGTATTGATTACTACTTCACAGCACAGTGGTCCTCCAATTACCTTTCCTAAATTTTTGTACCCATGTTTATTGGCCAGCCGATCAGCCACCTGGTCAGCATAAAGAACGTCGTCCACTTGCACTGCCCACTGGTTGATGTAAAATCCACTTGTGATGTCCAGTAGAAGAGTTGTGATGGCAAGAAGCAGCGTTCCTATGTGTGTTAAGTCTGTCATTTCAACTGTGTCTGAAACAGCTGTAGTGATTATCAACGTACTGTAATACTCTGTGACCGGACGGCGCTGGTTACCTGTAGGTGTCGTTTAAGATGCTTGAAAGACTTTCCCAAGGTTGTATTATCACAGTAAGAACATTGAAAACCGAAACAAACGCAGAATACTACCTAAATGTGTCCCCCATTTTCCGTGTACGAGTCCGCTTTACCCGAATGCGCGTAGTACGGGAAAGGACCCTATCCCAGTTTTTGAGGCAGTCAAGCGGGGAAAGGTCGATTAACTCAGTAGAACTGACCTTTGACCATGAAACGTAATATGCCATAAAAACAACCTGTCCATTCCTTTATCTGCTTTTCTTGCCACTGTGACTCGATCAATCGGGGTCTGTGCTTTAAATATCCCTATGTTTGCACTCCGTAATCCTTCTGTGCCGAGTTTGCCTTTCATCGCTTGCTGGAGCTCTTCAGTGAAGGAGGTTTGAAAACACACATACTATGGCAGCCGCTGGAAGAGGGTTTCAGGTACGTTGAATCATTTCTAGCGTCTGTGAAGTAAGCACGTTTCTTGTTGACTTTAAAATGCAAGGATGCGATCCATATCAACGTTTGTGATATTTTACAAGAATATCTAAATATGCCCCCCGAAAATGTTTAAGAGACGGGTAGTCATTTCCCGGATCCTGTCACCTTGACATGTCAATGAATCTACTAGATTATCTAGTGAACGCTACCTTGTGATATAAAGTGATATATTAACCCTAGGTATTAGCTCCAAATCCATCAAACCATCAGTGAAAAGCTCAACACCACTTATTTCAAAGTTGAAAAAATGCCCCTTCAAAGCAAGCCCATGTTTTTATTCAATGTTTAAAGACCGTTTCCCGAACCATGAGATAAATACCTTACACTACAGTACTATATATAAAATATACATCTTTCTCTTTGAAATATTGTGAAATTATGTGTTGTAATATGTATATTTCAGGCTGTCAAACAGCATATACCCCTCATCAAATTTCCCCAGTTTAACATTAAAGACCCAAAAGGTATAGGTAAGTGAATATTTTAATGATATTTGGAATTAAGTGCCTACCTATAATGTGGGGGGAATCAAGTTTGACGTCTACATTATTTGTAGTTTTGTCAATGCATTACATTCCTTATTACATCTTTTTTGTGCTGTGGAAAGATTGTACAGGCATTGCATATTTTCCTCATGAGTGTTGAAATTAACACAGTGTCCTTTTGTATATATTTTTCAAGACTAGCCATACACATACGTCTTAACTATCTTTATGCTTTTGTTTTGATAATTGCTTCTATTTTGCTTTGTTTTTCAGGCATGAAACTATTATTTCCTCCAAGTTCTAGTAAAACACTTCAAACAACACCTGAGCCAGCAATTTCACAGGAACCAGAGAAATCTTCCCCTCCCATAGGCTACATACCCCGTGGATCTGGAGTAGACCCCTCAGAACTGCTACCTAAATACCACAGGAAACCCATTGATATAGAAGAAATGGAATATATAACAGTATGTTTTGCTGCAGTATACTTCAAATGTCTGGGGTATCAAGTGAATATTATATGGAATTCACTTGTGTGATAGGGATAATCTTTTGATAATAGAGGGTACCAGAGGAGATGATTGTGCCACAAGTTTGGTATCATGTGACATCAAGTGGTATAATACATGAAGCTGAGTGGTCATTTTTAGCTGGAGGTAAACAGGAGTGAAGATGTGGGCTCAGAGAAAAAAGCAGTTTTTCCAACAACATAATGAGATAATATTTTTCTTTCTGTATTTTGGGCAGAAAATACTTGCAGAAATAATAGGTACATGATATGGAAACATGTAACAATACTAAGGTGCAAAATCATGCTTAATTTGCAGGCAATAATACACCTATTTCACCAGTGTAGGCACTTATCAGTGACAAATGCCATGACAAAGATGACACTCTGACAGCCTCTTATCTCACAAGCAAAGGAGGGCTGGCATTCAATTACCTCAGGCTGGCAATAAATAAACCTTGAGGAACTGGTCAGGTTGGATCGTATCTACCCATCAGAAGCGATTTACAACTGAGTATTGCCTAATATGGTCAATTATTAGTAACTTAACTTAGTCTTAATTACCTGTAAGCTTTGTGATCGGCTCACTTAAATTCTTTTTTCATCTTCTTGGGAAGATCTTATCAGTGAAAAGCTTACTTTTCACCATTGAAATGTTTTATTTGTCCAATGAATGCATCACATTTATTGCACATTTGTATATTTTTTCTTTCTATGCTTTTGGGATTAAAAAAAGTGGAATAGCAAGAAAATGTCAGGTTAAGTAGGGCAGAGCTCATATGTGTGGAATTTCATGTCAGGTGGACATATAATCATCTATTCTTCACTCCCATTCACCTCCAGCTAAATGACCTCTCAGCTTCACATCTTACAACACTACACATTTCTTTTGGCACAATCCTGTCTCTTCTGGTACCATCTGTTGTTGATGTTTTCAGGGGTCATCCATTTTTGTCATCACTTTCACAAGTCTGCAAACTTTACACTGGGGGAAATGCCCTCTGCATGCTTTTGGGAAAAAAAACTAATACAACTTCAAGTGATGATCTTCACCCCCAGGGGTGTGCTGGCAAAGGTCACCAATTTTAACTATTCACTCTATACTCACTGAAGGGGGATGTGTATAGGTTTAAGTGTACTCTTTGTAGACTTGTGAAAATGGTGAAAAACTATTTACTATTAACCTATAATATATAATGACAATATAAATATTAATATTTGTTTTTGCAGGATATTTAAGACTTAACAAAGGAAAGTCATTTTTTCCAAGAAAAGCAATATCTGGTTTAATACTGTGTTGTGAAGCATGCCTGCTATCAAGATTGTATTCTTGAGCAGTTACTGTATATAGGTGGTGGAGACATTTTAGAGATTAGAATACTTAGGGCAATTTTACTAACATCTTCCTATTGAAAAATGCACAAAGTAGAGAGTTTTTACAGTAATATATGTTCTTGCTTTATTTCAGAGAGGAGGTCCTGAGTAAATACTCCCATCACTTAAAAAACTGCGCCAACTTTTGTGAAAACATTCAGCCTCACCGACTTGACTTTTGATGGTGCCTGAAAAAATAATATTGACATGCTGGTCAAGAACACATAACAGAAAACAGATTGTTTTTAATTTCTATACACACTGTTTGAAAAGTGATATTATTTGCACACAATTAAAGGACCTTACTGTTTCCTTTTTGCACAACAGTTTGGTCAAAATTATTTTCATTTTGAGGGAACTGGTAAAAGCATTGCTTTAGATAACATCAATTTTTAGGTTTTTAAAAAGATTGTTTATCGTTTTCATACACAGGGATATAAGATGTTAACTAAAGTACAGTATTAATGTTTGTTATATTGTAATAAATGCGTCATTTGTTTAATTTTGTTGAATTGAATTGGATACTGAAGTATGTAAATTGACACACCGTGCTTACTGGAAGAATTGGAAACCCTTTAAACAATCTACCAAGGATGAATGTGTACTTTCTTCTGTCCTAAAAAATCCTTTTTTAAATTAAATCTTTTCTGAGAATGCCACCAAGAGGAAAAATGCTGAAAATTGTTTGAAACATTATAACAGTGTCTTCATTTTTAGAGTGAAATGTAATAAGATCAAATGACTCTTCAGATTAGCAAGACTGAGAATAGTTCCATTTGCATGCTTAGTAGACCAGCTGAAGTCTGAGTGGGAGTCGCAACAGCGTTAACAAGACTATTGTAAATGTAGTAGCAGATTTCAATCGATTTATTTTTCTAAAAAAAAAAACAACTGGATAAATAATCTACATAGTAATGCTCCTACCAAGTTTGCTTCTGTTGGACATTACTTTATTTCATGGCCCTTAATTATATATTTTCATACCCAATTTTGGCAGGAATTTGTTGCACCATAACTGACACAATTAGCACCATTGCTCCCAGCAGAATTAGCAACGTCACACCTAACACAACCTGAACTGTAACTGAATCCAGACGATGAACCCGAGCCACTCCTACCACTCAGAAAACCCATTTGTAATTTATATAAAGGTGTTGGTTACTATCCTGATGTCCTCAATAGAACTGTTGAACTGACATTACAATTAAGACCTGAATCTACCCGGTCCCGCATCTTACCACTGACCTGGCAAACGTACTATTCTAGTTGTGACATGCAACACTCTAATTACCACTGACAATCCATGAACAGTTCCATCATGGTGACTTGGTCAGGGTCATATGTGAACACATTAAGAGGAGACAAAAAGTTCACTTTTTACGATCCCTGTAAGAAATTTTTAATGCTTAGAAAAAGTAAAAATCTGAATTGTCTGCAATCTTAGTTGGTTCTTTGAAAGAAAGGAACCTAAAGTCTGCCAATTTTTTCCTACCAACATTATTTAAGACATATTGCACATCTCCTTGTTGACCCAGATTATAGATAAAATAACTTGATATCAAGTCCATCTGTGTGAAGTTTCCAATGGCATTCTGAGATAGTAATCTCCTATAAAATCCATTTGTTCAGTGATCATTACATTTCCACCATGGAGGAAGTCTTGAGTAGTGATACATTAGAGGCATGCAGTGGATTGGTGGGGAACACCTTGATGGGCAGATCCCACACCATGGTTTCCACCTCCAGGTTCTCAGGTCCCCGCCAGGTGGAGCACTCGGCAGGGTTGGATGGCGCAGCGTGAGGAGGAATGGCATTCTGGGAGGTGATGAACTCAAAGTGGATCTTCCACTTCAGCGTCACTAAAATTAAATGTCAAATATAAATGGAATGATTAACTCTAATCCATATGTATGCTGCCATACCAGGGATAAAATAAAAGTCATACTGGTTAATCTGAAACTGCTTGCAAAGATGATTTAAAATGGTCAATGGGAATTGAAAAGATTCCACAGGTGTGAGGCTATATACATGACCTTCTCGAGCTGAGGTCAGGATTAACTGAATGGACCTTTTAAAAATATCTATAACACTTATAGAAGATGTTTGCTTAACCTTTTGCTTAGGAGTGGAGTAAAATTAAATCTTCCTTAAGAAGTCACTTTTAGTGGCACCTTGTGCTGATAGTAAATTGAGGGAATCACGATCAGTTATTTACCTATATCAGATATAAAGCCTGGACTAGCTGATAGAGGTATGGGTAAACTGAAATGGGTTTTCCTGGAATGCAGACAAAAGTCCTGGTGCTTGCAGTATGACATGGTAATTGGAAGCTGACCTGGCTTCTTCCTGCACTCTTCTGATATTTGCTCTTCACTTTGGAGAGTAGCTGAAAACTAAGGTAAGCAGGAAATCCTAAGTAAATCTAAAGTTATTCATGTATTTTACAGAAGTTGCATATAATTAAAGAATTTATATTTAAATAAAATGTATCCTATGATGACAACTGAGCATCCAACTAAATTTGCAAGCTGTTAAAACAGAATATTTAACCTCAAGTTTTTAATTCTTCAATATGTTTTATCTTTTATGTCAAATTGTCATGCAGTTTTACTCACCTGAACACATGGTATTGAGGCATCAGAGAAATCAAATGTCCCCACAATATCTTCTCCTATTTTAAAAGCCTGTTTAAACATGCACAATCTTGCAACTTTTCCTCTAGCATTAGTGATGTTGAAACAGTCTGAAAAATGCATTTTAATTTTGAATCAACAGCTGATGCAAAAGACAATATAATCATTTATTTCAATTCTATCTTAAAGGAAAATCAAAGATTTAGTTTAAGTCAGGTTTGGTTCTCTACTTACGTGGACTTCTTTTGGCTGTTACTGTGGACAGAACCTGGAGTGCTACCTCTAGGAGTGTGTTTTCTGGGGGTCTTTGTTCTAGGAATGGATTACTAGGAGTGACTTCCTCTCCACTGGCATATACATTCAAGTCATTGAGGCCTGGATATAAAGCAATAAAATGAAGGAAGGATAACAAACTTTTTGATGAAGATTCCCCCTTTTGTTTGCAAAAAATTTAACACTAGAAACATGACATTTCACTGTGCACAGAAAGCTTTTTCCAACCCTAGAAAACCCTAACGCAAGTAATTTTTGTGTTATTCTGAATTTAAAATTAAACAGAGTTAACTAACTTACACTTGAAAAATAAAAACATGCCAGCTGTCAAAACTATTCTATACAGTCCAATACAGTGAAAACTATATGGTCTTGCAGATACTGCACAAAAACTGTGAATAAGCAAACATCTGTCAATAAAGCTGAAGTTAGCTGTCACGATTAGGAGATAAATAGCCTTGCATACTCATTACTCTGATTAACTGCAGAGCTTTAACTCTATCACTCATTGAATTCCTATCCACATTACGCTCTTCAGCCAATTATTCACTCTCATCAAGGGGAATAATGCATCATGCTTTCCCCCCTCAATTGCCATTTAAACCAATGAAACCAATGTTTGAGTTTGGAGATATATTGTAGGAGAAAACGTATAGGACAAAATCACAAAAGAGGTGAACCATAGGGTTAGAAGAATTACAGCACAAAAGCTGCCATTTATGTCAGCTAAAGAAGACAAATGGACAGTCATCTGTCCTCGTCAAAAGATAAAATAATATGTCACTACCAATAGTTAAAAAAAAGAAAGAAAAAAAATTCGCTTGCATTTATAGATACATTGTGTTTAAGGTTGAGAACCCTGTACTACTCACCATATAAAACTAAAACTCTAAATGGAACTCTGAGTAGCCTTGCTGGACACTCCAGTTTTTGTGTTCCAATGGTCAGCTTGTATGAGTATTTTACAGACTGGCCTTTAAAGGAGGGAGGAACATCTTTTGGAATCCCCTCTTTATATAGATCTATAGTTTAACGTAAAGAAAATGATGACAAGTTGATAACCAATATATATTAGGAATGATATACAATTCATTTAAAATTCAGAGACTAGTTTCAGTATTTTATTTAAATTAAACCACAGAACGCCCGTTTAAAAGTCAATTTTGAATTGTGACTTAATCTAATACTCACATGTTTTTTGCTCTGTGGAATGATTGGGAATGATTTCAATGATATACAAATCATTTAAAATCCAGAGACTAGTTTCAGTATTTTACTGAAATTAAACCACAGAACGCCCATTTAAAAGTCAATTTTGAGTTGTGACTTAATCTAACACTCACATGTTTTTTGCTCTCCTGGCCCGAGTCTCAAGTCACAGAATAATATCTTAGGTTTGCTAGACCATACTGTAAGACCTCTTTCCCCTGGAAAGTTGATAAAATTCTTGATTTAAAAAATAAAAATTGTGATAATCTAAGTCACAGAACAAATTTTCAGAATTGTTATCTTGGCTACACTACACATGTATGTATCAGCAAAAAAAGTCACATTATAAAATCAAATGTAATTATTCACTGACCATACATTTATGCCATACTCTGTATCCATGTTCATGGGCTCTTACCTTTACTTGGCACGAATGATGTCTGATCTCCTGTAGAAGTAACATCTTCAGTAGAAAGGATGTCAGATTTTGGCAAAACTACCCTGGAGTCACTGACGGCACATTGGCAATGTATCTGTGCACTGGCCCAGGCTAGAGTACAGTCACTGTAATAACAATTACAACTGTCACATCTAGCACAATTGGAAATGTCAATTCTTATATGATACCTAGAATCATACCAAATTAATCACTTCTTTGGCTGATAAGGTTTACTTAATATAAGGTCTTTTAAACCCCATTTTGCATATGTTATAAAACCTATTACATATTCAAGTCTGTGCATGATAAGACAACTGTCCCACATATTCTGATGGCGAACAGTCAACTTTTATTATACTTATATTCCATAAAAAAGCTTTTCTCCTTCACATGTTCAATGTTTATCTGATTAACCCAGACAATTCTCTTACTTGTATGCTAGATTCCTCTTCTCTTCCCTATCTGTATTGATAAGTGTGATATAGCATTCTAGTATCTCCCCAGCAAGGAAAGTAGACCCTCTAGCCAAGTTAGCAGTCACCTCAATCATCTCTGCAAAAATAGCATGGTTAATAAGTAAGCATTGCACAGTAAATTTAGATAACAGTATCATCTACAATTTAATCAGACTTTCGATTCATTTACTCGGGTTTAAGTAAATACAAATATATTTAGCATACAAGGAATTAACATTCATTTAACATGTAATTTTATTCAAACATCTTTTATTGCACCTGGCAAAAAACAAACAATTTAGTAATTAGTTTAATTCTCAGTAACAAGCAGCTTGTAGTAGCTGTGTGTATGTGTCTGTCTTGGGGAGGGGAGGGAGACTCAGAGGAGCACCTAAAAGATATCCATCCCTGCAAAAATTAGCAAAACATATTTCCATGTTTGTGTGTATGGGGGAGGAGGGAGGGGAAGATACATGAAATATCTACTCATTCATACTTTAACTGCATTTTGCAATGAATTTAAATACCACCAATTTAATTATTATTTGACAAGTCTGCTTACCAACAGGCAAAGATTTAGAGTTCAAATCCCATTCAGTTGTGTATTATATAAATCATGCCAACTTATCAAGATTGCAGGTCAGAGCTTCCACTGCCCAAAGGGAATATATGTAGATGGCCTCATGTGTACAGACCCTGTTAGACCCCATTTCGAGAGATTAGATCGATCTAATTTAGATCGACCTAACTCCCTGGGGATTCACGCTAAATAGCTGTCAGCCAAGCGGACATGAAAGTTAATTACCCCCTTACAGCTTATAGTAGGCGGGACAGACATTAAAGCCGGATTATCTGACAGTAATCTAGTGAGACTCCCCGCAGGGATAGATCCATCTAAAAGCTCTGGGAATACAGCCTTAGAAAGGGCCAGGGTGTCAAGAAATAACATGCAACCCTACAGGGAATGTTTGGTTGGAATTCTGACAATATTTCGTATTCGTATATCGTATTTAGTATGTTAAATTACAACCAAATAAAAGGTCACAAATAATCCTTTAGATTTCCTAAAACACCTGCATTCTGATGTAGGGGTCATTCCATATCAACTCATCCAGCGAGGGTACCCTCCGTCAAGAAAGTTGCTGATTTTCACATATTTTGTAGATATTATAGGGACTAGAAAAACCCTAAAATTTTAGATTGAGATCTCAACTGGTTTCAGAGTTATGACACTCCAAAGTTGGACCCAGCTGAGGGCTTGCTGTGCCTCACATGAATGTAGGTCATGGTGACCTAGTTAAGAAAAACACTATAACAATAGTTCTGCATATCCCATTGCTTTGTTGCTTTCATGACTTTATATTTTAACATTTCAGGAATCCAACTATCACACTGAAAATGGTCTGGCATATTTAAAATGCACTTAATTTTCACTTTGAAAAATCCTTGTCANGGTTTCAGAGTTATGACACTCCAAAGTTGGACCCAGCTGAGGGCTTGCTGTGCCTCACATGAATCTAGGTCATGGTGACCTAGTTAAGAAAAACACTATAACAATAGTTTTTCATATCCCATTGCTTTGTAGCTTTCATGACTTTATATTTTAACATTTCAGGAATCCAACTATCACACTGAAAATGGTCTGGCATATTTAGAATGCACTTAATTTTTACTTTGAAAAATCCTTGTCATTTTTTCAAAATGATAGACACCCCACCCTTTTAATCTAATTTTTCTCAATGTCTCCAAATGGACAAGTGTTTTTGCTTTATCTCATATTAAAGAGGAGGCTTTGAACTTAAAAATGAAAGTGTTAAATCAATTTGTATATTTTGGAGACAAAAGTAATAAAACTTTATAAGAAAATATGTGATATGGGCTATTGCATGGTCACTGATCCAGAACAATGTACTATCAAACACCCAAATTTTGAAATATCTACATTAGTTTACATGTTTTCTTTCAGAATAAATTTCCTATGATGTTGTTATACTATAAAATATTTTTTCATGTGAATGAAATTGTTTTATGCAGATATTCTTTTAATTATTGACATCCCAGCAATAGACCAGTTTTCATGTCTCCATCCAGATACCTACTTATTGTCTCATGTCATTTCAATGATATTTACAACCTAAATAAAGAACCATATCATGCATATGCCCCAAAACTTGTTTTATTATAATGTACATGTTTATCTATTTATTTATATGTCAGAATAGTTACATGTACTAGTATATACAGAATGCTTTGTACAACTGTAACATGTATTTTCAAGTTAACATATTTTATCTTACATACCCTAAAAAAATAAAGATTTATCCAATTACTCGTATTTTTATTTAGTAAAAGATGATTAAAAAATTTAACCTATGAATCTATGATACATAATATGAAAGGAACTTCTCACAAATTTTCCTTTGGCCACCCTGCATAATTATATGATAAGCCAGTGACAGGAACAGGGATGATAATTTTGCAAAGTATATAATTTAATGGCACCCAGCAAATGCTTGCTGACCAAAGAAAATTCTGGGTGAGTAGATTATGTAAGATAAAATGTTATCCTTAGAATAATTTAATGTAAACAGTTATACAGAGCATTCTGCATATTACCCAAACCTAATATAGAGGTGAATTTCACATGCTGTAGTATAAAAAATATTACGGAATGAAATTTGAAATTGTAATCAATTTTTATAACCTGTGTGTAGAACAAAAGGGGTCATGTCGATACTCCCCCTCACTGTTACTCCCCTGCACCGATAGTCCCCCACACCGTTCCTTCCCCTGCACCAATAATCCCCCTTAGTAAATTTTTGTGCATTATGTGTATCGATACTCCCCCACACCAAAGATCCCCACATCGATACATCCCTAGTAAAATTGCCGTTGTAGGCGCACCTTTACTCCCCCACACCTATACTCCCCCACATCATTGCTTCCCCGCATCGTTACTGCGGAGTATTGGTGCGGGGGAGTATCGGTGGGGGGGAGTATTGGTGTGGTGATGTACCGGTGCAGAGGAGTATCAATGCGGAGACGTATAGGGATGTAACTGAACAAAAAAGCATGGCTGTCTCAAATTTACTTCTACATGCAATATTTATCATGTGTGTACCATTATATAAGAAGCCTAAATGGTACTGCACCCTCGATATGCACTGGTAATGGATGTTCCAGGTGATATCATATTTGTAGTACATGATCCAGTCATGGAAGATTGTGATGTAAAGCTGATGTTAAGTTGACATAAGGATGTCTTTCAAAATATTTAAACTGTAACTCAAGGGATTTTGCCTCATAAAACATAGATAACTTATGTTTACCTGAAAAATGTTCGAAAAAAAAGGTTATTTTTGACCAAGTCCTTAGTGCAGTTGCCAGTAGGTAACAGGGTGTTTTGCTATCAACTGAAACATATACATAACATGCATAGTGTTTGGCATTTCTGACATAATTTTTGCACCACTAATAGAAAATAGTTAATTTTATGTTTCTTTTACTGTTAGCATGCTGCATTTGTATTTATAAAATTCAGTGACAAACAAACTAAAATTGCAGCAAAAATTATTGTTCTGTACAGAAGATTGCTATGTTTTTGACAACTTTATACAAATTGTAAAAATTAGATTAAAAAAAATCAGCACTTATTGAATTTGCAAAGTGAGCACAACATTTTCACAGTTGAAAAATTTCCATTTGTGACAGTAACATTTGGGGTTAGACTATGAATTAATCTTTATGACAAGTGGTTCCAGGACAATGAAACTTTGATACACATTTCTTCATGTGGGACCATAAAAATGACCAAACTTTGTTTCTAATCAGTGTATTGAATATTTTTGAGAGCATGCCTCTGACATTATTTGCACCTTTAGATTGGGGTTGGATGATAAACATGTAACTTTTCTGACCTACAAAAAATAAATAAAAAAAACATGTACTTTATAATAAAACAATATATATTTTTGGGCATATATATGATATGGTTATTTATTTAGGTTGTAAATATCTTTTAAATGACATGAGACAACAAGTAGTAGTAATCAATAATTAAAGAACAACTGTATAAAACAATTTCATTCACATCAAAAAAATATTTTATAGTATAACAACATCATAGGAAATTTATTCTGAAAGATAACATGTAAACTAATGTAGATATTTCAAAATTTGGGTGTTTGATAGTACATTGTTCTGGATCAGTGACCATGCAATAGCCCATATCACATATTTTCTGATAAAGTTTTATTACTTTTGTCTCCAAAATATACAAATTGATTTAACACTTTCATTTTTAAGTTCAAAGCCTCCTCTTTAATATGAGATAAAGCAAAAACACTTGTCCATTTGGAGACATTGAGAAAATTTAGATTAAAAGGGTGGGGTGTCTATCATTTTGAAAAAATGACAAGGATTTTTCAAAGTAAAAATTAAGTGCATTCTAAATATGCCAGACCATTTTCAGCGTGATAGTTGGATTCCTGAAATGTTAAAATATAAAGTCATGAAAGCTACAAAGCAATGGGATATGAAAAACTATTGTTATAGTGTTTTTCTTAACTAGGTCACCATGACCTAGATTCATGTGAGGCACAGCAAGCCCTCAGCTGGGTCCAACTTTGGAGTGTCATAACTCTGAAACCAGTTGAGATCTCAATCTAAAATTTTAGGTTTTTTCTAGTCCCTATAATATCTACAAAATATGTGAAAATCAGCAACTTTCTTGATGGAGGGTACCCTCGCTGGATGAGTTGATATGGAATGACCCATGACTAAAATCAAGTTGATATGCCAAGTTGATCTCTCATTCAGCCAAAAAATAACTTTAAAACCGAACCTTATTCATATTTTTGGTCGTAAATAGGCGTATTTATCAGTCCCTCCAGATCATACAGGATTTCCCTTCCAACAAAGCAGCATGGAGCATATATATATATAAGTTACATTAATTAAGTTACATTAATAGGTGTAATGTTTTACCATGTTTTACCCTTTGTAACTGTTATTTCTCACAGATTGTGGGCAGAGATATATGAAGTTGCTGTGGATGATGAGGGGCCCAGATGGCAGAAGATTGTGGAGGACACTGTCCCAATCAATGTGATCATTCTGAAGGATGGGCCAGAGACCGTGTTCCAAGTGACAGCATACAACAGACATGTAGAGAGGGTGTTTGATGTCAAGATTAAGCAACCAGGTGGGTGATACAGACTCACATGTATTGTGTGATTTTACACTCTTGCCTTGGTTCAAAGAAAAGACAGAAAGATTTATGACTGAGATCATATGAAATCTGGCATCAAAGCTGGCAATATCAATATCTAAAACATTTCTTTTTTTTCTTTTTTTTTTTGTCTTCAACTTTTAAACTCTACTTTAAGGAACTTAGTGTCTTGGCTAATAATCTTTCAGATGTGCCACTATACAGTAACTGTTACATTTCTACATATATGATATACGGTGTTTTATGACTTTGGCATATCCTCTTTTAAGTTTAAATGATTCTATTAACACCACATCCTTAAACAAGCTCTAGATTATAATTGTGCCACTTATTATACACTCGTTACCAAGTTCAGCTCAATATTTTACCAAGGTTGTGTATCCTGTTTTACAATGTTTTGGTGAATGGTTTCTGATTATCTTTCCATCACTGCTTGGTAATGGCACTTGGGAACTATTGAGACTCCGATTTGGGGAATATTACAAGTGGAAATTGTTGATTGATCTTTACTTTATTACTAGGCATCAAACTCAATAGGGTTTCCTTAGTGCAACACTCTCTTAGTGCAGCATTCTCTTGGCCTCAAAACATAGTGAATACCCATACTAAAGAATCAATTTTGTGTATTTTCTAAACAGCGAATGACTGGATTGATGATAAACACGTAATTTTTATGAATGAGATTCCAATTATGTTGAAATATGGTACAAAACTAGAGGGCAGCTCTTGGTTCATACTCATCTTTTGATTATTGGTAGAGGTTGGTTCCAGGGCTGTTGATTATGGAGACAGAGCCTTTGATCTGCTGTCTGGGACATAACATCAATTTATAATACTGTCATGAATTGTGGCATGAGGCAGTCTGTCTAGACCTGTAATTGCCATTAATTTTTTCTATGTTGTTGAAGATTTTTACTGGAGGTTGATTTTTTTGTGAAAGTTTTTAAAATGAAACAAAAAATTTTACAAGTGTTTTTGGAAAGCAGTTTGCTTTTACGTTTATTTCTTTGTAAGCAGAATTTTAATATGATAATGCTTTCTTCTTTTTCTTCTGTCTATAGTTACTTAGCACAGACTCGCCTAACACTAGAAACACTTATTACTTCCCCATTCTAAAAAAGCTAAGAACTTCCTCTAATTGGATATTTACATTGATTAGTATGTTCAGTCCTAGTAAAACACACATCTCTACACTGCACTTGCTACTGAACCCCTTGCAAAATTGAATTAAACAGAAACACAATCCTCATGATATGGTTAAAATGACAAATGGAAAAGCTGCTGACAAGATTATTTGAAGAATTGATTTTTCCTTGAGGACCTGGCTTGCCATGGCTGTCATCAAATTAAGCACAGAATGGGGCACTTGTTTATCTGTATAACTTGCAATATGATAAAACAATATATAAAACAATGCAGTAGTTTTAGTGATCTGCCGAAATGTGAATGATGGACCATAAATGTAATGGGATGAGAGAGAGAGACCAATTTGTGAGACAGCAGAGAGAAACAGAGAGAGATTCTCACAAATTGGTCTCTCTCTCTCTCTCTCTCTCTCTCTCTCTCTCTCTCTCTCTCTCTCTCTCTCGCTCTCTCTCTCTGCATGCATACATGCACACACACATGCAAGTGTAAGCATTACCAAATGTTACGTAACTCTTTTAATGAACAATATTTCTGTACATTTCTTATTCCAGGGACTGTATTCAGCCAGTCCTCAGATTGCTTCCTCCACTGGAAGGATGGGCCATGTGAGTGGGGACTTAACTTTGCATCAGCTGGAGATGCCAAAAAATACAGGGACTGTTGCTCAGTAAGTCAATAAATGGTAGAGAAAGGTAAAATGTGACCCCTGATTACAGAAAAGGCTATATAGCTAGGTTTTTTAGTGCACAGGTTTTGAGATATAAGCCAGGTAAAGGCTAATTGCCCTGCAAGAAATGTCTTGTTTATAGTTCAGGTATTTTTAGTCTGAGGCATTTTTGGATGGAGTTAAGTGATGGGAACTGTACAAAACACATTAACTTAAAGTAAATAGCAATTGGTTTAATTGTGATAAAAATGATCACCGTTAAGGGTAATATGATCAACAACTAGCAAATGTGTAGGCAAAAACCATTTTCCAATTGTTTCGATGACTGTATAGTTTTTACTGAAGGTATTTTAAAATCTACACAATCTAGTCTTATTTGTTCTTTGCTCTTAGAGAACCTGTAGCATTTTCTTTTTTTATTCAGTCAGCAGAATTTTGCTTAATTGAGAAAATTGAGAAATTAAAGTGTGATGGCTTGGAAAGATATATACCAAGTGACATCACTTTCTGTGATATTTAAGGTTAATATTCAGTAAATCTTATTTCCTGGAATTCCTGCAAATTTTCATGTAATTTACTGGAAAAAAGATTTGGCAGTGGTTCATTGAGCATAAGACCGAAAATCCCAGTAGCTTATAAACCAATAACTTTCCTAAAATTTATCACACTACTGGGACTTTGATAGCTTAGCATGCAAACCAGTGAGCTCCATGGCCTGTTTCATGTTTTCTAGATAAAAAGTTCATTATGGAGCATAATCAGCTCAGTTAGATATCTTGAATGAAATGACATTTCATTAACAGATAGCACTAATGCTGAATCATCTTTTAAAGAACTCTAGTTTATCACAAATATCAACGGAAAGCAAGTGCCAGGGATATAGCTTCTTTTAATATTCAGCTCAAAGCTGAAACCCTAGATGTCTGTTTTCCATCCTGCAGAAGGGGCATTGTCCTTTCTTCTCTGAGGATGGAACTCATCACATTTACAGAGAGATCAAGAGAAGCAATATAGACCTTCATTACATAGATCACAGGATTGATATTGCTGAACTCCATACACTTGAGTATGATGCAGTGGAAAGTTTTATCACAGCACTATTTTTGGATAGGGTGTGACCTATTGGTCATTGATGTAAATTGACAATGTTTTTTTTTATCTTTGCCTCCATAAATTCCTTTTGTAAGTCCCCTTAGACTTGTTAAAAGCATCTCTATATAAAATATTAGTAGGAGGGCTTTGGGGAGGTGATCGATCAGAGGTAACAGATTTGTGTTAATCTTAATGTAGGAAACAAAGTATGTTCTAGCTAGCTGTAGGTTTTTATATAATTTGCAAAATGCTTTGATTATATAATACCGTGTTTTTATCTGTGATGTTAAATAATATAGCTTTTTATATGTAATGATTTAAAGAAATTTTATTTTGAGAGTTTTCCACAGTACACATTTTTTATGTTGCTTGCTTGTGAGTGCAGCATGCTGTCAGGCACCTGGTACTAGACTGAATATTTACTTTTTTTAATGTATTTTTATCTGTACCAACAAATTTCATGTAATTGCATGGTTGTCTGAACCTAGATCAAACTACTTCATTGGGTTCACTCTGTTTCCTGAAAAATAAATACTCATGCACATGTGTATGTGAGTGTGTGGGTGTGTGCCTGTGTGAATGTGTGAAGTTGAGGCAGAGGTTGGTGTTGTGGTGAATTTCTCCTTCCAAAACACATATATCTTAATTCAGGCTGGTACTTGTTGGTTTCTGTATAACTGCACTGATGAAATTTTATGGAAAATGAATTTTGACACTATTAGGAAATATCAGCATGAAGGTGGTGTTTTCAGTAAACAGAGTGGACATTGTAATGGTTCAGTGTATCTTGCACCAGAATTATGGCATGTGTGATGTGAGAGTTTGAACTGTGGTCCTCTTTCTTACAGCACCCTATCCAGCAATGGTTCCGCAGGAAATCACCTTCTTCTAGTTCACTCAAACTCAGTCCTCCAAAGGTGAGCATGGTTTATGGTCTGGGGCCCACATTGCAAAGAATCCTTAGCCTTGGCCAAGTCATCTAAGAATTTTAACAAATTAAGTTGTATGTCTCCAAAGAATCTTGACGGTCATTTACTAAGGCTGAAAGTGTAAACCTTGGTCCAAAGTGTGCAATATGTGTCACCAAGAACTCCAGTGCTTCCAACTTCAAATTGTTAAAAATTGACTTCCCATAGCCTGTTAAATAGCTGGTTCAGCAGGCTATGCTGGGTTCACTAACTTGATATTTAATCTTGTGATGTGGGCCCCCTGTCCTTTTACTTAACTGCATTATTATTGTTATATGTTTTTCTACATCGTTCTGTATGTGTTCTGATGGAAGTTGATCTGTGTAGTGCTGTTGTTCATATTGAAAAAAAATTAAAAATGTCTTGTTGTAATTATTGTGAAATGAATATTGATTGAGACTTATGTTACTTTGAATCTAATGAAGGTGTATGTGTAACCATTTCATGTAATTGAGAATTTTTTTTTGTGATTTTGGCTCAGAATTTTGTGTTTGGCATATATTTACAGTTGCATCCACCCACAGGGTATTTTTATTTTAATAATTTCCTGGACAGAAAATACTTTTTTCTTTGGCATGTTTTTTGTCCCTTTTTGAGAACTATCTTCTTCAATAGCACAGTTTATTTCTTGCTCACAGTGAATTTTAAATCAAAATGAAGGCATTTTCTTTGGACATTTGCAATTATGATGAATCCATTGTCATAAAATGATGTAGCAATCATAAGATATAACGTATCAATAAATGAATGTTGCTATCACTACCTGGGTAGAATTTTTGTTGTTGTTCTATTTTAGCGTTGGCGCAGTAAACGAGGGAAGTCGGCACCAGGATCTCCAGTGTCCAAGCCAAAAAGATCGGTTTCTTCTCCTGAAGAGATAACACATGGGGGTTTTGAAGGTAGGCGAGAACATGCTGCTAGAACTCCACTTTCTTTAGTCCAAGATCATAGTCCATTTTGTCTGCCTAATTGTCCAATGATTATAGCTACAAATTATGAATTGTGAAAAACTGCTGAATGGTAAGCTAATATGTATTGGTTTTACTTGCTATATGATTTATGTACTGAACTTTTATTTCAGATCTTGACCCAGATTTTGAAGAATATGGTGCCCCAGTTAGAGCAAAGAGTCGCAGTCTAGCACAGAGTGTGGCCACTATGCCTCGTGTGCGCCAGCGTAATGTGGCCGACTCACGGGACCTGTTTCCAGACAGTGACATGTACAGTGGTCCCTCCTCAGATCTCTCTATGTATGACAGTTACCACTCCTCACCAAAGAAAGGGGCCTATGACCCCAATAAAGGTGGCTCTTTGAGAGAGAGACAGGAAAGGAGGAGGCCACATGGAATACCTTTCCCTTCTAAAGTTAGCACATTAAATGAGGAGGACCTCAAGTCAATATTATATGAAGGAGGAGGGGGAGGGGGAGGGGGACTACACAGTGTGAGCAGTCGTCAAGGAAGCACCAGTGGGGCAAGTGCCATGGCAGGTAGTGAACTGTCCTCACCAAACAGCGACAAGGGTATCCCGCCTCCTCTGCCACCAAAGCTGGAACCACTGAATTTGTCCCGTAACAGTCGAGAACAATCTGTGCCAAAATCTTCCTCCTCTGAGGACTGGCCCGCACCCCCTGACCCCATAGCCCCCATGACCCCCCAGACCCCTATCATGAATGCAGACTTTGACCCAGACTCTATAAAACGCATGCTGCAGGACTTCCCAGAAAACTCAAATAGTGACTTAAGCTACAATGAGCAACAACAACAACAGCAGCAGCAACAGCAGCAGCAGCAGCGAGGTACACATTATTCACGTACTGTAAGTCATGAGCCCACATCATCATCATCAATGTCTCAGCACAGGAATCATAATAATTCCCATCATGTAAATAGAGTTCAGAGCCTCACCATGTATGATCGTAATTATAATAATGGAGGGCATCAATCATCACACACTGCACAACTCCCCAAGTCTCCAACATCTCCAAGCATGAAGGAGGATGGTTCTTTCTTCTCTGACCGGGACTCGCAGAGGTCGGGGAAGGACAGGATGCTGATGGAGTATGAGCTGGCCCTCAGGAACGCCTGCGCCAAGGACAGTTATCCAGACAGTGGGATAGGGGGCACTGCATCAGAGGCTGCCGGGTCTGTGAGGTCAGGTGGTAGCTCAAAATCTGGATCCAAATCTTCATCCACTCTCACACCAGGTAAGAACTATATCCTAAGTAGCTGAGTCAGAGTGTCTGTTTTTAAGAATATTTTTTGCTTTTGAATAGTACTACCAAAGGTGCAATTTATTAGAAGGACAAGTTCACAATTTTATTTTGTTATGGCTTTCATCAGACATTAATTAACACAAATTAGGGAAAATTAATTCAGTTGCCTCATTTTTTTAATCTGTCCAAATACAAAAACAGAAAATATTAGGAAAGGAATAGGTAAAAGTAAAGTTCTAAGATTGGTAAACCTTTTAATGATGTGCTGTTGAGGTGACTTCAAGGGCAGTGACATGTATCAGTTACTGTATTAAATGGTCGACTGTATTCCCAGTCTTAACTGCTGGTTACAGTTCCGATTAGTGCTAATGATGGCAGTTCTCTATCGATCCTCCTGGTCCCCTGGCTCCAGTCTATGTGCTAAAGCCTTTCTGACTTGATTAACGTAAAAGAATGTAACCAACAGCTTACATTGAACATTATCATTTCTCCTTGAACTGTGATTGATTATGCATGGTGATGAGAGGTCTTTTAGTAATGGGATCTATCACTTGTGGGTCCACAAGGCTTTACCATAAAGGGGGGGGGGGGGAGTAGGCACCAGAGTAGAAAAGGACATTCTTGTTTGCAAAGTTTTGGATTAACTAGATGGAAAAGTCATGATTATAATTGCAGTTCAGTATTGTAAAGCTGTAATAAACTTGTTACTTTGAAACATGATTAACAACTATTTTTTGACCATTTTATATGACATTGAAAGATTGGATTTTGGATGATTAAAAAAAACTGTTTGCATGGTTCTTAGGTGCCAGTGTGAGCAGCAGCAGGACCAAGTCTAAGTCCAAGTCCAGTAGCAGTGGTGGCAGTGGAAAGGGGAGTCACTACACGCGTCAGGAGAGCACTGAAGTCACTCAGTTTGTGGCCTCTTCAGAGGTACAGGATTCTTAACACATCATAACTATTTTATACACCTCATAATGACAATATGACATTCTTTACTAATGCGGCACTTTTTCCAGTTAAATTTTGATTAATTTCTACAATTGATTATATTGAATTAAGGTCATTTCACTTGTGAACTCATTCATGAAGTAGAAGATATCCTCCTTCTTATTCTTCTTATTACTGTATTACTATTAATATTATTATAATTATTATAAGTGCACTCAGCTGTGCCTGTGTAACTGCTGCAATGCTTGCCAACGTTTTTCATGGCGCATTTGATGAGGGTTATAGCATATGTTGCTCCCACTGGTATATTTAATGCCAGGGCCAGATAAGGCTTGTGTTACTGCTGTAACTTGGATGTAAATTATTTTAGGGTTCTGATGATGAGGCAGAGGACAGTGATAGTGACAGCAGTATTCATACCATGCCTTCAGAGTCACAGGCTTCATTTGCCAGGCAGACAGGGGCAACCAGGAAAGCTGGGTATGTAATGAAACCTCTGCTTTCCAAGTTAAATTCATGCCTACAGCAATGTTTTTGAATTCAGATGTAATTTTTTTAATGTAAAGATAAAATGTTAACCAGCTGGATGATATCAATTTTCACAAAATTTTATTAATTTAAGTTAGTACATAACTCAGAATAATAAACAAGAAACTGATAATCCATTTGGAAAAGGCTGTTAAACTTTCCTGTCAATCCTGCATATTTGTTGTATGGCACAGGTGGCTAACTGTGAAGAACTGGCTGATCCACAAGAAAAGGAAGGTGGAGCTAGCTCCCAAGAGGAACTGGAAGAAGTACTGGGTGTGTCTCAAGGGGACCACGCTGCTCTTCTTTACCTGTGATGACCAGAACTCTATGAATGTGGCTGAGAATGCATTGCCAAGACATATGCTGGGTAGGGACAGTGTGTGAGATATTGGCAAATGGTACAAACTGTGAGAGCCAATCTGAAGTGCTGTTTTGATGGAAGTCTGAAGAATGTGTGAAGGTGTTTTATTCAACTATCTTTTCTAATGTATATCTTAAGGTAGAGATGGTATGGAAAGCAGATTGCAGACATCTTGTTTCTTGTTTGTGTGGATGTATGTCTTTGTGAGCGCCCCATTTTGATAAGAATAGAGATGAAAATTTTCCAGTTATCCGGATATTTGGGTGTTGTATTTATGGCCTCATACCTGAGCATTACCTCCTCTCATAGAGCTGTGTGCCTTCGGTACTTGCATTTTCAGGATTTCTTTAAAATGTTCACTTTCACCGCAGTTAGAATATATGATTAATTGAGCAATGTTTTGAGATCTTTTTATGGTTTCATTTAAAACCTCTGGAATTTCCCACGTTATTGACCATAGACATAAGGAATATATCATTATCTATTTCTTCTCATATTTTTAAAACAGTAGATATGGTAGGATGGCATTTTTTTATCAAATCAAAGTACCAATCCTGTTATCAGTTAGTGTTAATAAAAAGTAAAATAATGAAAAAATTCTGTTATCAGTTAGTGTTAATAAAAAGTAAAATAATGAAAAAATTCTGCTGCCTTATCAGAAGGACCTTGATATATACAGAGTGACTTACAGAATTGGATTTGGTTCCCACCACCCATTATATGCTTACATTTGTATTCAGCATGAGAGAGTATAATAAAATATGAAGTAGGAATGAAATTTGATTAATTGATTAATCAAAAACAAAAAATTATCAGAAACAGTAGTTTAAAAAAAAATGAGGCAGTGAAAAAAATAAAGATTGAAAGGTTAACGTCATTTGAAAATACATTATTAGTTTGATTTGTATTCATTGGTAAAAGTTTCATATCATAAGACAGCACCAATGTTTTAACTCCCTTATGGTTTAGAGGTTATCTTCCATTTAGTGCTCTAATTGAATGTCCCCAGTGACACATTAACTTTGTAATGCATTGATCTCTTTGTACTTTTTTTGTTGTGAGATGATATTTGTCAGGCTCCAATATAGCATTCCAATAAGGTACTAACATGTGTACATAACTAGGAATGTAGTTTATAGTCACATTCAGACAAAAGCCATTTTAAATGGGAACTCTGCCAAAGTTGTGTCATAGGAAAATCAAATTACACAGAATTTGATTGTCTGGCAGTGTAGTTTAGACCAATTTTCAGTGTACAGTGTAATCCTGTCAGATAAGTATTTATTCCTCATTCAGATTTGAACAGTTTTTGAACCCCAACAGAAAATGCCTGGAGACGTGGGCTTCATATGTTGCCTGTGTGTCCCTGGTGAAAACTTAGTTTAGTTATTACTTGGCACTTTTGATGGGAAGCTGCCTGCTGAGCAGTGGCCTGTGTGTATGTATGTATGTGTGTGTGTGTGGGTATTGATTTGTATGTGGACATAAGGCATGAGGTTATATTACTGGGTCTATGGTCTTCTGAGAGTACTCTGGCTCAGACTTAATCAGCAGTATCTGGCCATGGGCACACAAAATAGTTTGCTGGCAGCTTTGGCACTTCTTGTTCAGAATGAAAGACCAGAATAAGTCCAGAAAAATGTGTGAATATGATAAAATTCTATCTCCTGTGTAGTCTTAAGTGCTCCATGCCTGCTTTTATTTGAAAATGGAATTCATAAACAGACTGTGATAAGAAATATTGTCTACTTAGACATAAATTTCATTATGAAAAGTGCAGATACAAATCCCTATGTGCCTAAGCTTCCTTTTCTTTTATCTGAAAATGACAAGTTGGATTATAGCAGACAAGTAAGTATATTCTCTGGTTATTATTTCAGTGATAGAAGGCGGAGTATCACAAGCTGTGCCAGAACATCCGAAGAGGGAAAACATCTTTGCACTCAGCACGGCCTTTGGGGATGCCTACTTGTTTGAGGTAATCTAGTTAAGGCTAAGAGCACCAGGGGGTCAGCCAAGCTGAGTAACCAACAAGGAAGCTGGCGTTACATTTGCATGGGTGAAAGTTTTCAGGATTATGCCTGATTACAGGATTTTCTGTCTTTATTTTGATCGTGTTTTTCATATTGTCTAAATGTGATGAGAAATTGAAAGCTACATTTTCAAAATTTGCAGTTTTTACAACTTTCACCCATGCATATGTGAATGTTGAATAATGTACTAATAGAATAAGGAAGAGAGCTGTCACATCCTCCCAAAGCAGTCATCCCTTGGCTTTAACATAAATGTGGTTCAAGTATGTTCCAATTAGTGCAGCGAAAACTTATCTATGATCTTAAGGGGTTGAAGGTAAATTATATTTAATCATTTCTTCAAAAGTAGTGTAAAAGTATTTACCTCTTTCGATATGTATTATAGCTGTCTTTTTGTTTTTAGGCTCCCTCACAGATAGAACAAGAGAATTGGATCTCTGGTATCCATTCAGCTTGTGCTTCATTATTTGCAAGGCAGCATGGAAAAGACAATACATTAAAACTTCTGAGAAGTGAAATACATAAACTAGACAACAGTATTGACATTGTGAGTTGTATAAATGATACTTCCTAATATATATTTTCATGTGTGCATGCTGGTGTGTGTGAATATGTGTGAAAAATAGGATTCATATTGGAAACTGAGCACAATAGAATGTATTGTTCAAATTTCATAATTTGTGATACGGACTGAGCTTTTTTTTCATCATTTATTATATCATTATCATTATAAATTTTAATGGGAGTGCTTGAGGATGAATTATGGTCTTTAGAGATTGACATTCAGTTACTGATGGTAGTAAGCCAAATTTTCTTTATTTTTTCTAGGATATCAAGATGAAGAAGATGGCTGATCTTCAGCTCACTGTGGTGTCTGACACCAAAAGTAAACATGCAATAAGTAAACAGATTGCTCAATGGGAGGAGAATTTGGAGAAACTGTACATAGAACAATACAGACTCAGGTGCTACATGGCCTCACTGCAAGGATCTGAATTGCCAAATCCAAAGGTAAGAAACCTGTGTTAATAGTATGAAAGTTGTTCTTGTGTGATTTTTTGGTGTGCTACAAGTTTTGATATTAGTTCATATTGAATAAGGGGATTTTTTTAAACTCATACCTTATTTATTTATTTATTTAAAAAATATTTATCATTATTAATTACTTTTTATATCAAGTGAGTGCTTTGATGTTAAACTGCAATACCGGTAAAGCGTTCTCTGCCACTTTGTAGTATTTGACCCACGCTTACCTAGTGTCCCTGTAGTATTTGACCCACGCTTACCTAGTGTCCAATTTTCAGTTGTTCAGATATTACTGTTAATTTTATTGTAAAAATTTCCCAACACTTTTGTACATTTCAGACATTACTGACAAATGTGTCAAAGTCCACAAAGACGACCCTGGCCAGGCTAGGTGTGTTCACCGTCACCTCATTCCACGCTCTGGTGTGTGCACGGACACCCCTTACCATGGCAACGTTATATAACAAAGCCAGCAAGAAGAAAGGAAAGTTGTCCACTTTTATGGCAGAGGGGGGAAACAAGCTGAGATCAAAGACACCAACTGGGGCACTTAGTCCATCCAATGTGTAAGTATAGACATTATGCTGGTCACAGGGCATTTTGTTATATTTGGCATGTTTGTTGTTTAAGCTTGTTATTCTATAGATATGATAATGCATATACAACTAAAGCAACATATTATATTATTGTAAAGTGAAAGTGAAAGTATGACACATTTCCAAATTTTTTCTGAAATTTGTATCATCTGAAAGTCAAAATAGATTTTAAAAGCATGGTACTAAAAGATAACAGTTAGGAAAGATGAGTAGCACCTTACAGTGGTGATATATGTATGTGGTTCATTCCAGGAAATCATTCAAAGAGATAGACATTAATGAGGAGGAGGAGAGCAGCTCTGAGTACATGTATGGTGGTGACACAGAGGAATCCTCCAGGCTGGGGACACTTACTGACACACTCAACTTTGGGGACAACCTTCACAAAGTCTTATTACCAAACAATCAGGTAAAGAATTCAGTGTAATGCAAGGGGGTTATGTAGGTTTTGATCATTTGTTTTCATCAGAGTTGTTTGTTTGTTTGTTTGTTTGTTTGTTTGTTTGTTTGAAAGGATTTATAGATATACATTGTGCATTAGTTCTTAATGTAACAAAAATGAGAAACTTAGAACTCAAAAACATGTTTATAGATCATATTTTTTTTCATGTGGTATATTGTTTACCTTGGTGATTAAGAGGGGGGGGGGGATGTTGAGATTGTCAGGAAAATTATGAAATTTGGTGCATAGAAGTCTGCTCTTCATTGTATGACTTTATGCACAGTCCATTTGGCAGGTCTTTGCAGTTGTTTATACATTTGACCTTTAACATATTGATTTGCTATGGCATCTGTGTACTAGCATTTCTAAGTCTTCACTGGTCATCTATATCTATGGCTCTTGTTTAACCACAGAACCTGGTGATAGCAGTTCAGGGCAGGATGACAGTACAGGAGGTCTTGGAGACCGTGTGCAATAAACGTCAGCTGAACCCAAATGACCACTTTGTGCGACTTAAACTGCCTGGACAGGAGGTGTACACCGTGCCTGACAAGATGTCCTTCATGGAGAGAGAGGTGATAGAAATTTGTTTTATATATTAGATATAGTGTTTGTCATGTAAGTGTTTGCCACACCCTCCCACGCCTATCTTTGTTTGCTTAGTCATGTGTTTAAGTTTGAGGATGTGAATATGACAACCTATTATGAGTTTTCTACATGACTGTGATTTTGTACCCACAATGTCTACGTAAGTGAACTGAACTAGGAAGATCTTTCAAAAATAAAAGGTAAAAATTGATAAAAATGCCTTGAATTTTGACTAGTCTAAAAAAGGAGGAATATTTATATCAAAGATATCTAAATGAACTGATGTGCTCTCATTCCAGACCTATGAGAAGATAGAAGTATGTGCCAAGATCATCTTCCAGCTAGAACTGCGGCGGTCACAGTATGATGCTGACTTTGGATTCAGTGTAGAGGCAGAGCTGGCTGAGGACTCAGAGAGAGATGACGAACTCTGTATCTTCATCAGTGAAGTCAGGAAAGGAGGACTGGCATACAGAAAGGGTTAGTGCTGTTTAATTATAATACCTGCTTTTTTTATCCTTCAGTGATTTACAGGTGTATTATGTTTACACCATGAATCATCACACTGTAATATAAAGCATGGATTTGTATGTAAAAAATATAGATCAGAATTGAAAGCACAAATGCACATTGCCTTATGTCAGGGCAGTTTAACCTGGCTCACAAACTCATAGACAATAGCAACAAGATGTGCCCTTCCTCACTGTCATCTTAATACTGATGTATTGTTTCCCCAGGACTGTATGTTGGAGATGAGTTACTGGTTATCAACAGTAAGGTGGTCTCAGACCTGGACATGGTGTTTGTAGAAACTCTCATTCAGGGCGCCAAACTGCTTTGTCTCACCATTCGCTCATGTCGCACTGAGCGCCCACCGTCATCACGGCAGATGGAGCACGTGGACATCCACATAGACAACATGGTGTGTCCTCCCCCGCCCTCGCAGTCCAGGATCAGTGACAAGGTGATAGATGAACTCATAGTGCCAGCACCTAACTGGGGTGAGTGTCTGCTTTATGTGGCCTTTCAAAGAACAGTCTGTGCCAAAAAGTCTATTACCCCTTACGGACACTTGGGTCCAAGAATTTATTGCCCAAAGCAGGACCAGTGAAAATTTACTAAACAGATTTAGAACATTTTACTGGCTTTGCTTTAGTTTTGCTGACATTTGGCATGGGGCCAGTAATTTGGATGAAAGGATATCTGTAGGCCAAATTCATCTTTTTGTTTTGGATCTCTTATATTGCCCAGGTCTTTTATAACTGATCAGAAGTAACAATATGTTATACCAATATTGATGGTTGGATCCTTATGGTTAACTGAAACTTTTATACTCTACATGTGAAAGCCATCCAATCTTTTCTCAAAAGATGGAGCAAATGTTAAAGACTTGTCTTTTGTCTATCCAATGAGTACAGCATATTAAGTAATATGGACACTGTCATTTCAGTTCAAGAAGACCCTAACACAGGTGATGTTGTGATCCGACCCATGACCCCTCCCCGTATGATGCCAGGATATTCCACAGAGCAGATCCATCTTTTGCTACAGGTATATATGTATATGAATCTTGACATATCTAACACTGTTCCATATAAAAAGAATAAACAGCAGTTGAATATTAAAAAGCAAATTAAAATATCCTTAAATCATTTTGTTGTAATAACTATGCAAAACTGGAAATCCTAATGTTAATTTGTTTCTGTGTGAATGTTTTAGAAATCTGAGCAAGTCACCCAGCTTGTGCGTCAGTCATATGAGCGTGACTTTGTGGAGGGTCCTTCTGTCCCCCTGTCCTTGCCATCTAAGGAATCCGAGTCCTCCTCTAAACCCATGTCACATGTACAGAAACTGAGGAAAGTGACCATGGAGCTCATAGACACTGAGAGGGCTTACGTCAAGGTAATGATTAGTTTGTGGAGCTATATTTTCAATATTATTTTGTTTTTGATGATTTGAAAACTGTTGTGTAAGTGATGAAATTCATTTTACCTATTTTATGCAATAATCTCCCTTAATTTTATTGGGTTAATTATGTTATTATTGCTTCAAACCTGATAAATAATAAAATATGTTTTATGGTTAATAAGGGTAAAACAATTTTCCAGTGAAATATTTAACATAATTCAAAAATATACTTATTATACTGTAGGATTTAAACTGCCTGATAGAACGTTACCTTGAGCCCCTGAAGGAGGAGACATTCCTGACCAGTGACGAGATTGAGGCATTGTTTGGCAACATCCAGGAAATTGTGCAGTTCCAGAAGCTGTTCTTACAGAGTCTAGAGGAGGCAGTGGACATGGAGCCAGATTTTCTCACTTTCTCTGACCCAAAACAGTTCAGGGTAATTGTCTTTGTTATTTATATGTTATCTCTGTATTATGTTTTTATCAAATTTAAAGAAAAAGGGCAGATTCATTTTCTACAGGATGTTCAAATAACATAAATATTATTGCAAAAGTATTCTTGTAAAATTTTTACTTTAAAATATATCTTTTTGACCATTCCAGAGGATATTGTTTTCCCTTGGAGGCTCATTTCTCTACTATGCCAATCACTTCAAGTTGTACAGTTCCTTCTGTGCTAGTCACTCCAAGGCACAGAAAGTCCTTCAGCCAGGTAACTAATGCTATAGTTTACTTTTAATCCAGTCTAATTTATAACCATTTTATTTCAGCAACTGATGTAGGACTGACTCTTTTAATGATTTTGTGTGAAACTGAACTTATTTTGAAGCAACTTACCCCCCCCCCCCCTTTTTCACTCACACACACACTCTCTCTTTCTCTCTCTTCTCTCTCTCTCTCTCTCTCTCTCTCGTGGTCTTCAAAGCAAAAAGATTTAATAAAATCACAAACATGTTACCTTCATAACTGCAGTAGTTATAGGATGCTTAGTATTACCAATAATTTTACAAGTTTTGATAATCATAAATCATTTTGTTTGTATTTTACTTTCCAGAGACCAATTCTCCACTGAGAGAGTTCTTGCGTGCCAGGAACCCCAAGCAGCAACACTCGGCCACCCTGGAATCCTTCCTCATCAAACCCATCCAGAGGATCCTCAAGTACCCCCTGTTACTGAACCAGCTGAGGAGCCTCACTGTGCCAGACACTGACGAACATTATCACTTGTCTGGTGAGAAAGCTTACCACTGGCTCTGATTTATACTTTTGTGATATTGTAAAAGTAGTACTTGGAGGTACCCTGAGTTTCAGAGGTCATTGGAAACTATTATACTTTCAGAAGGTCTGGATACTGTATGGTAGAGGTGAGTTTCTAGTGACCTCAGAAACTCAGGGATTTTTAAGATACTTCACATTTATTGATGATACACATTGTGAAGCTTTGTATTAATAAAAGAACCCCAGAGTCACATATTCCATGTAATATTTAGTTTATGTAGGTACCATTTACTGTTTTATTATGTACTCCAGAGGCTCTGAAAGGCATGGAAGCAGTGGCAGAACATATCAACGAGATGCAGAAGATTTATGAAGAATATGGCAGCGTGTTTGATGACCTTGTTAGGTGTTACAAAGAGGCGCACTCATTGGAGAAGGTATCACAATACTTAACAGCTTCTCTCGTAACACTTTCTGGCATTGCGTGAATCCATAAGTCTGATACTGGAACTTACATTTAGCAACTGACCGACATTGAGTTATTCATATTTCTCACTTTCCAGCATTATTAAATGATTAAGTGAAATCATACTGGATAGCCTAGCATTAAAAAAATGACATTTCAGATTCTTTTTACATAACCAGTCTAAAGAAAATCTGGTTTCAGATGAAAAGTGTATAATGTATTTTAGTCTTTAACTCTTTTAATGAGATATCAGATTTTACACATATTACACATTTTCCTTTTTTATTTTTCATAAAAAAATTTGCTTTTATTTACTATTGAAAACATATTTACCAAGTATCACAGTGCAACTGTCAGTGATCTAAGAAAACAATTTTGATTTCAGGAAACAATAGAGCTGAATGTAGGTGACTTACACATGTATGGCGCTGTGGAATGGCTGAATGCCTCTGATAAGGTTGGCCGTCTGAAGAAGGGTAATGAGCTGGTCACCATCCTCTTTGTCTTCAAGTCTGGGGTGGTGCTGTTATGTAAAGAGAGACCAAAGGCAAAGAAGAGAAATAGGGTAAGTCTCATCAAGCAGCTTTCTTCGTGACATTTCTTCAGTTGTTTACTTGTCTGAGTTTGCCAAATTATTGCTTGTTTTGAAAGACATTATCTGCTTCTAGTCATTTGTTGTAAAATATTAGGTCAGGAATAACTTTTGTCTAATCTCTGAACCACTTCCAAATCAATTGTTTGATCTTCGATATTTTGCTGGTTTCACATTGCAGAAATTGATAGGTTTAAACCAATGATATATTGAAACAACAGCAATGACATTCTTCTCACTTCTCCCTTTCAGCCAGCCTCAGTGCGTGGTTCAATTGTGGACCAGGAGATAACACGCTACCAGACAGTGATCCCAGTGAATGCAGTGCAGGTCCGCAGCCACTCGAATAACGATGCTCACACACAACTCTACTGGGAACTGCTGCACATGAAGTCTGAGAAGGAAGGGAGACCAGAAAAGGTCTATCAGATGGCCAACAGGTAAGCAGACTCTACAGTTGGAGTGAGAAGTATGTGGGTGTAAGATCAATAATTCATTACAAGAAATGTCAACTAAATAGGCCTCCAGAGACCAATTATCATCGACTTCTTCAGATTTCATACTGAGATTAATCATAAGGTATTATGTTGATTTCAGCACGTTAGAAGCCAAGAATGACTTTATGCGCACCATACGCCAGATCATACGTGACAGCGTGCGACAGATGAGGCTGCCATTAAGTAGTACTCCAGGCAGAGGCAAGGGATACATTCCTTATGGAGGAAAGAGAATGGCGGCACTGACTGGAAGTAATCAGCGTAGCCTCAGCAAAAAACGTGGTCAGCGTGTACGCTCTGCTATAGAGCGCCACTCCATGGAATTTGATAATGATTTCAATGTTCTTGACCAAGATGATCTCAGGGCAAGGAGCATGACTTTCAGTGACCTGAACAACACAGATGCTGACAGCACCAGTGAGGGTGGGTACCCCACGTCTGCTCACTCCCAGGCCAGCATAGACAGCAGGAGTAGCACAGGATCAGCCAAACTGGTTCATTCCAGTCACAATCCATTGAATTATTCCCCTGCCTCATCATCTATGGGGATAACAGTGGAACTGGGGTCACCTATATGGAAGCCAAGAGACACCCTGGAAGAGGAGTTAAAGACCCCAGTTCCATTTGAGGATGAGGATGACTCAGCAACTTTGATACTGACTTCCCCATACAGTGATTATTCTAGTACAGTTTATGTAGAGGATAACAAGGCATTGTTGATTGCCCCACCCTCTGCTTATGTTGAACAGGGTGACACAGAGTGCTAGCATTTCATGACACTAGGTTGTGTACTGTTTGTTGTATTGACCCTTAGATCTAACTGAATGAAGTTTGCTTAATTTTCATGGAGAAGACCTCTATGAATTTTATTGTACTGTTTTATTCTATTTTCTCTTTTGATATTTTTTATATTTAAAAAGAAAATGCTCAGCAAACAGGTTAGAATTGATACATTTATTTGGCAGGGTTGATATATATATACATGTACCTTGTCTGTAGGATGGAACAGGGTGAAGATTTTAAGACAGGTTTTTTTAGGAATTGTCTGAGTATGGGATTAATTTTCAACTCCAAGATTAAATGTGTAGTTATGAGCATTATTCAAAGATTTCTTTGTACAAATGAAGTATATCACCAGGTTGTATTAGGTATTGTCTTTGCACATAGCTAAATAAAGCAGCTGTTTAGTCATGCACACATGGACACATGATGTGGATACCTCATGGTTGTGGTTAATGCTGGTGGAATACATTTTACACTGACACATTCCGTTATAGGCTAGGGGCAGTCTGGCTTTTCAGGCTTCTTATATTTTATTTAGTATTTTATGTTTATTACACAACTAGAACAAACTAGGTGATAAAAAGGCAAATTGGTGTGAATTCTATAATTGTTTTGTGAAGTATTTTATTTTTATACTATTACCCTTCATTACATATAGAGTTAAAACATTCCTAGTCGTAGAGTCAATTGATAAATGTTTGGACCAGGACAATCTAAATGTTTGAAATGACATCTTGTTTTAATGCTTCTGCTGCTTCTTAAAGGGTTTCTTTAATCCTTTTCCTTTTATATATCCAAATAATTTACATTGTTTGCTGTATGAAGTTTATCTGTAACACATTTCTCAAGCAATTTTTCAAATTGCATTTAATGGAGAATTTTATCTATGAATTAATATGATATGTATATATGTATTTACCATTTTTTGGTGGTGCAGAAGTTTTCTTGCATCAGATTAATAATTTCATTGTATATTAATATACATATAGTTATTGTCCTTAATTCCTTAGTGTTAATATATTATTATTAAGCACAGAACTTATATTATTCCTGCAGGCACAGGTTAAAACTTTCCACAGGAGTTTGGTGAAACAAATATACAGTATTCTAGATATATATATAGTAATACGTGTGCAGTTTCTCAGTTGTTGCCTTCAGGAAAAAAGTCCCAAGAAATAAGTGATCCCTTGCTTTATGCCTTCAAACAATTTAAAATTAGACATAATTTAAAACTCTGGAATGTGCCTGTGACATTTTTGACATGAAAGATGCTTGCCTGATATGTATCCAGTTAAGCTTAGTTGACCTTGACCTCATTTGCTGTGTCATGGCGTGGGTTGGCATATGGTAATTAGACTTGCCAAGATAGATGGCACTGAGATGGATCAACCCATCTTTACTAAAAACATGACATTAGACAAAGGTATTGGCAAGGAGTACTGCTGTCGCAATGGTATTGATACTCTTAGATACATACTCTGTAGCTTTTTACTTCTCTTATTGGCACACACTTTAATCAAGCATGTCCATGTTAAAGCAATATCAAGCATTTGATATACAGCCATATATACATACAGTCACTTTGGCTGTGTTTCACATAGGTTCAGTTTATATTATACCATTTTTAATGCATCCTTGAGATTAGGTTATTTTGAAAAGGTTTCCAAAGGTATAGGGGGATTTTTTTAAATCAGGCATCATAATTTGTAACCATGATATGTCTTAAATATGTCATTTAAATATTTTATTATTAAAAAGTGTAAAATAGAGGTTTATCATTGCAGTAGGTGGTAATGCATTACTGATAAGACCAAATTTAGGAAAAAAATTGGAAATGCTGATGGCTGCAGTGTTTCCAGGTGAAATTGACATTGTAAAGAAAAACGAGTATTTAAATTATGATGGATATTTTGCCCCAGCAGTTCATCCATATGCCTTTGAGGTCTTTTTCAAACAGCTTACAATATAATTATTAAAGTCAGAGGTGGAAGATATTCTCTTTAAGATAATTAAGGAATTGCTAAATTCTATGTAAAGTTGAACTGAAATATTGAGTTTTTTTTATGCTCCTGTCCATGATTAATCCGTTGATGGGAATGAGCAGGTTATATCATACAATGATAAGTTATCCTAATCATTTAATTCTTCACCTGGCTTGAAGTGGTGTAATAGGTTACATTATCAGGAATGTAGTTCAGTGTAGATGTAGGTAAATTATGTTCCAGCAACTTTTGGAAATAATCAACATTTACTGATTAGTTCTTTGCTGAAATATTATAAGTTATAGTTTTCTGGAAAAGTACTATTGTGACGTTAAGTATAGATCTGTCGTTGTCTTTAGTCTCTCTTCAATTTGACTGTGATCTTTATAGGATTGGATTATTTTATCAGAATTTACAGAAATTCTTTCCTTTTTGAAAATTGTACAAAGCTTAGGAAAATAGATCAAATGAAATTCCATCTGTCTTGTTGTTTGAAAATTTGAGCTTAATAACAATGATCCAAGCCCGTGTATGAAAGGGAAAAGTGTTTTTAATCTTTCTGGAAATTGAAAATATCCTTACTGCTTAATTGTACAGGTTTCACAATATAAAGATCTAAATTCTAAAAGCTAATTACCTCTGCTGATTATCAAAAAGAGATAATAATTGTTTTTATGGCTTAATTTCATGTTAATATGTTAGAATATAACACAACTCCAAAACTTGCATACTACAGCAAAGACAAATGAAAAATCCACTGAAAATAATATGCTTTTCACTATCTTGTGAAGTATCGGTCATTTTTAAATTTTTGAACAGTAATCCCAAAAAAATTGATTGATTTCAAAATTGTACAATTACAATCTGGCATAGAAGTAAAGGGGTTGGTCCAAACCTTCACTCAGGGTATAATAACCATTTCCACTGGGACTCCAGCAGATAGCTTCTCCCTGCGGTTCGCGGGTGTACGGCAACGACTGGGGCGTTTGCCTCATCGTGTTCTCGTAGGTGTCGCCATCTTGCTTGCGCCAGTAATACACGGCCTCTCTGGTTTTCACCAAAATCTCACTCCCGTCTGGTGAGATATCCCCGCCCAAAGGCCCATTCTTGACAGAGGTGATTGGAAGCGTGACGCCGTTGGACAAACGGACAGGGTTCGGGCTTCCCCAGCCGATCTTTGGGACGTTGTAAACTTTGGGGCGCTGTCCGGCGTCTACTTTAGTGACAAGGTACATTTCTCCCTGAGGATCTGTCAACAGTGACTCGGACTCGTCTTCGTTCCATCTGTATAAAGATATCAAAATCTATATACGCCGAGTTTTATTTATATGGGTTTTGCATGTAAAGGAAAACAATTTCCTCCTTTTCATTCATTCACAAGTTTTGTCACATTCAGTCACAAATACAAAATAAATAAATAAATAAATAAATAAAAAAATAAATAAATAATAATAATAATAATAATAATAATAATAATAATATAAAAATAAATAAAATAAAATAAAATAATACGAAAGCGATTAGCCTAAAAAATAATGAGAGAGATTGTGCAGGGTCTGCGTATTCTATTTACTGTATTCAATGACAGACAAGTACTTGTTTCGCTTGGGTCTGAAAACTGAAATCTGAACTTACGAATATTTCAAAGAAGCGTCAACGTTGAGTGTTTCTGTCCTGATCACATCGGGTTCCTTAATGCGGTAAATAGTGTTGGTTCCTTGGTCTCCAATGTCGCCAATAAGAAGACACCATCCGTTGTCAGGGCAGGGAACCATGGCCAAATCCTCCCAGTCCTCATTCTGTACTCCCCGGATTGTCCAAGTGGCCAGACGTTTCCCGGTAGTGGCATTGAGGACGATTACGTCTGGTTTCCCGCCATGGTCATTGTGTGTGTACAAGACGTTAGGGTGTCGTCTGCTTGCTGCAAGACCAGACGCCTCGTCGACTTGACTGCTGGTAACTATCCCTACCTCTCGTCTGGGTGCGAACAGTGAGTCTGCTGTTACAACTGGTGTAGAAAAACAGAAACTTGAAGGTTTTTTTCAGTGAAAAAGTCGGTTTACTGAGATGCGATGTCCTTCGTTGCAATAAGTTGGATTGAAATGGCAACTGATAAAATTTTGCCTTTTACAACGGGGTTGGACGAAGTATCCTGACGTATTATTTTTTTACGTATGTAAAGACAAGAAGAACTATCAAAATAAAATGCGTAACTACACTGTTATGTACATATCTGGCACGTCTTGTCTTTTCATAAGAAAAAAATGTCATTTTCACCTACCACTCAGGGTACTTCGTTCACCCCCTTGTTTCAGGTTTGTATCCACACACATACACTTAAGTTTAATCAAGGGGGCCTTTCGAAATCATAACAACAGAAATCCAAATCCACCCATGTGTACCTTTTCCAGCTGCTGCTGCTGAAATGCATACAGCAGATAGACAGACAAACAAACCCCACTGCACCATCATCACGACCTCAACCGAACGCATTCCCGACAATAATGACCAATTACAACCAGGCAGGTGGTTTAATAATCTTGGGACTGAGGCTCACAGAAGGGTTCTCCTGAAGTTCCAGGTGTTTTTAAAAAACATGGTAACTGTTAACATAAATTTTGTCTGCCTTGATATCACAACGAGATAGAAAAATGAAGAATGAAACAAAAGACACAGGCGCATGCTCCGCTAGTATTTCTTGACATAAAAACTCACTCTTTTTCCAGATGGAGAACAAAAGAATATTCTACAATTCATGAACTCAGGCGATATATTGATTTTCCAACAAGATTTGACAGATATACTTTGTGACCTGGTGAAAGGCTGCGTTAAGTTCACATTGTTTTGTACTCCCGTCTTAAAAGACGGACATATCAACCTCTTGAAATGTTACTTTTTCCCTTGAGGTGGCTATATTGCATAATGATGAATTAAATGGATTTTATTAATTGCACCTTCTATCCCTAGGCCACGTTGCTAAACCTGCTTTTAATTCTGTCCTCGGGAAATTGTGGGTGGGCCCACACCTGTCAGACATGGTCAGAAGCCCCTTTCTTCACCTGGAACGCGTCTAGCTTAAAACATGCCCAACGTTATGAACCAGAAGAATATTGACCTTAGGAAGAAAAAAATGAACCCACTGTCTTGTGCTTTTTGCCTATGAACAAATCGGATCATAAAGTACCCTGCCTGAAAGCGATTTGAACTTCGATATTCAAATCGAACTATAATTTAGTCTTACGCGTGTGCATGTACCTAAATATTTGATTCAGTTAAGAATAACATCAGTATTTTGTCCGAAATCTCCCTGTGTTCAGTTTTTAAAATTAAAAAAATATGTTGATCCAGTGTGTCCCGAAGGTATGGTCTGATAAAATATATCCCCGCCCTTTTTTAAAATAAAATATTTACTGTGTGAGAAACCAACAGTAATTCAGGACTTCAGTAACTTGACCAGACAAGTTTAAAAATGCACTTTTAGTCTGAAAAAAAGTGATTTGTTTGTAAATGGAATGTTGTCTGTAAGCAATGGAAAGTAACTGCTAGGAAACAATATGTACGTAAGTGCATGGAAACAATTTGATTTCTTTCTCAAATTTTACAAAATTTTGGCCATAATCTCCTTTAAGATATACTTTTTGACATGAATCACAAGTGTATGCACGTGAAAGATGCATGGATATTCAAGTTTTCTCGCCACGGAGATGAACTTTATCTATTTGAGGACACGCGTCTTTTAAGAAGTTTTATCGCCGCAGGTGTGCTGCGTCCCTGTATGATTTAACGCTTCCTTCTTTTCGAAGCAATTATCATGTAATGTTTTTAAAAACTCGCCGGCTCTGTTTTTTTTTTTTCTGTAATAACACGCTAAGATTTGCTGGTCAGTGGGAAACTGTTTGCACGTACTGGGAAGCAACTCTTATGAAAGTCGAACAGGAATAAATGCTTTAGGGATTTGATTTCCTTCTCAACTTCCACGGCCTTTTCAGCATATTAGAAATCCTGCAACTGTACAGCAGAATTCAGGTGGAAATCACAAATATATATATATATATATATATATATATATATATATATATATATGATGCATCTTTTAATATCACCTCTCATGATGAGAACCCTACTATTTTATATTTTATATAATTGCGATTCCGAAATTCTTTGAATTAGAGTTTACATTGTCCCGTTATTGTATCTCCAATTGAAATTTTCTCTACACTGTTGGACAAAATAGACAAAATGTGTGTCGATTTCGTTATAAATGTTTTTTTCTTAGTGCACAGCTGTATCATTGCAGATACGAAATATTCAGCACTAGACATGCAAAAAGAAACAACAAATACAGTATTGCACACTTTTTTGTCAAATTTAAAGGACATTACAATGTGGCCCCTGCAAATTAGTAAATTTGAATACAATTCTAATAAACAGACAGAAAAGTTACAATTCTACATGAAAGGTTACAATCAATCTCAAATTTCATACGCATCCATCCAATACTAAGATTGATATATATTGGTTTGACTGGCGATTGCTCCCCCCCCCCCCCCCACACACACACACTTACACACACGTGCAGGTCCGCTGCCAGAAGGGGCATTCTGTCTAAGGACACCAATCTTTGCTGGGTGGTTCTGTTCCACTCTTAGGTCAAAGCTTGTTTAAAAAAGGGTTAAATGTGGGTTTTCTTACTGCTCCCCCAAATTCGTCCGAGAGATGTTCATATCACACTGGTATCAGGCCTTATGGCGTATTGCTCCTTTTGCAGAATGGTGTTTTGATAAAAAGAAACCCACCAAGCAGGCAGTATGAGGGGTAACATTCATAAGCATTGTAATGATGCAGACAAAAGTTTGCACGTGCAAATGGGATCAAATGATCTTGTAAGATGTCCCTGTGGGCCACGGTGTTGGCGTTTTCATCCAGAAGAAACAACTAGCAAACACCAATGAAACAGAAAACATCCCATGATGTGAACAGAGCGCCCCCAGGCCTGGATTCCTTGAATGCGTGTATTTTTAATACAACAACCATTCTCCATTAAAATGACGCACTTTCAGGTGGCCATTACATGGGTAAAGAAGCTGATGTATAGGAATCTGGACAGAAAAACCATGCTGGAGCAGAAGTACACAGCCTGTATATGTGTGCCATGGTTAAACAAGGAAATCTCTTTCTCTATCTGATACCGCAGTGAACATCTGTTGAAAGATTTCCTGGCTTTTTTTAACAATACCATTTAGGGTTACTATCAAAAATTTTTGTGCGTATAACGTTATACATATTAAAAAGAACATTATAAAAATTCTAAAAATAATACCAAATTATTTTACTAGTTTTATAATTTTTTAATGAACCAATGATCTGTTTTGCCTGAACTTTCTGTTAACATTCTAAGTATCTCGGCCGTTGTCAACATGTGAAGCTACATATGTATGTTGTCGGCCGTGTCGTTCCGACTAATTCAGAAATTTTCTGAAGTATTTTCCGGTTACTGTCCGATTAGAGAAGTTCTGAGCAGGACCGTGGGAATAGTGATCGAGACTAGCTTTGATACTAAAGTTACGTTACTGAGTCGTTAGTTCTAATCAAGTTCTAATTACTTCTGGTGGATGTTGTGCATGATTTTGCTAAATAAATATAAGTGTTTCTTCTAGTTCGTGATTATTTGAAGGGATAACTTTTTGTGTGAAATTCATATTTCACAATAAATACATTGTAAACAACTCACAGCATATAATGAATCCTATTTCACCACCAAAACGGCAGTTATTGCAATTATTCTGAATATGTGCTTGTCACTGGACTGCGTGACCTCCATAGATAGCTACCCTTAGTAATAATCCCTTGAGAGATTATTACGAAAATAAATAAATAAATAAAAATACAAACTTTTTAGACAAAAGAAAAACATGAACTTACTTTGAATGTCGGAACAGATTCATTAACCATTGGTAAGTATGGAAATTTTGTCATTTACGCCATGAAAATCCATTTTTGGCCAAAATGGCCAATTATCCTCTCTTTTCCTTCTTCCAGTCACAGACACGTTACAACAATTTCTTTAAATCTACCGGGGTAAATATGGTCAATCCATTCAATGGGTACATATTTACAAAATAATATGTTCTATCCCCTTGGCCTCCTCTTGCGTCAGGCCAAATGACAAGCCGCCCTGAAGCCAGCGGACGTGAGTAGAGCCGTTGGCCCGACGTTGGCGTGCCTACTGTTAGCTCCCCGTTACATGTAGCTCCCCGGATTCGTTTATTTTGAAAGTTTAAAGTCCTGCCTGGAAGTCTTACGGGTTTTTGACAGAAGCAAAGGCATGTATTTTGCTTTATAATATTAACAGAAAAATGTGAATCAAATTTTCTGATAAAATGGGCATTGTTCAAGACTAAACCAATTCGGTATTGTATTGGATACGCACACGATGACCGTGGGTAGGGCCTTTGCCAAGCAAAGCGCGTGTGCTTGTTTTGTCGTAGGTAGGTACGTGTTTTAACGACAAGGCTCCCGCTTCAGATGCCCTGGATATGTGTCTTTTTTCACATCATTTTATGATTATAAAATGTTTTGATACCTTGAAATTATTAATAGCGACAAATATTGTAGAAGAGTAAGGAAGAACAACGACTTGGATGGTTCACGACACACTTATTTCATGGTACTTCCGGTTATCACCAAACATCCGGTTTGTATCGGGATCAGCTGCGATATGTGATGTCGCAGTTCTCCAGGGATTTCCATTTGTTCTACCCCAGTGTACAGCTGTAGTCTCATGTAGTCAAAGACCTGGAATCTCAGACATATACTGAGTGGGGGAAATAACCAGGAAAAGCCAGCCTTCGTAGAAAAATGGACAGACCCACATTGTACAACAATCTCGTTAAGAGATTATATCAACGAGAGACACAGGTGAGAATAAATAATGTTCGACATCCGTCTCCGTTAAGTGAACACTATAAGTACAGTTTGCTCTTAGCTGTTGGAAATTTAGGGTAGCATAAATAAAGATTGGGATCGAAATGGGACTAAACGTTTTTCAATTAATCTTATGATTCCACGATTCAACCTTGCTCGTACGTGTCGCTCATAGAAATACCAAGCACACAGAATTGCCAGACATGGGTTTATAGTTGTACACTTGGTATCTGCATGATCTTGGTATCTCCACCTCAACTCCCTCCTGACAGCATACAGTCAATCCTTTTATATACATAGGTCAATGGACTTTTGTCATACAAATTAGATTTTAATTGGCAGCACCAACAAAGTTGTTAATTGCTGTAAATTAAATCATTAATTACTTTTTATTAGAGTTACAGGGATAACATCTAAATGTGCACATCACAATAAAATTCAACTGTTCATTTTATATATTCAAGTAGGTTAGCATTATATGATATTTATGTAACACAATCATTATGTATATTCAGCCATGTAGTACAGACTTTATATACCAGTAATACATATTCTGATGATTCATGATTTGAACCCTGTATCTTTACTTAAGTGTTGCTTACAGACATGCCCAAACACAAAGAATATTCTTGGTATCAGCATGCTGTCAAATCTTTCCACCTCTTTACTACCCCACCTGTTGTCAGTCAGCCTACCTATATACACATGTTATTGGACTATTGTTATGAAATTTTAATATTGGGCAGGATATAAAAAGTTGTAAATGACTTTAAGTGAGATCATTAATTACTTTTAATTAGAGTTACACGCATTGGCAGCAAGGTCTCTAACACGGAAATTCATGTATTAGCACTTGTATTTCCAATTTCTGATATGCACTGTTGTGCTAACTCATGAAAGCAAATGGCTTAAAAACCTGTAATATGACGACTAGCTTGCACATCCAGTGTGATGCGGTAGCTCTCAGATCTTTAAATCCTGTAAAGCCAACCAGTTTTCTTTTTGACATAGCCATGAGTAAGGTTGGTTTAAATAATAAAAAAGCAATAGAAATTTAATTTAAATTTTATTTAAATTATGTCTTTTTTTCATCAATGGAGGTTAGTCTTATAAAGTATTTAGCATATACCCTTGGTAGAAAAAAAATGAAGAAAAACGGTGAAGGAAGTCTGCTTTTTTTCAAAGGTTAAAAGAAATGTTATGTTTACAAATGGGTGAATTCAGAGTGTTATTCATCAGCACAAGTGTATATATCAGCTCTTGGACACAGTTTAAGCTGGCACCTAACACAGATCAGTCTTGATAATATTAATAAAACTTAAGTACTGTGTCCATTTGTCAATTAGCTGAATGATTTACTACTACAACAACTGACTGAGACAAACACTTCCAACCATTTTTTAGATGTTTCAGTTATCGTCACATTGTATAAAAAAGTTGATAACCATTTTAATGTTATCTGTTGTGAATATTGATTTAACAACTCTATTTTCACCTCCACCCACTGTCTAATTTATTAAATATATCCTGCTGGAATTTTAACCATCCTTCCTATTTTTGGTTTTCAGGACCGCTGCTGTGTAGGTTTCCAGAGGGCTCAGTACGTCACACCTGATCTTGTATCTAGGATAGGATTAGAGACAGAATTAGAGGTGAGAAGTAATTTTATGAAGCACATGAAAATAGTCCTTCTTATATTTAGTTCCTGTGTATGTTTTTATGTGTAATGTTAAGATTAAGCTCTGACACATACAAGCACAAAATGAAAGAAGGAAAAAAAAGAAAAGAAAAAGCATAAAATATATGGAAATTATTTGAATTAAAAAAAAACTTCATCTTCAAAATAACTTGGAAGTGTTGAATGTGTAAACATTGGGTAAACATTTTTAATGCAAAGGGCCAATTTCACATAATGTATTTAACCTGATTTCTCCATAAACCTGCTTTTCATTAGATTACTTGTAAAACCCTGTTAATTCCCAATGCTGACCATATGTTACATATGGGAGTTGATAACCAGGTAAAAAGACTAAAAGTGTAGATTTGAAATCAATCAAAACTGCTTGATTTAAAAAATGGCATAAGGTCAAGTTAGATAAATTGATTGATGAAAACCAGTAATTTTGGTGCCTAATCCTGTTTGCTAAACAAAATGCAATTATAATCATGGACTGCAGATCCACAAAACTGTAGCTGTCAGCTTGAAATGGAAAATGTACTTAGATATAAGCTGTGCTAATCTACAGTTTAATCACAAATCAATATATTTGTTGTAGTTGTTTTTTTAAATGGGATTTAAATTAAGACATGGTTATAGTGGTAGTGATATGAATTGTTAAGAGGTGTCTTTGAGCTGTACAGAATTCAGTGCCACTTGAGATTGTACTGGAGACCTTTACATTGATTTGACTGCATTATATATACTAGTAAACTATATTCCTTTCATTTGAGTGTCCTGATGCTATCTAGAAAGCATACATGTTTTATCTTGTTGATATGACATGTTTTAAAGGCTTACATATGATTTAAAATGAAATTTACATACTTGAGAATTTGAAAAAACAAAAGGAAATATATAATGCTATTTTTCTTAAAATGAATATGATAAAAAACAGAAATTACACATAATAAGTTAAATGACACCAACATACATTCACAATGAAAGAAAATATTGTTTATTCTTACACAAGCTGATAAGTCTGCTATTTAACTGGAAGAAAATCATTTTGTTTGTAAGTTGATCATATGTAAATCTGACTAAGACTGCTGTGAACATGATATAAGTTAATTATTTGTTTTCTTCTTATTCAGGGCCATGCTGGCTGTGTCAACTGTTTAGAGTGGAACCATAATGGAAGGTGGGTTAATCCTGTCTCAATAAGTACACTAGCATAATTGATAATTAGTTATTTTATTATTATATTATCTTGAAGAAGCAATTATAAATGGTATTTTAAGTGTAACTGTATGTTTCAAATTGTTCAGTTTTTTAGCCTTAGGCTTTTACCTTATTTATGATCATGGTTATATAATTCAGAATAAAGAGCAGAAAGGGTTAGCTTTCATTAGGTACAAATACAAGGAAAGAAAAGGCATGGCATGACTTATGTTTCATATATGTTTGCAGTATATTAGCCAGTGGTTCTGATGACTGTCAAGTTATTCTGTGGGATCCTTTGAGACACAGAAAGTTAACAACCATTCAAACAAGACACCAGGGAAATATCTTCACTGTGAAGGTAATTGTGTTTCTGAAAGACTTTTTAAATGAAAAAGTATGTATAACAATATTGCTATAAGCAAAATAATATGAAGGAAGGCGATCTCTATAATTGATCTCCATTATTGCTATATTACAACTGACACCACAGATTGAACCTGTAAAGGAAAACCAGCAAATGATATAGTATATTGCATTCTTCTTATTTTCTTGAATCCAAACATACATTTTTAGGGGGGATTTGGGTGATTTAAGGATGGAAAATTAGACTGAAATTGATTTTGAAAGAAAGAATAGGTCATATTTGGAAAGTAAGTCTTTCAAATCACTTACCAGAGCAGAAATGACTAGTGTTGGCTAGTCAGCAAGTGCTTTATGTACAAAATCAAACAGATCTAAGGAATGAGAAAGGATGCAAGACAACTCACCCCTCTCCTCCCTCTAAATAAAAATGCAGTGCAGGACCGTCTCAACACAAAAAATTGTCTACAAAAACCAGATTATATTACTAGAATTTTATTTTTCTTCTTTTTCACTTGATTGTCCTTGAATTCATTTCAGTTTTTACCAAGTTCCAATGATGGCACCATAGTGACTGGTGCTGCAGACTGTAAGATCCGTGTCCATGATGTAGCCAGTAAGGAGATCACACATGTATTCAGTTGCCATGCTGGGAGAGTGAAGCGTGTGGCAGTGGCACCTAATGTACCCTTTATGTTCTGGAGTGCGGCTGAAGATGGAACTATCATGTAGGCCATAAACAGATTTTCATTATAATGAGGTCATAAGTCGTAGGACTGATTTTCAGAGAGAGAATTTATTTTTGGCACTGAATTTATTTTATAAATAGACATGAGCACAGCTTTAACAGTTTCTATTATGTGTAGCTAGAATTACAATTTGGATTTGGAAAGAATGTAAACAACAGATATATAATGTGTTTTGGCTTATTAATTTAAAATGATTTGTACAGCCTACTCACTCTTCATGTATTTCACTTGACTTGCAGGCAGTTTGACTTAAGAGAACCAGAGAGTGCATATGGTCCTAGTCCACATAATGTCCTCATCAACCTGAATGCTCACATGGGTCCTAATGCAGAGGCCAAATGTATCTCGATCAATCCATACCGACCTGAACTGTTGGCTGTGGGTGCTAATGACCCCTATGCCAGACTGTATGACAGACGAATGCTGTCATGTAAAAGTATACGGTTCCCCAATGAAAATACCCCTAGGTGAGAAAGATATGGGATGAGAAATGATGTAACATATGTAGTGAAGACAATGGGAGAAAGATATTGAATTATAAAACTTGGACACCAAATTGTCAAATTTATTTTTGTGCTGGGTTATTTTTTGTGATGAATCTGCTTTTTTCATCCTCTTGTGATAAAAAGTTTGTTACCTTTCCAAAGGGCTTTACCCCTCTTTTGTATCATAAAATGTGTTTTTATTAAGTTTATACCAAAAAAGAGAGAGTTTATGGTTTTTGTTAATTTTGAAACATTTAAGTTTAGCTGTCAATTAGTATGCCTTCTCACTTAAAATTTCAGATCTCCTTGGGATCGCCAGAATCTTATCTACACACTTTCATCTGAAGAAGAGTTTGACATGCCTAGAAAAAGTGCTACATATTTTGTTGGAGGTATAACTTGAATTTGAAATCTTATTGCTTTGAATGCATTGTTTAATTGTACTTTTTGGCTATAACTGGAAGTAAGATCAACCTTTAAGTAGCTTTAATACCCTCAGCTGACATTGAAGTTAGCGAATTTAGCATGTGGCTGACTTGTACATGTATATCACAAGTATTATCTTTATTAATATGTAGTAAAAAATGTTTTTGTGAATCATTATTGGACCTCATGAAAAATGAATATTTGTTTACAAGCTCAGATTATATCTGAATAAATAAGGTCCTTTCAAAACATGCTAATGATGATTTATTACAGGTCACTTACCTCAGAAATTAAAGGATTTCAAGAAGAGGTATCGTACCTTGGCCTCCACGTATGTCACATTTGGTCCTGATGGCACAGAGCTGCTGGTGAACCTGGGAGGAGAACAGATCTACTTGTTTGATATTAATAAACCAAGGAAGCCACAAAGGCTGGAGTTGCCCTTCCAGGATCTCCTGGGCAGTAATGGTGTAGTGAAAGGTTAGTGGGTGTTAGGGTACAGCAAGAGACATTTATTTCTTTGGATTCATTTTGTATTGGCTGTTTTAACATTTACAGTGGTTTCTTTAATGTACAATATTGTTATTTTTTTGAAAAGAAAAACATTTTTTGGTTTTGTACAGATCATGATATTTTTAGCCATTTAGTTCAGTATGTTCATTCCAGTACATTCCCCTTTCCTTTTAATAAAAGTAAATTACCCAACTTGAAATCACAATGAAAAATAAAGTGTATCATAACATTTTAAGTACATCATCATAATTATAGAAGCAGCCAGTTGTTCGTCCAGCTCTCCCGCCACCACCTCTACCAATGGCTACAGCCTCAATGGTACAACCAATGGAGTGAAAACCAATGGAATGAGCAAACACATAGCTTCCAAGCCACAAACTGGGGAGTATAAGAGCATCAGGAAGTATGCATTTTTATGTGTGATTGTTTTCATTTTCATTCAGTTTTTTCCATTATTTATTAAGTAAAAAGCACTATATTCTAGACCACTCTGCCAGCATGGATTTTTAAATTGATGCCATTTCATTGTTTTGAATTAGAATTGAATAAGATATCTTAATATCTCGTCAAGGTCTTAATTTTATGGTTGACATTTTTATCCTTATAGTTGTAACAGAGGGGCTGCCTTCTGAATAACCCAAATGCATAATTGAAATGAGTAAATGACAAACTGAAAACTTGTCAGACATATACACTGAACAGCCTGTTCTCAAAGATAAAAACTGACACCTTTTTCCAGACACAAGTATGAGGGTAAGCCCCTCTCGCCCTCAGTGGATCTCATCCGACAGAAAGCCAATATTGCCTTTGAGAAGCAGGAGTACACTGAGGCGGTGAGGTTATATAACAGAGCTCTGATCATAGCTCCAGAGGCAGCTGTACTGTATGGTAACCGAGCGGCAGCATTTATGAAGAGGGGATGGTAAGCTGTGCATCAAGATAAACCTAATAAGTTTCAACATATTGTTATGTAATGATTTTATATGTTACGATAACATATTTATTCAAAGTCTTAAATCCATTTTAAATGTTTGGTAAACTTTACATAAAAAGAGACAAGTACTTAAAAACAAATTTTTTTAAGAATAAAAAAATAGATATTTGACAGATTGTGATTCTAGATAGATTAAAAAAAGTCAAATTCTGTCATAAAGCCAATTATTAGTAGGACAATCATCTATGTTGTTATGTGAAAAACGGTGTACGAGACATGGAAATGTAGTCCTTTAATGATTAAGAGGAATGTTGGACAATTATTCTTTATTATTGCATTGTGTGTAGCCATAAACACTGTGTTGTTTCAGGGATGGTGACCTCTATGCAGCATTACGTGACTGCCACACTGCCATACACCTGGATACCAATCATCTGAAGGCCCACTTCAGGCTGGCCAGGTGTCTGTATGAGCTCACCTGGACCAAGGAGGCCTTTGACTGTCTTACCTACTTCAAAAGTCGGTTCCCTGACCATGCCAGCAGTCATGCCTGTGAGGCTCTAGACAGAGATATCAAAGCTGCAATATTTTCTAAAACAGAGGGTAATGGGCTTTAAAATATAATTACTAATGAGAGGTCATTGTAAAGATTTTATTTTGAAATCTTAAGATATTGATGTAAATGACTCTCTTTGAATATCAAGTTTAATAAAGGTAAATTAATTTTTATGTGATTTTTGTAAAAGTGGAAATGACACCTTTTAAAGAGATTTATAAAACATTGATTTACATATATCAGCTTTTTATCATCTTTTTCTCTTGCACAGAAGATGGTGCCAGTGCAAGTAATAAGCCAGAGTCCTCCCCATCAAGGCGTAGAAGATCTACAGATCTTAGTGAACTGGAAAAATATTGGAGGGAGGAGGCTTATGACTACACACAGAGATTCTGTGGGCACTGTAATACTACCACAGACATAAAGGAAGCTAATTATTTTGGGTGGTATGTAATAATTGAGCAAATGGAAATATATATATATAGATAATTTACACAGAAAAGTTCCTTTGTAGCTTTTTGTTGGGATCAGTGTAACATTATCATTATAGTTTCATGGACTGCATTATATGGTAAGATGAAATTCTCGTTAATAAAATATGCACAGGTTCTTTGATATTTAAAGGTAAATTTCAGTAGAAATCATAAAACAAAATCCACTTTCATAAGTTACCTTTTCCATTTCTGCACCAACTCTTTTCAGCAATGGCCAGTACATTGTGGCAGGGTCTGATGATGGTTCTTTCTTTGTGTGGGACAAAATAACCACAAACATGGTACGAGTACTGAGAGGAGATGACTCCATTGTGAACTGCCTTCAGCCCCACCCCAGTTTTTGTATGCTAGCCACCAGTGGAATAGATCCTGTTGTTAGGCTATGGAGTCCAAGGCCAGAGGTAGGGAAGCTGTTTATAACATTTGTTATCATTCACTGTAGAATCTTCAACTAGCTAGCCACCAGTGGAATAGATCCTGTTGTTAGGCTATGGAGTCCAAGGCCAGAGGTAGGGAAGCTGTTTATAACATTTGTTATCATTCACTGTAGAATCTTTAACTTTATGAAAAAAAAATTGACATGAGCCTGATAAAATGGTAAATGTTGTTTTTCTTTTTTTTTCCATAGGATAGAGGCAAGGATGACAGAGAGGTGGTAAATTCTGAGGAAGCGGCCAGTGCCAATCAGCGCAGAATGAACACAGACCCACTGGAGGTGATGTTGATGAACATGGGTTACAGGATCACCAATGTGCTGGATGAAGAAGAAGAGGGGAGCAGGGAAGGTGCAGCTGTCCAGTGCAGGCCAAGCTGAAGCCTGTTCAAAGCTAGATACCAGTGTGTGTGTGTTGATAACCATTGTGCTAGCTATCTGGAGTGGCTGAGGCAGCTTGAAAAGAGAGGGGCAACCTTTACCACAATTACTACCACAAAATTCCCAGACAGAAAATGCCCAGAACATCAGTTGTTTGTTTGCAGAGTGAGGTCAATACTGCACGCACCTTCACCAGTCAGGCTCTTATTTATGAGTCCCCTTAATGCTGTTTTTAGAATTGTCAGCATGTCCATTTCCTCTTTTTTTTTTTTTTTTTCAAAAATTATTTCAAAAGATTAATCGTGCTTTGGTTTCTTACATTTTCTGCCTGTCTGATATTGATTGCAAACCATCTGGGATGTTATTCTCTTAACCTTACTTTTTTTAATACTTTTTGCATTTCATTCATTTAAATGCAAATTCAAAGACCCAAAATAAAAAAAAATTGATTAACAGGATTTGCATGTAAAACCATAGGTTTTGTTTTCTAAAGTGGATTTCTGTTGTATATCAAGAATTTTAATTGCCATATGAAATTGAATGTCATATTTTTTCTCCTCATTTGTGATAGTGGAGTAAGCTGTGACCTGCATATTCTAACGTGTGCTATGATTATGATGATAGCTTGCTTAGGCATATTGTAAAGTCTTATATTGAGAAAGGCAGAACATTTTACCATATCAGCCTCAGCACATACAAATATAGTGTTGTTGTATAATTATATTTATATACCAGATGTGGAATTTCAATATATGGTTATGCCTTTTATTATGATTTACTGTTTACTGATATTATGCAGAAAGAAACAGTGAATTGCTTAAACCTAACACTTGCCAAAATAATAATAAAAAGATTATTGGCATGAGTTGTTTTTTTTTTTCTGAATCATGCATTTCAGAATAATTCTTATAAGAAACTGGTAAGACTTGCTGCTTAGTGTCTTCATTAGCGGCCAGTATTTTGTAGGATGTACAGGTTGATAATTTATGAATACAAAAATGTCCAGACCCAATTTTCATTCTTTCGACAAATTGAATAATATCATCATGCATATTTTAACACTAAAGGAGATTTATTTAGCTAGCACTTACAACAAAGAAAGAAAGTGCTGTAGCCACGGGAGGGTTTGTATGACCCCCCCCCTTTTTTTTGCTGGGAAAACGTCTGGGTAAATTTTGATCTAGGTACACAAAGATTTCATAGTGAAAGGTCCACTTTTTCAGGAAAAGGACCCCCTTTAAAATCGCTGCCTATGGACCTGTAATTTATTTTCATTTCCCTAAAAACAGTATTTGAAGTTTGATTCCTGACTATTTATATTAACTATCTCAGTATATGAGAGTATAAGACGGCTGTCTTTGAAACAAGTAACAACACCTTTGTAGTGATGTGTTGTAGCTTTATGTAAGACAAATGGTTTTCTGGGACATGAAGTTGGGCTGTTACTGCATTGCAGGGCTGGGGTTGGGGTGGGGGGGGGGGGGAGAATCTACCAATATTTACATGTACCGGGTTATTTGACTGGACGTTAAAGTGTCTCATGAATGGGAGAATCCTGTGACATGATTCACCTCATTCCAGATGCAACGTGTACGTAGAGTACCAGTAGCATGCAGATTTTACTTGGTATATGTTTGTACAACGCGGTTCCAACATCTGTCACCTTGTCACACGGTTTGCCAAGGGGTGTATTTATATCCTCCCACGATTCTGATAGTAAAATTATTGGCATAAAATTGTAAATTAAAAAGAAATTCATGTGATGTGAAATCGAATCAACAACCTTTTGATTGACATTTGTAGCTTGGGTGTATTCGTACCATCGCAGCCAGGTTGACAGCTAGTTGACCGAAAATTATCTCTGTTTCAAGGAATGAGAAAGAATAAGAAAACGGGCAAAGTTTCATCAGATTGATCAGTTCCAGTGCATGCATTGCGTATGAGATCTATATTTCACAATAAAAAGGCCTATATTGTAAACAACTCATAGAAACAACTTTTTAGAAAAAAACTAACTTTGAATGTAGAAATGGATACATTAACCATTACCAAAGGATAACAACTGTTTATTTTGGCCAAAAAATTAATTTTCTTGGGGTAAATGGCAATTTTCCCATGCTTTTAAGATTTGTAATGAAAATCTCATTGTCATATTTAGTAATGTTAAGTTTTTCTCTTCAAATGTCTTAATTCTGCGATAAAAATATCGATTATTGACATTTTTCACAATTCGTGCGGCGGCGCTCATTTGGGTGGGAAAATTACCAATTACTGCCCAAAGTTCCCAATTTTATTTTCAGTATTAATTGTTAAATTTATTTATTTATTAGTTTTTGCGTGCTGTTTCTTTTATGTTTTAAAGTTTTTAACATCTCAGATCATTCATGATTTTGTAAAGAATCAAATTAGAATTATTATATAGCTATGAACTTAAATTGGAACAGGTCGCTAAAGATGATTCTTTGTAGATAAGAAATATGGAAAAGTTAAGGTTAAGAAAATTAAATTAAATAGATTGATGTAGTAAGGAAGATGTTTTGAATCTAGGTGTTTTCTCTTTAAACCCCCTTTTTTACGGTGCCGTTTCTCGTTCATCGGTATTCAATATATTCTTATTAGGAATTCTATCACCGAAAAAACAAAACACGTTTTTAATTCAATTCATTTCATTTAATGAAATTAAATTGAAAATCATGCACAGAGAAGTCAAACAAAAAAACCTAATCGAGGATTAAAGATAAATTCGATATTTGTGCCAGTCCCATGTCATACATCTATGGTCGATGGGAGAAGCTCACAGTGTGAAGAGTCAAAAATTTCAGCGATTCGGCGAGCGCAATCAGTTAACACATTCCTTTATTAATACTTTCTCTCTTCAACCAATTCTTGGATCTTCTTCATGAGGTCTTCTTTGTCTTCCGATTCTGCGCTTCGGGCCGAGCGACCACCTTCACGTTCTTCCAGAAGTGATTCCAACAGCTTTTCCAGTTCTGCTGTATCCATGGCGCCTACGTCGCGACAGTCCCTAGTATTTGTCTTGGCGCAGCTGACTGCTCCCTGTGGACACTCCCTGCATCCATCCGCGGTCTCCTCGCAGCATTGCTCCGGAACACACTTGCACTAGTCATAAAAGTTAAAAGATGAAAGTGAAGTGAACTATATGTTGTGCGTCTCTAAGTTTTTGCTGTCGGGATCACATTAAAACGAAATTAGATCCAGAGCATTGTAATGTAAAATAGTAATAATAATAATGAAAAAATTAGGATTTATCTAAATAGGGTAAACGCTCATGTGAACCTTTAGGTATGATTCTTGGATATTTTGATATATTAGGGTGTACATTTCAAATTTTAAAAGATAAGCATATCTACTGACATGTGCCACTTAAATATAACTTTTAGCGAATCATTTAATTGGTTAATATTTTGTAAACATGATTGTAGCGTTTATACAGACGAACTATCACAATTGCAGGTCCGCTAATTGGAAACCTTCAACAGAAACGGGATCAACGAAATTATTATTATATTTAAAAATTGAAAAATAGATTATTTCAATTGAGTGCACTTAGAGGACAATCGTAACCTACCTCTTGCTTTGCAAGCCCTTCCAACACGCAGAACACCGCAAACACCAAGAAAGTGCTGGCAACGAATATCTTCATGGTTAATCTGAATCGATAGAAAACAAAGGCATACAGAACGCTAATTAGAAAATGGTAACGGTCCTCATATCCGAGTTCATGGTAAATCATAAATCAAACAGCTCAAAATCGTGGTTTACAGTATAAAATCTCATAAGTAGAATTTACCTGATAGTTTTAGTCTATAAATCCGCCAACGATTATTGCCGCCTGTCAAACTTCAGGTATTTCGAAATATGACTACGTTTACCTAACAGTGTGCAATTATATACAAGGACCAGCATAATGGTAATTAAACCTTTGACCTTTCATCTAACGTATCGGGATTTTGAACATAATGACAGTGGAATAAGATCATGTAAACGATCTCGTGAAATGCTTGTATTTTCACAAGGAAAGCATTTATTTTAAAAATATATCTTTTAAGTCCTACAACGCTTTCATCTTTAGTGCTAAGATTTTTCTGGAACATCTTATTCCGACTCGCTTAATTTTACAAATTCACACTTTCTTTCCGCCTACGAATGTTCGTAAATAAAATGCAGTGTTAACTTTTCATCTGCCCACTTTTCACCTTGACTTTAAGGGCAGAGGTTGCAAAAACCTCCTCCCCTTCCACAGTAGCTGAGTTAATCTGTTTTGAGCAAATGATCACCCTTCAAATATGATCTGATTTCATTGTGTCCAGAATGAGTAACCTACAGCCGGGGCTTGGCAATAAAAGGAGGGGGATGGGAATAGTCTACGCTCTACCGTGGCCACAAAGAGAATTTTGTTCGTTAAATTAAAAAAATATAAATGTACAATGTATTTTCTGCCTTTTCACTATCCGTGTACATATATTTTTTGGGAGAATTTTTGCACAACATCATCATCACTCAGCTGACCTCTAGTGGAGACTAGGGGTCTGCAGTTAACGGGGTCTGCAGGGAATTACTATGCTATGCATCATTCTGTTTCGAGCTCGTTATTTGTCTCAGTCACAATATGGTTTGCCCTAATGAAAAAAAAAATCAGTTTAGTACATTTTGAATTATATATAACATCCATCGGTGGATCCTAGGATCCAAGATATGTTCTGTCTTAGGTGGGTCCTAGGAAGGGTCATTTTTCTCTTTTCGGTAGAGGAAGGGATATGGCGCACCGTTTTCATTCTGAAAATGAAGGCTATCCCTGCACTCTGTCCTGAAATCCATGAAAGCTTATGCATCCCGTTGTTCCCAACACACTTATTCAAAAGAGCTCTAAAGCATATTGTGAGTAAAGTTGACATTTATCAATGCGCGTCTTTAATGATTCTTTTCTCCCCCCCCCCCATTATTACACTGTGTCACATTCTACGAAACTATTTGCAGCAGTGTTACTTCTGATTGATACCATCTTTATACGTGTTGTTAATTTTGCGTTGTAGCAGTCTTCCAGCATAATTCATAAACCGTTGCTGCATGCATAATTTCCTCGCGGCTCATTTGCAAGAATGGTGACACATTTCGGCATGTCTCCAAATAAATGTTTAAAAAATAATATTCCTGCTGTTTAACAACTCCCGCTGCACTTTTGGTATTTTGGCGTCTACAAAATTTGGATTTTCAGTCACATCATGAATGGTTAAAACCGTTGTGAGCCCTGCAATGTTGGACATGTACCAGAAGGAAGGTCAACGCTGATGGTTTAATCAAACAGTCAAAGGCTGCCATGGTCTTCACGTCAAAACAACTAGAATTGCGACAGTTGTCTGTGTTTGTTAAACTCGTTGCGCTCTAACAAAATGCCAGAATTAGTCAACTGCAACTGGTGAGAATTCACTTAAATATTGCTTGAATTTTGCAACCCTTTACAAAATTTTACCTCTGTATTCGCAAGGCACGAAATGATGCACTATGTTACTCTCAAGGGTCATCTTTAATTGTCGATTCAATAACAGCTTATTTAATAAAACGAGAGAAAAAATTGGAAGATTTTACTCCAAAATTCTCGCCTTTATGCACATGGTCGATCAAGTTTGATCGTTTTAAGCAAATAAGATAAGGTAAAACTGCTCTAAAACCGGGTTCACGCCAAGGGGAAATGGGGGGGGGGGGGGGGGGGGGCTTAAATTTGCAGAAATAAAACAAGAAATGCGTTGTTTTGTATGGACGGGATGATCTAAAGCAAAATTGGCCTTTGGGGTGAACTGCAAATAGAAATATTGCCAATCGTAATATGATCCTTAAGAAAATCAAATCAGTGATCCTAGGGCTACTACCAATCTAAAAAATAATTTAAAAAAGAAACCTCTAAAATTGTGGCCTCTAGCTCAGGACCAAAATTTCAACACAAACACAAACGGGCAGACCAATGTAGTAGCAAAACATTTTCGTAAGTTAAAATACTACAAATACGAGTTCTTATTATTTACCTCTCCCAAAATAAAGAAGACCTTAAAAACAGTTGCCCATGCGTTTGTAGTCTCGGGTTTACAGAATGAATACCACTTGTGGCGCAGATTTTGCGAGAAATTGAAACTAAGAAAGACACTTCACTTTTTTGTTTACCTGATTGATCTCCAAAACTTGTCTTGATTTGATAATCACTTTCTCAACTGATTTTTGTAATGTCCCTATTCCACACCGACAACGAATTCCACAAACCGCAAGAAACTGACAAATTTTAAAAATCGCGAGCAATCGTTGGATTTTGCACATTTTTGGTAGAAATTTTGTCCCTGTAGGATCCAGTTAAATTTGTTAAGGTAGACTTAAGAATATTCGTGGGATTTTGCCTGAATAGCACCAATGTTGTCAAAAAATAGTTACGATTTGCAAGAATGACTTCAGAATACTTCTCAAATATTTGGATTCTGTTAAGAGAAAGCTAAGTATCTGCCAAGTGCACCTACGATTCAGGTACGATTATATAAATGTAATCTTGATTATTTTATGGAAATTTCAAGGAATGTTTCCTCAAGATAGGTATAAAAAAATAAACCTCACCCCTGCTTTACAGGTAGTCAAAATCGTGGTCAGACGAATGCTTCACAATTCTCAGATTAAGGTATACGTAAAAATACAAAGGAATGGGTAAGAATGTACTAGGAATCAGTTACGATATCGAAAACTGTTCCACGGATTTGATAAGAATTAACCAAGATATTTTTCATTTGGGAGTTCGGGACCAACATTTTGAAAAGCTCAACATTTTTGACACGATTTTACGATCTCTCAAGAACTGCAAGAACTGACTGAGAATAAATAAGAACCAGTTAAGAGCTCAAATAGTTTATCACGATTAAAATAAGAACCCTGGGGTTTATCAATTCCTGGAAGTTCGTGGAATTCGTTCGTGGTCGGCGTGGAATAGGCACATAAGGTATACCCACAGCTACCTTCCAATGTGCCAGGCCTTCCTGCCAACCTTATTACATCTCATTATTAATATTTTTCATTAGAATTCTTTCTCCATAATTATTATTTATCTTGTAGTTAGTTCTATATTTTTTCTAAAGGTGAGCATACTATAATAGTAGCATGTAATAATGATTACCACCTTAATATGTATATATCATTAATTTTTTTTGAAATAATAAAAATATTTTTTTTGTTGTATAACCGTCTAAATCTGTAAGAGCCACTTTAATAGAATAATTTTGTCCAACAATAAGCCCTTTCTGCCTTTAAATCTCCTTACCATTCTTTGACCAATGCTCAGTTAAAAACAAAACACAGCAATCATTATAGTTTAATCTTTAATTTACATTTATTTTCCCTTTAACAAAGCTGAAAAGACACAGTTAACATGAGATATTAAAAAGTAAATTAATCATCTCGTTACCAAAATTTATTCTCTTAAAATTGGGAGACGTAAAGAAGTACCCCACCCTTGACTAAACAATTTTTTCAACAGATCAGAGATGTGCTATTTTCTTGGACGGAGCTGGTAAATTGCTCAAAGTGATATCATGTTTACCTATACACATTTTAATGCTGTGGAAATTTTCTTAGTTCGAGCATCTAAGAAAAGTAGCTACCATTACATATGGTGAGCAACAGTAGTCAGATGCTGACCTGATATGGGGAGGATCCTGGGAAACTTGTTTTCATGAGGAAAAATACAAAATATAACAGATAACAGGGCTACAAAACACATAAACAGAACTGCAGTCTAACATCTGCAAGCACCAAGAGTAAACTATTGCTAATTGTTTCTAATATATATAGCGATGGCACCAGTTAAAGATAAATTTCAATAAAAAAATGTATTCCTTGCTGTAACACTAGCAAATCCTTAAGCATTAAAGACTGTTATCCAATCACCCTTGATGCCTAATTGATATTTTGCAAAGATCTCAGATCTTTTCAGTGGCCAGTACAATAATCTGAAGAATAAAACTATTAGCTTTATGCTATTAAATTGGCCTTTTAATGATTAAAATTTAAATTTTATGTCTGAAAAATTCCTAATTGGACACTTGGTATGTACATAAAAACAATATAACACAATATTTTACAATTTAAATATGGATTGCAATCTGATAACACTGTAACAGTATTTCCCATGAAAACATAATTATCAAGGGGACAATCACAAAGACTAAAACGGGATAAACTAGATATTCAGTTCATATCATAACCACCATAAAAGACAAATACAAACAAGCTAGATGTGTTCCTATGACACATCTTTGACTAATGTGCTGGAAGAAAGATATAAATATATTCATAACTTGACTAGATTTTGTCACACATAGTAACTACATGCAGAGACCAAGTTGAGACGTTGTTTGGTACCTGCCATTTCTTTGACCAAATACATTGGGAACATTGCACGGAAAAATTGTGACATTTTTTTCATTTAAAATATCATCATAGAGCCTTTGATTGTTAAAAACTTGATTTACGTGGAGAGGTTCATTAATTATTCCCTTTCTGGAGGGAATTAAATAATAACCTAACAATGAGTCTTTATAAATACTAAATGTTGCCTGGTAATCTTGTCTTCATCACATGAATACAAAAAGTATCTTAAACTGAATGTCACATTCTTTTAATAGAACAGCTGAGAGCTAATACACAGCTAGTTGGCAAAAAGCAGTCTTGAAAAATATTTGCTAAAACTAATAATCAAATTTTCACAGGGTCCAGCCCTTGAAAAGTACACTAAAATTAGAATAACTTGCAGCAGTTCACTTATACATTTGAACATGTATACTCCTGTTATTAAAAAACAATGTGTTCTGTTAAATAATGCTTCTAAAATACCCAAAGAAATGGGTAAATGCCAAGTATTTGATTTTACTCGCAATTCCCAAGTTTCTCCCACATAAATTATTTTGCTTTTCACAAATATTCCACTCACGTTAAAGCATAAGCAGGAAAAGAAAAACACCTATATAAACTTTAACTTCACAAAAACAACACATCTTAATGGCACAGATGCTAATTTTGATTATGAACAGCAGTCGTGATGACTATGCAACTGCTTCTATTATTCTATTCTCCTGTACATAACTTAGAGATATTCTTCTCATCACAGATTATTGTCTGCTACCTCCTGTTGCCTGCTCGCTTGCTGGGATTGCCCTTTGTTTGCATGAGATTACGCAGTTTACGTAAATTAGTTCGAGTCAGTTCATCGTCTGGCTTGAGCTCTAGAGCCTGCAGATAACTGTTCTCTGCATCTCCTAGTTTGCCGTTGAAATGCAACATGGCACCAAGATTCATGTGCGCAGATGCACTCTGAAATGAAAATAAAAACAAGATATATGTAACATTTCAGATATATCAAGAAAACACACCAAGACTAACAAATGTCAATATTAACAAGGACTTGACAATTTTTGAAGGAGTTCTTTTCAATTAAGCAATTAATTGTTTTTAAAACTAAATGAAGCATATAGCATACCTTAGGTCGGAGGTGAGCAGCTTTTCTATAATATTGCTCTGCCTCTGTGTTTCTTTGTGCTTGTCTAAAATAGAAAATAAAGCATTACTTGTCGACTCATAAACAATTCTACCACATCATATTAGCTACATATACAAATTATAAATGTAATCTTGCAAGGATGTATAGAAGATGTTGGTCCATAAGGCACTTACCCGCCCCTTTCCCTTCACCCCCTCTTAATCTTTTTTTATTTATGCTCACAGAATCAGGGAAATCCTGAATTTTCTAGTAGTAAAGTGAACACTACTAACCTGAGTGCATTGGCTGCATTGAATACCAATTCAAAATCGTCTGGGGTCAATTCTGTTGCTTTCTTGTACATATCTGCAGCCTCACCATGGCGGCCAATGTCAGAAAGAAACTGACCTAAAAAAACAGCACAGACTTAAAATTTAACACAGTTTTGATACTAGTTTAAAAGTAATCTGCAAGAAACACTTTCAGCTCTAGGAGTCTTCCATGGATGAAAAAATTTACAAACAAGGAACTTTCAAGGCATCTTCAACAGTTTTTTAGTGCTTTCTGACCTTTACTCTTTAGAGTTCCAAATATTAAACACCCATACATATATGTTTGAATACAGTATTTTTTCCACTTGGATCAAGATGAATGCACAGTAACATGCAATCACTACATTCTCCCTGGGATGGAAAATGCAATTATTGTGCAAAAATATTAATCCATTATTTCAAGAGGATGTAACATGCACTTGGAATAAAAGCACAAGTGTTCCACAAAAGGGACAGGATGATTTAATAAAAACAGGTCTCCCGCGATTCTTCTATTTGTAGATGTTTTTAAAAACTGTAGGATTTCCTCAACATTGTAGAGATATGTTTTATAGTACTGACAAAAGTTTAAGAGGGGAATATTTACGAACATATGACACAAGACTAGCATGTAAGATCATTTCTCTTATCAGATCAAAGAAAATTAACTTGACTCACTGTAATGCTGATAAATTGATACGTCTTTGTCATCCAAAGCAAATGCTTTCTGAAACCATTTCTCTGCCTCTGATACTTGGTTCTGCAATTATTTAAAACAGTGTTCAATCTATTATCAAAAATTAATTTACATACAAGATGTAGCATTCACATTGCACACACACATATTCATCCAATAAAATACCAGTGAAAATAAATACTCTGAAAACAATATACTGATCTTAACGCCTTACAGGTTTAAACATCACAAAAACAGTCATATTTGTTCAGTCAAGTTATTGAGAACATAACAGCTTCAAAGATCAAACCAAGGAGTTACCCTCTTATGCCACAGTCTGGCCATGGTCAGGTGAGCAGGAATATGGTCAGGTTTGGATGCGAGTGCCTCCTGATACCAGTGTTCAGCCTGGGAGAAACTGCCCTGTTTCAGATAAGCCTCACCTACAACAGAAAATAAAAACATGATAAATTAAAGAACGTGTTTAAAACACACACAGATGTGCCATGTGGATGCCAGGCCTCGTTATAAAGAAAAACACGTAACTCTGATTAGGTCAGAACTTAACTGCACCAGAAACAGACTGGTAACAATGAATGCAACTTATTACCACTAACCATACATGCTTCCCAATAATGGATAGCAGAGGAGAGACACATTTTGCTACCTCACATTCTCTTTTAAAGTTTTTGTTCTCTCCTCCACCAATATGTGGATACTTCATTACAATTTTTGTGAATCTATCATATACCAAACTATTTAATGAAATATCTTAACAATGGTATAAAGAAAAGTGACCAAGTGAGATTATAAAATATAGCGACAAAGGTTCATTTGCGAAATCATTTCATATTCACTGCAAATTCACTATCTCACCTAACATGTTGAAGAGACTCTGTGGTGCATAGTGACTAGGTCTCCTCCTAATGGCCTCCAGGTACACATCAATGGCCTCCTGGTACTTCTCCTGCTCTGCATACAGTCTGCCCAGGTTGTATAATGCTGAAATCTTTGTGCCTTCATGGAGCTTAGGGTCTTTCAGGCCTGTGATGTCAAGCTCGGCACAGTGCCTGTAAACCTGAACATGACAAGACAATTTTGTTACCTCAGTTCAACTTTCATACAACATCTGCAAACCCTGAAGTGAGTTAACAGATATTTTTAATGAATACATAAGTGCTGTGTTTGAAACCAGTATTTTTGACACATCTTATTATCATGTATACAAACTTTACAGATGTTTATCCTCTTATAACCACTGCTGCCCCAACCACATAAATATTAATGTCAGACTACAATGTAGCTTCTGGGCAACCTGTTGGATTCAAATCTTTCTATTGCAGACATGATTTTGGATTGTAAGAAAAAAGTAAGAAGGAATGCCTTTGGGGCCTTATGACCATAGGGGCACTTCATTTGATCAGAAAACCACCAAGAAAAAAAAACAGATTTCCATTTAAATCAAAGAAGAAAAAAAAATCATATCTGATAAAAGTAGATCACATAAGTTTGCATGATGTTGGACCATAAACTCCTTACTGTTCCTCACAAAAAACTTCGGTATATTATCAATGTTCATGTGCTGTGCAAGTTTTCACTGACACTCCCGTAAATCTTTTTCTGAGGCTCATTACAACTCTCACATCATCAAAGGTAGTTTGTTGAGACAGTGACCAAATACTTGTTGGATGGTACCACCCACCTAAAGCACACAACTAAAAGACTGACTAGCAGATGTTGCATGACTCACTTACTGTCATCCCAATGTTAAAGCTCAGACAAACTGTCCCCATTAATGTTGTTTCTTGTTTGAAAGAATGATTATCTTTATCTAATTCCATGGCATGTCAAGGCAGTTTTGCTGGTAAACAACTTTAACTTATTTCTGGACATTTTTTTTTTGAAGATTAAATGCCCATGGATGTCATTTCTCTTCTAACTGATACCATGGAGTAATTCTCTTTGTATGAAGTTGTGTGACTAACATGAATCAAATTTATGCAGGCCTTTTTTCTGACTTTTTCTTTCTTTTTTTTCCGACCTGCTTTTCTTTGCATTGAAGAATAACAAAATGAAAATTTCTCGATATAAACAACAGGACCTTTAACCACTAAATGGCGATTCTTATACACTGATAAAAATCTCACCTTAGCAGCATCATCATTTCTTCCAAGGATACCATATACAATTCCCAAGTTCAAATGAGCCACTAGAAAAAGAAAAATATAAAATAAACAATACATACAATTTCTTTTACTCTCTCTCTCTCTCTCACACCCTATCACCCACATACATCACATCTTGATAAAAAGAGAACACATTAAAAATATTAAGTGAAGGTATTTTCTTTTTACTAAATGTGGATAACTGATGGTTTAGGGGTGTAAGTGTTAATTGATAGCATAATAGTATGAACCTTAATCAGAACTTTCATGTTACATTGGTGTTTATCTAAATAATATTCACGCCTAAATAAATTAAGAATAAACAAAATTCTAAAATCCTTCAACTATTTCAATCTTCTTTAATAAATTTTCTTCATCCCCCCTGCCTTTCTCTAACATTAAAGGTCAAATGCCAACCCAAGCATAGAGCTTTTCTTGCAATTTCAATTTGAAATACAAGGGCTCACTTGACCCCTATGTTTTGCCTACCCTCACAAATCTCTGGACATTTCTATTGACACAGTCTAAGTCATGGGGCTGGTATTGTCACATGTGTAAACTGGGGGTTTGACCAGCCTTTGTTCAGACAATGACATGTTAGATGAGGTCATTCCAGATGTCCATTTTCTATGACTGGGTCTACCATAAATAAATGGATGACAAAGAACTGCCAGAATTGGAGACGGCATTGATTTGTGTTTTTACCTTTGGGTTGGCTGTATTCAGTAACCGATTTGAGCTGCACAAACACTTGATATAATTTAAAGGGCAGGTGGGAGGGGTTCTGTATTTGTGTTACATACCAAATATTTTACAAAAGGAAATGAACAACTGCAAACACATCCCAATATGCTCATTGTATAAAGAGCATTGAAAATATAACCCTTATCAAATATAAAATCTTCTGCACAAAACACACAACATCCCCAAATCACCCATTGAATAAAAACTAGGATTAACTTGACAGACAGTCTGTTCAAATTTTTTCTCAAGAAAAAAATATTCATTTTCAACGAATAACAAAAACTGGCTTAACCCCCCTTCCCGACATGTACGCACGCGTAGGCTGCATAATCAAGCCGCCCAGCCTCAAAGGTATCAAGTGGTTCATCTGCAATTCAACCATCTTCCTTCTCAATCATTCATGGCAGTCATTAGCTAACTGTTGCATACATTCATACCATCAACATCACATACAGACGTATCACCTACTTGTCCTTTCAAATAAAAACATAGACAACAAGTACGTTATGTATATCATTGACTGAGAGACAAGGACACCCATAGAATTATTGATAATTTAAAGAGGGATTCCTTAAAATTAAAAATGGTAAACATTTCAATATTCTTTTTTTAAATATATTTTTCTGTAAGCAATGTCCTGATTTATTCCAATCCTTAATTGCTGAATATACTTGAAATGCACACTTACATGAGAGCCTTGGGCGGAACTTTATTGCATTCTGATAACTTATGATGGCATCTTTGTAGCGCTTTTGCTCTTGTAACAAAATACCTCTGAAAATATCACAGAAAGAAGCAAAAAATAAGTTAATATGATGATATAGATAAATCAGCATATTTTGAATAAAACATGATATCCACGATAAGAATTTCCAGAATCTGGCTTCACAGTGAAAGCTGAGAGGGGATCTAGCAAGTGTGATAACACCATTACAACAGGAAAGGTCCTGTTAAACTGTAAATTTGCATTTGCCCTAGCCTCTCTGATGCATGCATGGATTTTCCAGTCTACTGAGATGGCAGTGGAAATCAAATACCATGAGAACAAGAAGAGCAGGGACAAAAGTGTGACTTGCAATATTTTTTCTCATTAAGCAGACTGGATACAAAAGAAATGAGGACAGGATCAATGCAATATGATCAGTCAATTACACTAGTAGGGATAATGCGGATTGGATCTGAGCCCAGTTTCACAAAATGAAAGCTGAAATTTGGTCTTTACTTAAGAACTGAAAATTTGGGGTATGTTTCAACATAGGACAAATTTTAAGTAGTCCAATAATGTAGAGTAAACATTGGTCTATATCATAAACTTTCTCACTTTTGTAGAATAATGATATATTCTCATTTTAGTATCAGCTAGACAACAACTACAAACTGAGTCAACCTGTGTCAAAGTAGACTGAAATTTTACTTTTTTAAGCAAAAACCAAATTTTGACGTATGTTTTGCTATGAAACTAGACTCTTATTCTCAGGTCTCATAGAGCTTGACATTGGGAGCCATTTCAACATTTTTTTAACCACTAGAAACAATTCTTTGCAAGATATATCTATTTCAGGTAATTTACACATTTCATGCAATTTGCCAAGTCATACAATCCATTTTTCCCCCATTTCTTTGCTGCAGATTAGCACCAGAGTTATGACAATGACACATATGACCTACAAATCCAACCTTTTCAGAAATCAATATTACATGGAAAAAGATATAAAATACATGATCTATAAAACCCATTTAGTATTTATAGAAGCAAAAGCACATCTTATATGCAAATGCCATGCATCATATATGTGCAAATGCAACATAGAGTTCATGGTAGAAAATTTAAAAGTGGCTGTATTTAAATGTATAACAGGCAGTTTTTCTTCCAACAGTGACGAAGTTCTTAACAGTCCAGGTGCTCCTTAATGGGCACAAATCAACCACAGCTTGTCCACCCTGGTCCACAGTTACAACAACTTTAATCAAGTTACCATGGGAATGCCCCATGGAAAAGTCATAAAAAAAGTCAAACTTGTAAGGTAGCATATACAGGGCACATATATGTAAAGTTGGGGCCAGGAAAAGTTGTCTTAAGATAATCAAATTAAGTCAAGAGGAAATGTATCCACCCTTTGGGCGAAGTGATCAGAAGGGCATTCTATTCCCAATTTTCACTGGACCTAAACTGTAGGAGCAAAGGTGTGATGTAAATAATTGGTTAGTTGAGATGAGAACGGCAAAAACAAGCCTCCTTGCATAATTTAGTCTTTAAATAAATGCTGTTCACAGTAATCATGTTTTTAAGGAAAAAATAATTAAATGGCATGCTTGTTTTAAAGAATTCAATTGTTTAATGTTGTTCTTCATTTAACTTGAGTTTTATATATATATATATATATATATATATATATATATATATATAGAGAGAGAGAGAGAGAGAGAGAGAGAGAGAGAGAGTAGCATGAGTTAAAATTCTGATTATTTTTTGCTTGTCGACATTAAATATCTTATAGAAAGAGAACACACTTGTTTTTTAAGCTTTAATGTCATCATCAATATTCTAAACAAGGTTCTGAACTATTACAGTAAGCGTTTATAAAAAGGTTTAACACCAATCAACAACAACAACAACAAAAAACTATACATAAAAATCAAAAATGATCTGTACATATCCCTGATTTTGAAATCAAACAACAATTGGCAAGCCTTTCTAATTTTTTTTACAACACAAAACTTAAATACTAAATCTAAAAATCAAGTTATTTGTTAAATCCTTTTCCTGCTATTTTAATGTAAATGTACTTAAAATTAAAAATTAAAATTTTCCTAACTTACAGGTTATAGTGGACATCTGCCATATTCCCCCTATGTTGTAATGCTGCAGTATAAGCTTGTTCTGCTTCGTCCACTCTGTTTTGACTGTTGTAAATATTGGCCAAGTTACCCCACGCTGAAAAAAATAATTAAAACTACAAATGTTTTAATTCTTAAAAGATATAATTAAAAGATAGTTTGTATTAGTTCATCTAAATTTTTTGTTTAAATCTCTATATGTGAAAAAAATTTGAAAAAACCAAAGAGTTAAAAGAGTTTAAAAGACCATGCCAGCTAAATACTAAACATATTCATTTATATGCACATGATGGAAATTCATAAGCAGATATAACACAAAAATAATCTAAAGTTAACAGGTACCCAATTTTAACATAATTTGAAACAAACAGGGAGATTTTTGAATTTCTTCTCATTCTGAGAAAAGAAAAACACTTAAATGAGTTGTCCTTATATATGTAAAAACCTGCCGACATTCTTTAAAACCTTTCAGACCTTGGACCTTCTAAATCATTCTAATTACTAGTATTTGCAACCGATTTCAATACTGCAACTGCTGCATATACAATTATCATCAACGTGGTTAGTAGAAAACAAGGTCCTAAATCAACATTGGGCCTTGCTTGTCTGGTACTAAATTATCAATGAGGGTAATTTTCCAAGAAAAAAATACAGAAAGGCAATCAATTGAGTTAATTCATGGCTTGTTTTTTTAGTTTTATTTCCATCTGTTTCTGTGAAATTGATTGCCATGTGAATTTTCTCTCAGGGTAAAAAAAAAACTTAATCTTGCATTCTCCATACCAATTTTATCCATGGGATTCCTCTGGGGACACTCATTTGCAAAAATGAGATCAATAGAATCAGTCTGTTCCAACAAGCTTAGCAGAAATGTAACAAAACTTAACAACTGGTCATAATTCCACCTACATACAGATCCTATTTTTTTATCGAAACAAAAAACAAGTAACTTAAAATACAAGTCATGCTATGTACTTACCTTTGGCAGGGTTCACGGAGATTCCAGACTTATATAGCCTCTCTTCCGTCTTCCAATCCTCATTGCGTAAAACAGTTCTTGCGCTAAATGCTAGCAACAAAACCACCAGTAATAAATGCATTGCCCTTCTTTGTCCTTTGTTTTTAATTTTTTTATGTAATAAATAAGCACCTTCTGCCACAAGCATACAAAACCCCATACTGGGAAGATAGAGAACCCTTTCTGCTATCACAAAACCAACATAGAAAAATATGTTTGTTGCTGGGATGAATGGGAAGATCATGGTAGCCATGGATATGATAAGAACATTTAACGTCCTATTTGTAGTAGTGGTTTTAATATTCTGATTATCGTCACTGCTATCTGTGGAGCTGGAAGAGTTTCTTCTGGCGAGTCTATGGCGTTTGTATGCCACTGTTTGTTTAGAATGACTTGTATAATGACTAGATGAACCCCAATGATGAGAAAACCCATTACCATTTGCAGCTGAGGGTTTAGCATCTTGCTTGCCTTGCTGATTTAAATTTTTGACAATTTGACTAGTTGTTACTGCAAGTGCTGCATAAAAGCCAGCAGTCAGTATATTACGGTGGTCTGCCAATGACTCAACCAACGGTATAGACTCCATTGACCAATCAAAACTCAGGATGCTTGGACAAATCAACAACCAGAGATTCACTACTGGCAGATAGAAAAATGTCAGTGTTCGCGTCAGAAAACTGTCTGAGTCTGACGCAGGGTTGTCTGCTGGAGCAAATTCAGGTGGTTTACTGCCCATAAGGTAGATACGAAAGCTAACCAAGCACCCTCCTATTGCTGTCAGTAATGCAAGGCCTTCAAGGAGACTCCTGTACTTTTTCTGCAAAACACAATAATAGATGTTTAGAATGATAAAAAGTAATTTAATGCTTACATTTTGGTGTATGCGCATAAATCTTACATCACAATTTAACAATATGTAAATGATGGATAATGGTAAAATTAATTTAAATTGATATGCCCACATTGCAATACAAAAAATCTTTTTAAAATTAAAATCAATAACAAGAAATGAGCTTGAAAATAACTGGAGAAAATAACACTTTTCATTGGTCATCTTCACATACAGGTGTTGGTGTGGTCAGAAAAATATAGAGAGCTATAATATTAAACAGTAAACTGGGCAGATGTTTATGGTTTTAGTGCTCTAAGGAGTTGCTAAATGATTCAAATTAAAGACACCTCAACAAAAAAAGAGTTAAACCAGGCATAAAGCTGCCATTTATTGTCAGAGATTTGTGTTCATCCGCCAAATTCGGTTAGTGCTCCTATGCCTCTGGGTATAAACACAAAACAAAACTATCCTGGACTTACACCATGTACATAATCAGCAGACGATTCTCTCCACTTGGTATGACAATTGGATAATGTAGGCATCTCCCCACCAGAGAGTAAAATAAATGGTTTATTGAAGGTGCTGGGAAGTCGTGGCCAAACACATTATTGATATTCAACTAACCAAACTGAAATTGCATAACATCTTATTTTCATTCCTCTTGCCATATAGATCGCATTAATTCTCCGTTAGTTATTGCTGGAGAAGAGGCCCAACAAAGAGTGACCCATGAACAATAGGGGGTTAAACGTTTCCTTGCTCCTTGATTCTTACCTTCATGGACAATTTGACTCATTATCCAGAGTTCAGAAGCTGACAGTTAATTTGTAGCCTCTAAATAGTGGCAACATGACATGAATTAAAGTCACATATGTATGTATTAAAAGGTGTACACATTACCACATCAAACAAATACCGCCACTTAAACAGTACTTAGGACTAAGAATTTTATGCAACTGACTGTATAATGATCTATAATTCCCAAGTTGTGGTGAGTTTCTATGAATACTATTGCCTATGTGATGAATTGTGACATGCTCACTGATCTAGAGAAGTATTCTAACATGATTCATGTGTTACTTTCATGAAACTGAATAATACATTAACAGTACTTAAAGGCACTTGAAAATCAGTCTTAACATAAAGAGTGTTGCATAATACATTTTTGCTGCATCTTCAGAAACACATAAATTAGCCGTAGAAACATCATCTTTGTTATGTTTTTGGAGAGTTACCAAGTTTGAAAGTTCCCAGTTTTATTATACAGGTGGAGTTGCCTTTTCATCTTTAATATGATAAATGAATATTTTAAACATACATTTCAGATTTTGCCACTAATCTTCAGGATAAAACCGCCTTTTTTGGCATTCAGCAAGGGAACTTCATGAAATTTAGACCTTTCAACTTACAAACTGACATGTAGTGGCAGAACAATTGTTGGAAAATTTTTACATGGCTGTTAACCACTCACATCAAAGACTAATGTGCTTTCTTTATTTCCTTCATAAAAAGATCCTTGCCTACTCACTCCCAATTGTCATTATATAAGTAACAATGGAAGCCGTGTGAGATAAGACTAAATGACAGATTCTCAACCTGAGCATGTGTGTTTATGTGTAACACTGCTCCTGTGCAAAGTAATGAAGAGGATGAACTGTGCAACAACAAAAAAATATTATTTAAAAAAAATTTCAGGAAAAAATTAAACTGTGCAACCATTATTCAGAAGTCTTACCATGAAAAATGACATATTACATAAAAGGTATTTCTTAAGAGCAAAATCCTTTTTTAAATTTGAGGTAGGGGGCCAGTGCAGAAAAGTCATGCATTTGAAAATTGAGCCGAAGTGATAGAACATGTAGGTTTATCCCCTTTGTAGACTTAGAATGACAGGGATATCACTAACATGCTTCAGGTGAATGATAAATGAGCAAGGGAATTAGAAAAAATTAATAAAAAAGTTTGCAATGGTTTATGTTGGCAACAAATCACTCTCAAACTTGTCAATGACGTGTTTACAAGGGCTGGGGATTACATGAAACACATCTCCACATTGATCTACTTAAACTTCAAGCAAACACCATAATTCTTGAATTATTTATATATAGCTTCACTCAGGAGGGATATGAGAATTGTATTGCATATAATTTATAACCATTTGTTGACAGCAGATCATATACTAATGCTTTATCTAAAACTCGGTGAAAACTTCCCCGTCTTCATCACAGACCTGTTTTCATGCTTCTCTTCCATCTGTTCACTTCAAAAATGGACAAACATGGTGGTGAAACAGCTTCTCAGAGCTGTGTCAATAAAAATCGCTTATAATTTATGAAGTTATTTGGAATGAACATAAAAGATTTTTTGACAACTGCACAGGTGTCGAGTAATTCTGACAACAGGTAAGACAAAACAATGGAGCAGGTTTCAGCCACAGGCCATAGAGCTATACATGCAACAAACCTTCCACAGAATAGAGTTGACGCGTTTGCCCATCATCTCGTGATTAGAGTCAGGTTTGATGACAAATCGCAACCATGGCACCATGCTCCTTCTTAGTGACCTCTCATAAAAACTTGTTTTTTCCTTTTTTAACGCTACACTATAATGATGTGCCTTAAAATTCAGCAAAGTGTGAGATAAAATAATGGGTAATGCAGAAAACCTTTCTTTAAACCAGAGACAAGTTTTCTGCAGCAATTCATAAGACTCATTCAGGTTAGGGTATTTCTCAAAAATTGATATCTTCAAATGAAAAAATTCACAAGTTCGTTTTGTAGTTCAAAGTTCAAAAAGGGAAATGAAAAGAGACCCAACGTCTCAATCAATTTAGAAAAGTGCCATAGACCGCAGTTTCCAGGTGCCATGAAAAAAAAAAGGAAAAAATACAAAAACAAAAACAAAGAAAAATTCTGGGCTGTAACTGGACAACATGCTGAGAAATCAATGGGGAAACAATGGGAACTAAATTTAGTGCACAAGTCTCTATCATTGTTGTCTCATACACAGTCTTTAATACAATAAACTGACTTTTAAAAATCTCACTGTCAACTGGATATCATTGTATTGTATTCCCTATGCAATGGTTAGAACTTGTAAGGTGTTAAGTTATATAATTCACATAGTATCATATGGTTATCAATAAATATACTGTCAAGTTTATACAGATAATCAATCAGGCAACACTTGAAAAAAATAAATAAAAGCAGAATATCTATCCATTTTTCATTTAGCAGAGGAGGGAGTTTTGACATGAAGGAGAAATGCCTTTGTAGGCTAAGTACTTTGAACTCTCAAGAATTTGTTTTGTGATAATCTTCAAACAATTAAGCAACATGTACCTCATAGCCTCATCTTTATTGAATGATTTCAAGAGGCCACACTTACCACAGATAGGACTAGAGATAGATCACACACTCGCATACGATGCTGTATGAACATGTCATAAACTGCACAGACGGCCAGTACAGTGACTCCCTGCTCTTTAGTCAGCATACTGGAAGCAGTAAATATGGCCACTAGGAACATGGACAGCCATTTCCGTGACTGTGTGTCATCCTCAGGGTTGCAAAACTGCCACGACTTGTCCCTGTACTTGCAAAATCTTTGATAGCAAAGAAATGCCAGCAGGAAAAACAAACTGGCTCCCACATCTGCACGTCCCACAACACCGGCCACTGCCTCTGTGTGGATGGGGTGGGTTGCAAATAAAAGTCCTGCTAGAATTGTGGGAAACGTCCTTCGTAAGAAGCATTTTGCAAAGTATGTGTACAGTCCTGTAACAGCTACATGTAATAATACATTGCCTATGTGGTAACCCCTTGGATTCAGGCCGTCAAGGTAATAGTTAAGCCTGAAGGACAGGACACACAGGGGACGGTACGACTTGTGTGAACCACTGTGTGTGAGAGGAGTTCCCCAGAAGTCATCCAAGAACAGGTTCCACACAGGGGTCTGTGGTAACAGGTCCTGGTTCTTCTGGATGGCACGACTGCAATACAGAGAAAATGTTCAATAAAACATAGTTATAAATAGATATATTTTCAAACATATTAATTAAAATTTTCTTATTTCGTGACATAATTATGTGGTGAACAAATCATGATTGAAAAATGCTGAAATCCAACTGAACTCATTATAAGCACAATGACTTTTATTAATCAGAAATCAAAATGAACTCGTATCAATAATAATGTAGTTAAGTCTTGGTTAAAATGAAAATACTTATTCTACATGTTTTTAAAAGTAATTACTATATATAAAAAGGCTAATTCCAATTTAATTGTTTTTCTTTGAATGATTGATTACAAAATATATTGAATTGTCAACTCATGGACTATGTGATAAAGTGGATCGGATTTCTTTAAATGCACTTTTAATTTAATTCTAAGACAACTTAACAATTGTAGGGTACACTTTTTGTAATGTTTGGCAGTTGAGAATGTTTTTTAAACACTTTTTTCTCACTTTCCAGATTCTTTTAATATTCCAGCAGAGTGTATGTTCTTACTTATCAAAAGTTAAACTTAATAAAAACTTAGAGGAAAAGTCAACATGTTATTAGTAGGCGAGAAGATCAGAGATATCTCTTAGTTTACCAGGTGAAAAAGGTTAGACTCATGGGGGTCCTGTGGTCTTTCTCAGACAGGATTAACTTCAATTCACCTAACAGTTGATCAAATATTTGTTACACTTATATTCCTCTTGCTGGAATGGAACTTTTAACTTTCTCTCTATTTTGATGTCTCTGTCATGATAATTCAAGTAAACAGAGGGCTGCCTGAGGCTTTGTGCTAGAATAAACCGACATAGGATGCTGCGTCTTAATTACATTTAGACAGCTCTCTACTTTCAACTTTTCCATTTGCTTAGGTTGCTAAGTCCTGTAAAGAGACCTTTTCTTTGTTGACATCCAGCCCTATACTCAGTCTCTCTACTTTATGCTAATGTTGGTTAAATATGTATTTGGGATCCATTTGCTCATGTAAGCTAACATATTTTCAGGTTTTTGTTTACTGGCATAATTACCACAAACCCGTCTTTATGGCCAAAACAAACAATGCAAAAAAGTTAAATGGTCCTGGGAGAAAACTGTCAATTTAAGAACAGGAAGCTTGCTTGAAACACATAGTGAAACTGACGCAGCTTTTCTCAAACAATTGTTTCTAATGCACTTTGTTTCACAATATTCTATTTCTACTCTACTAACAACAAAATGTCAAAATCTATCTGTTAAAAACATAGCACAGCAGTACAGTAATCCCATAATCAAGTAAGATATATTTCTAGGATTTAGAAAAAGTTTTCTAGCAGAATCAACAGCATACATTTTATTTCATCTAACAAAAATAGGAAAAATATCAGCATGTGTTCCTTAAACTGGGTTGGTCAAGATTATACCTTTCTCTTATTAAACACGAGGATTAATAATCTGTACTTCTTTCTTATCCCCCCATGCGACATCAAATCCATCGTCTTTGTTATGAAATAGCTGTTAAACCCTAACAGAGGATCCCGCATAGCGTAAAGTGAGGCTATAGACAGGTGAAGCACTAATCTCTACTGAGATAAACCCTGGGTTTGCAAACATTGTCCTAAGAGCTTTTGATATGGTATACGGAATTCAACAATAAAAATTTGATTGAAATGAATAAATTTTGAAAGTTATCAAAAGTAGTAGCAGTGGGAGTTCAGGGATACAAAACGGCTGATGGGAAATAACACAAATCCAATTCATACTTTCTGGACTATTAGCAATTTTTGACATTCATACAATCTTAAATAGTCAAAATGGTTGCACAATAAGCAAGAAATAACAGTCACTCAATGCCTTCTTTAAAGCATTTCAAATTTAGGAACACAAGTTTGTTATCAACAACATATATTTAAAAGTAAAAATATATAAATGTACTAGTACCGGTATATACAGTGTAAAAAAATCATAAAAAAAGAAAACATGGAAAGATTAGAAAAAGTGCCATTCTTTATTTTTGTGCTCTCACACTGTTATATCCAGATAGTGTGTGTAGTATTTGACAGACGCTGGTGTGATTCAAACTGATATACTCTGGGTATACGTACTTATGGTGAATAAAATGAATACTACTGAGCTAGCACTGAAATAATTCAAAAAGATGCAAAGAAGTGAAAAATACCAGACTTCCAATGATTAAAGAATAACAAGGAGAGCAGTAACATAATACAGAATAAGAACAAGACGAGTAAATGTATATTCTGTGTCTCTGCTGGAGATATTTCCAGCAGGATGGTCTCATGGAGCACCCAAGGTTTGGAAATGTGGGAACCAAGGATTTTTACCTGTCTATCCATAAGACTTTACTTAATCTGTTGTATGATAGTCAAAAAAATATATAGAGAAGATCCCTCAACTGGGATTATATTTCTAATTGTATCATAGTTAGGTATGAAAAAAGAAAAGGAGAAAAAAGCTGCTCTGTACGAGTGCCAGTTTCTTTGCAACAGTGCACATTAAAAGAAAGATGGCAATTTCAACTGACTATAGCCGTCAAATCAAGTTAGCATAATTATGTCAACGAATAATTGCTGATCGGGTCTTATTCCTGAATGTGCTGTCAAAATAACTCATCCATTTTTTACTCATTTTCCAAAATTAATGAGGCATTTTCCTTTCGTTCTGAGCCATCTGCTCAACAATAACTTCACCTCATTATTGGGGCATCAAGGCAATGGAGCAGACATATGGGATGTCTCTGCACACTCAGCATCTAGACTGCCAGACTCGTACTTGTCAGAAGACAATCAAGCAATGGTGAAGAACATGCTTAAAAAGACGTGAAACAACTTTACTTCTGGATGAAAATGCGCGGTAATGGTCTGCAATACAGATTATTCATGCAGAATACCTGCCACTAACAACCAACATTATGTCTGTTCGTCCACTACTAAAAAGAGATTATCAAATGGTTGGTTTTCAAACTCAACTTTAGAGCGTAAATCAGATGGTGGGTTGACAAACACGGGAATTGGTAATTTCAGTCAAAATTTTACCAAGACTGCAGATCCAAAACCCAATATTCAATGCTGCTGGGCAAACTTTGCTCTCAGTGTGTTGGATCACTGGACAATGGAAGGTGTTGGTATGGGAAATTGAAAATGAGGAGCAAATATTGAATCATAACTTGTTTATTCTGTGAGAAAGCCCCTATACATGAACCCATTGATCACAGCTGGCAAGAAAGGTGGGGGCCGTCAACCGTCCAAAAGGCAAACAGCAGTAAGAAGTGTTAGAAAATTGCATTTTTCTGCATCAAAAAAGTCAATCCCTTCACCTAGGTGGACCTTTGACCACTCAATGGCGCCACTTTAAGCTCAAACCAAACACAGCTCTTCAATTGAAAGTGCTTATTTTTCAATAGAGATATTGACTCAGGTACGAACCGAGTCTTCTCTTCACCTGTGCAAAAAAATAAGCCATCATTTGAACACCCCTTGAGGCATAGGTATTTATAGAGAAATTTCCCTTTGTTCAGCAGAATAACCCTGTGGTGTTGTTATGGCAGGGGAGGCATGTCTTGGAAGGAAAATTTTCTCCGCAAATTATCCTTTTTTGGCCTCTGGTGCTGTATCACTGTGTATTGTTCCTTGTCACGTTAAAAATACAAAGCTGCCCTTTTCACCCATCTAACGTGTCTCTAGTAGCTTTCTGGGCATACATATAGTTGGGAACTCGGCATACAGTCTTGATACGCACACCTGCCTGGAATGTGCGGCACCCTGAAGAAAGTCAAAAGTGCTCTTGTGCACTTCAGCATGAGTCAATTTAGTATGAAAACAAGGTTTTGGATGTGATAATACAACTTTTAACCTTAGTGATGTATTGAGACTGGCTCAAAAACAAACTCTTCGCCACTAAACCTCTTTGCCTCCAAAATCATGTCTAAGTTGGTTTTGGAAAATAATCATACTTTTCACTGACTGTTAAGTGCATTAAGAATAAATTTCTGTGACCCAACAATTCTAAGATGGTTTTACACAAGTACACATATGTAAAAACTTTATCACAAATGCAGAATAATGTCACTGATAAATGTGTCAGGAAATAAATTAAGAACAAAAGAAAAATTTTATGCATGCAAAAAGAAGATTTATATTGACCTACTGTGTCCTGAAACACAAAGTCAACTGTTGTCATTTCCTTTTTCAATCTTCTAAAAATCATCTTTTACCTCTTTGAAATGATTTAAATCATTTTGAAAAAAAAAAAACTACCAATGTTGTTATAAAAAGAGGTGATCCCTCACAGTCTCTTAAATTGTGAAACTGCAGCACAATGACATTGTCAGTATAACTCCCCACCACAAGAAAACAGGGCAATTTATCCCTCAAACTGCCACATTCAATTTCCACTTGGTGCAATACTGGACATACTGCTCACTGGTCAGACACGTTAATAGCACTCTGATGAGGGGGTAATGAATACTTAATAGCAGAGTAATCTCTACCTGGAAGGAAGCCTTTCAAATTCTGCTGGGCTCACTGGGAAAGGTGGTAAGATTGCCTGTCATGTGACATAACAAGTCTGTCTGAAGGCCACAAATAATTTCCCTTGAGGATCGATTCCCTGTCCTTCAAATTATTCGACACTGTTTGATGTGTTAATCAATGAAAATCTGATATGCCCACCGTTCACTCATGTTATGACATATTGGAGGTGTCTATCAACACCAATCTAAAACTACATATGGCCATTCTTGACTTAAACAGAAGTCATACATGGTTAGCTTTGTTTATTTTCGTGGACATATTGCCTAGGAGACATTGAATGAAACACCACATTGGCTTTAAAACAAAAAACCTCAAGCCCTACATCCAAAAAGTACGGCATCAGTCATTGAGAGGGGGAGATAAAGTAAATCGGTCTACCAAGCTGGGCTGACAACACCCAAACAAAGCAGTCAAAGTTTCAATTTAAGTTTTCAACAGTGGATCAGTTACAAGTGACAATCACAC